CCACGCTTCTCCCTCCACGCTTCTCCCTCCACGCTTCTCCCTCCACGCTTTTCCCTCCACGCTGCTCCCTCCACGCTTCTCCCTCCACGCTGCTCCCTCCACGCTGCTCCCTCTACGCTTCTCACTCCACGCTTCTCACTCCACGCTTCTCCCTCCACGCTTCTCCCTCCACGCTTCTCACTCCACGCTTCTCCCTCCACGCTTCTCCCTCCACGCTTTTCCCTCCACGCTGCTCCCTCCACGCTTCTCCCTCCACGCTTCTCCCTCCACGCTTCTCCCTCCACGCTTCTCCCTCCACGCTTCTTCCTCCACGCTTCTCACTCCACGCTTCTCACTCCACGCTTCTCCCTCCACGCTTCTCCCTCCACGCTTCTCACTCCACGCTTCTCACTCCACGCTTCTCCCTCCACGCTTCTCCCTCCACGCTTCTCACTCCACGCTTCTCCCTCCACTCTTCTCCCTCCACGCTTTTCCCTCCACGCTGCTCCCTCCACGCTTCTCCCTCCACGCTTCTCCCTCCACGCTTCTCCCTCCACGCTTCTCCCTCCACGCTTTTCCCTCCACGCTGCTCCCTCCACGCTTCTCCCTCCACGCTTCTCCCTCCACGCTTCTCCCTCCACGCTTCTCCCTCCACGCTTTTCCCTCCACGCTGCTCCCTCCACGCTTCTCCCTCCACGCTGCTCCCTCCACGCTGCTCCCTCCACGCTGCTCCCTCCATGCTGCTCCCTCCACGCTTCTCCCTCCACGCTTCTCCCTCCACGCTTCTCCCTCCACGCTTCTCCCTCCACGCTGCTCCCTCCACGCTTCTCCCTCCACGCTTCTCCCTCCACGCTTCTCTCTTTGTGATTCTCCCTCCACGCTTCTCCCTCCACGCTTCTCCCTCCACGCTTCTCCCTCCGTGCTTCTCCCTCCGTGCTTCTCCCTCCGCGCTTCTCCCTCCACGCTTCTCCCTCCATGCTTCTCCCTCCACGCTTCTCCCTCCACGCTGCTCCCTCCACGCTGCTCCCTCCGCGCTTCTCCCTCCACGCTGCTCCCTCCGCGCTTCTCCCTCCACGCTTCTCCCTCCGTGCTTCTCCCTCCACGCTTCTCCCTCCGCGCTTCTCCCTCCACGCTTCTCCCTCCACGCTGCTCCCTCCACGCTGCTCCCTCCACGCTGCTCCCTCCGCGCTTCTCCCTCCACACTTCTCCCTCCACGCTTCTCCCTCCACGCTTCTCCCTCCACGCTTCTCCCTCCACGCTGCTTCCTCCGTGCTTCTCCCTCCGCGCTTCTCCCTCCGCGCTTCTCCCTCCACGCTGCTCCCTCCGCGCTTCTCCCTCCACGCTTCTCCCTCCACGCTTCTCCCTCCACGCTGCTCCCTCCACGCTGCTTCCTCCGTGCTTCTCCCTCCACGCTTCTCCCTCCACGCTGCTCCCTCCACGCTGCTCCCTCCACGCTGCTCCCTCCGCGCTGCTCCCTCCGCGCTTCTCCCTCCACGCTTCTCCCTCCACGCTGCTCCCTCCACGCTGCTTCCTCCGTGCTTCTCCCTCCACGCTTCTCCCTCCTCGCTTCTCCCTCCACGCTGCTCCCTCCACGCTTCTCCCTCCACGCTTCTCCCTCCGCGCTTCTCCCTCCGTGCTTCCCCCTCCGCGCTTCTCCCTCCACGCTTCTCCCTCCGCGCTTCTCCCTCCACGCTGCTCCCTCCGCGCTTCTCCCTCCACGCTTCTCCCTCCATGCTGCTCCCTCCACGCTGCTCCCTCCACGCTTCTCCCTCCACGCTGCTCCCTCCACGCTTCTCCCTCCACGCTTCTTCCTCCAAGCTGCTCCCTCCGTGCTTCTCCCTCCGCGCTTCTCCCTCCGCGCTTCTCCCTCCGTGCTTCTCCCTCCACGCTTCTCCCTCCGCGCTTCTCCCTCCACGCTGCTCCCTGCACGCTTCTCCCTCCGCGCTTCTCCCTCCACGCTTCTCCCTCCGTGCTTCTCCCTCCACGCTGCTCCCTGCACGCTTCTCCCTCCGTGCTTCTCCCTCCACGCTTCTCCCTCCACGCTTCTCCCTCCACGCTTCTCCCTCCACGCTTCTCCCTCCACGCTTCTCCCTCCGCGCTTCTCCCTCCACGCTTCTCCCTCCACGCTTCTCCCTCCGCGCTTCTCCCTCCGTGCTTCTCCCTCCGTGCTTCTCCCTCCGTGCTTCTCCCTCCGTGCTTCTCCCTCCACGCTTCTTCCTCCAAGCTGCTCCCTCCGTGCTTCTCCCTCCACGCTTCTTCCTCCAAGCTGCTCCCTCCGTGCTTCTCCCTCCACGCTTCTCCCTCCGTGCTTCTCCCTCCGTGCTTCTCCCTCCACGCTTCTTCCTCCAAGCTGCTCCCTCCGTGCTTCTCCCTCCACGCTTCTTCCTCCAAGCTGCTCCCTCCACGCTTCTCTCTCTGTGATTCTCCCTCCACGCTTCTCCTTCTTCACACGGCTCATATCTGTTCCAATTGTTTGTCAGCGTCTGCGCCTCCGATCCGTACAAGGTGAGTGGCTTCGCTCTTCGTCAGGCTCGCATGGCTCTGCTCATTCTCACGATCAAATTTAAGTGAAGATGCTAGATTGTAGATTTCCCATTGAGGTCCATTGCCTCTTTTGCAGATCAATTGGTGGTGGATGATGATGCTTACATTTGAGCGCCCAGTGTCCCATGGACTGCTGTTGAGGGTGATAGCTTCAGACCTCCACTGCAGAGCGGACACCGTGCCTCGCTGTAAACCCCGCACGCGCTTCACCGCGCTGCTGCAGGAACTTGACCGCCACTTTAAGCCAACGCCCTCGCATTAAATGGTGGGGTCTGCCGAGCCGTACATCCACCCTCACGGTTGATCTCCGGCCACGTGGTCAGAGAACGAGGATCAGAAATGTGGATAATGGCGAGAAATTCACAATTAAGAGTCGTGGCTGAATGACCTCTAATTGCAGCTAGGTGATAGAGCAGGTTGCGTAGATCTGCCCTGTATGGTAACTCATGAAGTAAAGCTGCTACATCATGAGTGTAGAATATCCGTGTTATCCTGAAGCTTCAAACGAGTACGAACATCAATGGGGTTGAACTTTGGACTTGATCTGCGGTATCAAATGTCCCGGCCTTGCAAAGTTTCACGTTACATTTTTATCCTGGCTTGATGGCGGCGCGGCGAGGAGTTGGCCTGCGAAATGTGATCCAGAGGGTGGAAAATCGCCCTCGCGGACGGTGTCCCGTTGGACGACCCAGCCGGGGCCTAGGCGACGGGCACCGGTGACCACGGGGGATGGTGACACGCGGGCCTTTTGCAGGCGGTGCCGCTGAGCCTCGAGCTGCAGTGAGGATAAAGAGGAACCCCATCGCAACAGAAACATTCATACCGACCGCAAACAAATTTATTTTACAACGCAGGGCACGGGTGATGCAGCGATGCACGTGCAAAAGCTCTCGGCCTTCTCGAGACCACCGTCTCAAGAACTGAATGTGGACATTTAGTCACCGATTCCAAAGAGTTAAGAAAATGTGGCTATCCCCAACCAGAAGCAATAATACTGAACAGAACAGAACCATGGAACATAAACTTGGACTCCATGCTCGATTCACGAACACGAAGGAAGAGGCATCATCGCGATGATTCAACACTCCGCTACTCCTGACACAACCATCTGGCTCGTCCAAATCCGTGTAAAAGGACAGCTTTTCCTTTACATCAACATCAGCTATTGGAAGAAAGCAAACTGATACAACTATAGACCAGTTTGTGCCTGTTAGCACTTCCTAACAGCAATAATTAATCATACATATTTGGTGGGATAGCGACGTTTTCTCAACTGGTGGTCGAAACAACAAAGCAGTCGTATGTTAAGTTATTTTTAGCCTGTGGTCTGGATGAGTATTAATTTCGGGTCAACTTGTGGATGTCGCTTTATTCTTATTGAATGGGTCCTGGCTCCGCCATGCGCCATCCCTTGGGCGGTCGCGTGCTTCCACGGCCAGAGAGGTCCTTGCAAAGGTCCCCTGTATGACGAGCAGCACTCTGGACCCTACCCGGGAGTTGAAGCACCCAGAGACCAGCTCTGCTTGTTGGTTTCCATCACGTGCGGAGTGTTTCACTTGCTTGGCAGTAAAGGGGGCCACCGCAACAGTTAATTGACCCCGGTGGCGAGCGAGAAGGGAGATTTGTTCCAGGTGCCGACCCTTTGTGACGCTTTGCCCCACACTCCCCGCTGCGTTGGTCGAATATTCCCCACAAATTCCTCCGCTTCCTCTTGTCGCCACGGACGCTAACTGATGGATGCCATTGATGACCAACACCAACATCTTGAGTCATCCGCTGTGACGGCTGCTTGCCATCTGCTTGAGCCGCCGTCTTGAACCCTCAATAACGGCAGAAACCCAGAAAGTCCCTAGGTTTTTAATTCCTGACCCGGGCATCTTTCTACGTGGAAGTTTCGTGCTGTTGAACTCGGTTATTTGGGACTGCTGCCGGTGCCCTCGCTCAAGTCATTTGCTTAGGCCCCTGTTGTTTTTTGTGGGCACCGAGATCATTTGTTTTATTTCCCCTGTGAACTGTTCGGAGATGTGGTTGCATTAGATGCTGGTGTATAATGTAAACTATTCTTCTTGGTTATTTCGGTAAAGTCACGTAGAAGGGAAATAATAAAATAATAAAATGAAAAATATACATTTATTCTTTTAATATTTCTCTTCTACGTGACTTTACCGAAAGAACCAAGAAGATTAATCCCTGCAGTCACGAAAGCTTTAAATCGAAATGTAAACTCTTATCAGTATTGATTGTACACTTTAGGTAACGAATGTACAAACATAGTTTTGTGACCAACCCTTGTGTGTGTGTGTGTGCGCAAATACTTGATTTGTGATATAACGGCCCTGAGGGCTGATGGGGCCATTGCAGCATTCAAGTCAAGTCGGCAAAACTTTTGGATGTACGAGCATATTTATTTACATGTAAAAAATTCTTAACTCTTAAGATCATAAATGTAAATCTTCGAAGCTTGCCAACTACCCCTGGCATTGCGCGTACAGTGCAGCAGACGCATGCTAATGGTGGTAGGCCCCTGCTACGGGTTCATAATATTATTTATTATGAATCCGCTTGTTTACCCAGCAGAGCCTCGACGAGTCTCAAGACCTTTTCAGGAGGATCCTGCCAAGTTTTTTGCAGTCGGCGGCGATGTTGCTGCTCTGTGCAATCCCAAATGAGTAATTTGTGCGTAATTCTTTAGCACTGGGATGTTTTCGGTGGGAGGTGGTGGGGAGGGGGCGATGTTGCTGCTGTGTGTGATCCCAGTTGAATAATTTGCAGATAATTTTTGCAACATTTGAATGTTTTGGCAATACCAGTTGCATTGTGTGTGTCTTCATAGCTTAGGTTAACAAACCCATACAGGAGAGGTAAGATCATTCAAACTCCACACAAAAAGGGGAGCCTGATTCAGGAATCGAACCCAGGTACTTCTTGCTCACGAGGCACGAGCTTTCCCATTGCGCCGCCACCGCCCTACAGCCCAGTCGCGCTGCGCGCTGCGATCGGTGTGCAGCAGTTAGGCGTGCTCTCACCCTTCCCCTGCTGTTTGCCAGCTGCGCGCCGCCGTGTGACCAAGCCGTACGACAGAGCCTCGACAGAGCCTCGCGTGGCGATCTCCGTTACCCCCCCCCACCCCTTCCCGTGTATTGGCGACTCGAGGGACGGACGCTCCTGGCAGCACCTCTTGAGACGCTCGGTCCGATCTGCTGGGGCTCACGATCAAATCATAAAAATACCCCCATCTTGCTCCCACCACCCTCTGAACTTGTTTGTCTGATTGAGTTCCCACGTGCAGCCCGCTTTGAGCACTCTGCGCATTCCCAGATGGCCGACGTGAAAACTGTCCCACAATCCCATTTGCTCTGAAAAGAACTATGGCCGTGTTTTGTGAGTGAGGCCATGCTGCTGTGCACGGCCTCGGGGAAGAATTTGCGTTTACCTGTGCAGCAGACTACCATGGGCCCTAATGCCATGGGTGCCATGTTGGTTTCCGCCAGATTTACCAATCTTCACGTTGTGTTTAACTGATAGACTGACTATGCATTCTTGACTGACACATACTCAATTGGGATTAAACATGCCAATCATTGCTCCCTACTGGCAGATTAATGCCTGACGATAGGCTCGGTGCTGTCACCCAGTGTCCATAGGGCCAGCTGCCACTGGGGGTGCCCCTTCAATTATGTTGACATCAAACGCGATGTAGAAATCGCTCGGTTTATGAATGTTAGCAATTATTTCGTGTCTTAATGTGCGTCATAACGGCCTCATCGATATAATTAAGTATTTACGTTTAGGCAGCTTGCAAATTGCAGTGCTGCTGTAGTGCCCAGTCTGAATCTGTAAGACAGCATCTGAAGCTGCGCTGAAGCCCTCACCTTGCCACTCATTCCGTGTGTTGTTTGGTAGTGCAGCATTATTTGGTATAATTATGGTTATTTTAGCTTGGGGGGGAGGGGGAGGAAACCCATGCCGAGCAGGTGGAGGGAACATACAAACCCCACACAGAAATCTGTCTGAGGCAGGAATCGAACACAGGATATTCTTGTTGCCAGGCACGAGTATTTCCACTGTGCTGCCACCATTGACTGTTCACGCATTCCTGCAACAGTCACCCAAAAACCATGTACTGTGTGCCCTGCCATGCGCTGGTGTGTGGGTTGTGGTGATCATTCTTAATAGTTCTCACGTGGATATCGCTCTCTGAGATTCTCTTGTGAAAAGTTGTTCACGGCCGCTAAGCGAGGCGATCTCATCCACCGACTGAGCAGAGGACAATGTGGGTGAGCTGTTCGGTAAAACAAGGGTTAGATAATACTCAGAATCACGATACGTTTAGTTCATCTGTAAATGTGGGGTCACTTGTGATCATTTATTACAAAAATACGATTTTCCTAGATTTAAGAAGTTGCCTTTTTATATTTTCTTGCCAGGCACAAAGCTTGAAATGTAAAAAAATATTTTTTACGTTTTAAAAAGGGATGCAAAACATACGACAGGAACAGGTGTCCGTAATGAGTGGAACACGAGTCTTTGGTTGTTGAGTTGAGATAATCTGTGAAGGTTCTTGGGCAAGCCTCACTCCTTGAGAAGCAGCCATGGCTCGGGTTTGTGTGCAGGCATCCTTCCTCTTGTGCGCCACTGCCCACAGTCCAGCCACGCAAACTGTTTTGCCGATCTCTGGCAAAGTCCCGCTGTGCCAAAGTTGGGTGACATGTTCAGGGAAGGGCTTGGAATTGGTTTTGTAAAGTTTACAAAATGTTCCAGGAAAGCTGGTACAGAAACCTTCTCGGGCCGCCTCATAATTTTTGCCGAGGTTTCGTGTCCGCTGGTCAGCAACGCATGGCAGATTTGCGTTCTCTCTCTCGGCCCTGTGAAAGGGAGAGGGAGCAGAGTGAGATTAATTTTTTTCACCGTCTGGCTACGAAATCTTAAGCCACGAATGCTGTTTCCATGTCACATTGACCACCAAGCCAGGACTGTGGAAATATCCTGGGTTTAGGTATCAAATCTTCATCCAACCAAACCAGGAGCCTCACAGTCTCAGTTATCAAGCAGTGATGTGGCCCCGCTGGTTGTTACTCTGCATGTAATAATCATGAATACACGCTATCTGCTTCACAGTGGAGGTTTAAAGATCCCCCAACATAATTTTAAAAGATTAGCCCATTGTGTGCTGTCATCCTAATCCAAATTTGCCAATTAGCCACAAATTATTCAATTGGGATTCCACAGATCAAGCAATTGCCCCCACTAGCATTGAGATGTTTGGCCAATAGAAGTTACAATGCATTTTCTATCGATGGGAGGAAACTGACGAATCAAGAGGAACCGCATGCAGAACTGGGGGAGAACATACAAACTCCACACAGGAAGAGCACCAGTCGGAGATCGGACCCAAGCGCTTCTTGCTTCGAGGCACGAGTGTTACCACTGCGCTGCCACCCCGCCGCCCAAATGTGAATTCGTTGATAAGTCTGTTCTGGCTACGTAACGATTTCTGAACATGACAAGGGGCTTGCCGCCTGTGGCGAGCGGTGCGTCACCAGCTCAACTTTTGCTGCCTGTGACACGGCGGGTTTGGCAGATACAGAACACCGCCAGCTCTCACCAAACGGCGCTGGTTGCCGAGGCAGAACGTGCAGATGACTTTTGGCGGCGCCGCCTGGCCGCCCGATACTCCGCTCGCCGCCATCCCCGCCGCGCCGGGATCGGCCGAGAGGGCCCCGGCCAGAGCTTGCGTCACGGACGCGTCGGCGCCGGCCCGCTGCGCCCTCTCGGCGTGGCGCGCCCCGCCGCAGAAGGGGGGCGGCGGGGGGGCGTGGCACGGCTGCCCGTCGGGGCACCGCTCGCCCAGCAAGAGGACGTTGCCGAGGTGCGAGATGTAGCTGGACGCGAGGCGCAGCGTCTCGATCTTGGAGAGCTTGCGGTCGGCCGGCTCGGTGGGGATGAGTGTGCGCAGCGCGGTGAAGGCCGTGTTGACGCTGTGTGTGCGGTCGCGCTCGCGGGCGTTGGCCGCCTGCCGCTGGCGCGTCTCGCCCGGCGCAGCAGCACCGCCGCTGCAGAGAGAGCCGTCTGCTGGGGAGGGCGGGGGGGGGGGGCGCGCGATCAGAATGACATGATCTGTACGCGATCAGAAACGCCATCGCAACAGAAACGTGAATGAGTATGTACATTGTATGCTGAACTTCTTTCACACCATATGTAGCCAACTATTCTGTAACCAGCACCGGATGTTTGGATACAAGTCCACTGCGTTTTATTCAGGAGATACATTTAGCTTCAGCGGGCGCATATTTGTAAACCCCAATCGTACAGAATCTGGAATGCTGGCTAGGAGGGGTAAGTATATTGTAATTGGCTGGTAGTGGTCATCTGATCAGAATCCTCCAGAGCCATGTGTACATGATGATCAGTTTGATTTGTTTATAATCAGCTGCTTATATCCCCGCCTTTCATTGCAGTTTATTTTTTTTAAACCCATTTTTTTGACGTGCCAAATTTGAATATTTCCTGAAAAATACTCAAATTGGGATCACACACGGCCACATCGCCCACTCGCCTGAAACCACCAGAGGCTGTGAAACACAGCAGCAGCTCCTTCGTGGCGACTGCCCCGTGCTCTTCAAACGATGGCGCCCGTAGCAAATCTCCTGGATGAGCGTCACTATGATGAAGAGCCTGCCGGTGAGGAGCGTGCTCAAAGCTCTGCTGCGCTTTAACGGGACGTTCGCTCGTTACCCCACAACCTCGGCTCCGGCGATGAGTGAGCGCGGTCGAGTTGTCTGCGTGAGCGACTTGGCATTTTAGACACGCGTGACCGCAGCTGCCTTGCAGTTTTGCACGAGTTACAGCACCAAGAAGCTCTATCTCAAACGGGTGGCGAGCGCTGAAACCCAAAGAACCCTTAATGGCGTTACGGTTGTTAAAATGCCCACGAGTGCCCGAGCATAATCGATTGGCTTCGGGGAAAGGCATTTGCCGATGATGCTCAGGGAGGGCTTTCCCTACACTCCCTTTATGGCAAAGTTATTTCCACAACTATTCCCGAGTGCTGAGTCTCAGGCATCGGGGTCACCTTGCCATGGTGTCCTGGACAATCGACTTTGATAGTAATTTATTAATAGCACGTAAAGCAACACCATTTGTTGGCCCACTACAAGAGAACTCCATTGCTCCGCATTGATATGGTCCCCCCCCCCCCCCATCGTATCAACCCCAGAGTCTTTGATCCGCGGCGTTGTGCGGAGGTTCGACGTCAAGTCTGCAAAATAAACTTTTGCGCCAATGCAATGCGCCGAGAAATTAGCCACACGATTCCTTTAATTGGCAAAAGGTTTGCGGATTACAGGGGAAGTGCGGCACGTTACTGCTGAATTCGTCTGCGGTAAAGTCCTGAATTATACGGTCAAGATATTATCTTAGACCCAAATGGTGGAAACATCCCATCTGGTTCGATGTTAAATCGATGTTTTAGATTTTTGTACACCTGATATCTAAGTCTTTTCAGCTGTTCTGTGCTAATGCAAAATTCTTAAAAAAATAAAATCCACAAAAAGAATTTTAAAGCAAAATGAATATCAAACAAATGAAGGTCTGCTCCCACAACTCCGCCAAGCATCGTCAGTCAGCCGCGGAGAGCCGCGGGACTACGGGAACAGTCGCGAGCCGCGGGCTATCCGCGACTTACAGGGATTTCGTAATCTTTGGGTCTTTCGGTAAAGTCACGTAGATAGGTTAAATTAAAATAACAAATAACAAAAAACTACGACGTTTCGATTGCAACACAAGCGGTCGTCATCAGGATCGAAACGTCGTAGTTTTTTGTTATTTTCTTTGAACCTATCTACGTGACTGCAGTCACGAAAGCTTGAAGTGACGATTGACAGCGATTTGCAGATTGCTCCATCACGAATCATTGAATACCTTTTATACGTTATTTATTGTTTACATTATACACAATATAACATGGTCTTGACATTTACCTTACTTTAGATTTTTTACGTAACATAACGTATGTATTTTTTGCATTTCATTTACATTTCAGAATAGTTTTGCCTTGTCCCACATGATGGAGCTAGCTGGGGTGAAACGAGAACGTGCGTGAGTTTGCGTGTGAACTTGTGTGTGTGCGTGTGAACTTGTGTGTGTGCGTGTGAACTTGTGTGTGTGCGTGTGAACTTGTGTGTGTGCGTGTGAACTTGTGTGTGTGCGTGTATGTATGCGTGTGTTTATTGCTGGGCGTGAGCGGGGGATCTTTGTGTTTGTTGTGTTGACAATGATGGTACAGTTGGTTAGCGCACTTCGCTATGAACCCGCCAACTGATTCAATTACCACTCACAGCTAACATTGTTGATGAATACCTGAACTGGTCCTGGGCCTCCGCTAGTTTAACTCAGCCTCGAATAAGCACCTGGTGTGATGTGTAAACATCTAAACTGGAGAGACAAAGGCGACCGGGCATGGTGCTGGCCACCCTTTCCCCAAGCAGCCTATTAGAGGCTATACGGGGGATCTTTATCTGTGTGTGTGTGTATCGTGGAAAGCGGTGGCACATTGGTCCGTCACTGCGCTATGAACCTGGGGATCTGATTTCGTTTCCCAGCCACAGCCATCGCCATTGGCAAGTGACATACGAACTCGTCCTGGGTTTCCCCCTGGTTGACTCAGCCTAAAATGCTCCGTGTTGGCCTTATTAGGTACTCGCCATCAGCCCTGGCAACAGCAGTCGGTAAAGACTATATGGGGGATATTGGTCTACGTGTGTGTAAGTGTACCTATTTCATTGCCCTGAATACCGAACTTAATACTGCACCATGCCGTACTTTGCCACTAATTGTAGGGAGACTCCCCATTGTGGCTGTCGTGGTGATGGTGCTGTCGGGTTATACTCTATCTGTAGGCTAACTCTCCGGACCCTGGCAATGTGTGTGACTGCGTTACAACCTCCCTAATTCTGAATGCTTACTTATCACATGAATGGATTTTCTTTGTTTGTGAATGTCTATTTGCCCTTGTTATGATGGCTTACGCCGTTCTTGTCATTTATTCCCTTCGGTTACAGTGCAGCCTTTATATTTTCATAATCACGTGTGTTTTTATCGTATACACCACATCACTTGTAATTTACAGCTGTTTGTCCATCAATTGCTGGACGAAGGCATCCCCCACATCGTCTCGATCATGTCGATCATGGGGGTTGTTTACCCAAACGTCACCTTGCTGGTCAGTGTGAGTTGGTGAAATTAAGAGGCTCGGACAAGTTGATGTATTGCTCGCCACTGATATTAGCCGTTACTGGGAATCAAATTCGGGTCACTGGCTTCATGGTTATGTGCCATTGCGTCCCACTCCTGGTTTATTTATGGATTTGTATACCGTACTTATTTTCTCATAAGTACAGTACATTACGTGCGCTTTTATTAACAAACAAAACTTTTCACATTAACAACTTAATTTAATGTAATTTTTGTAAGCAAAATGCAATTTACTGCTTTTAAATTTCAGCTGTTATTTTTTGTACGGGTATAAAGGTTTATTTGTACTTTGGCGCATGTAACTCTTCTTGTAAAATATAATATTGTTGCCGTTCATGCGTTGGCCTCGAGTCTCCCACGCAAACGCCGCACATCTCCCTGCACCCGCACCGGCCTTAACGTCAGGCTGTTCAACCGCTAAACCGCACTCCGAACTGGTCACCGGTTCCAAACGTCGGGTTCCGGAAACCGATTCCAACGTAACGAGCGCGACCGACGTAAGAACTGTACCCCACTGAGCTGCCGCGCCGAGGGATGGGATCGGCGAGCCGGCCACCTCGGGATCGCGAGTGGCAGCGCGAGCCGACCGGCTCCCTCCGCGTGGCCGCCCCGTGGGATCGCACCGAGCGAGCGCTCACCGGTGATGTGGCGCGCCCGCTTGCTCGGGGCGCCGCCGGCGCCGTAGGGGAGCGAGCGCTCCGAGTCCTCGCTGCCGCTCTCGTTCTCGTCCCCGGAGAGCTCCTCCGTGAAATAGCGCAGGCCGCCCGAGGCCCGCAGAGCCGCGTAGGCCATCGCGCCGGCCCGGCGGCGTCGCGCGCCGCGGTCCGGCGGCCCCTCGTGTGGACGACGGCACGCGCGGTCAGGGTCGGAGCGCGACGGCCGTAGCACGACGAGCGCTGCCGCGCAGGTCCGCGCCGAGCGAGAGTCGCATGCCTACGTCAGGTTTAAGTGTTTTTTATTTCAATTTGGAATGTAATTTATTCGGAATCCATAACCTCCAGGCGATTCATTTTACCAGTAAACGATTATACGTAAAATAATAAAGAAAATTGTTATTTCAACGCTTTCACTTTTGACACTAATGGCATCAAATCAAGTTTTGAAATGGTTTCGGTTTGAGTTCGTTCTAATAGATATTGAAATCTATAAATCTCCTGTTCTTCAGTTGAAGTCTCTTCCAGAATCTTCAAAGTATGCGCTTGCGTTGTTCTCTGCATAGATTCGCACACATCAACGCAGAGGAGTAGTTGGGTTACATCTCCCGTCTACGCTGCCACTATAATGTCTCGGCAGGAGCAGGCTCACGGCTCGGGCTCCTAGGCTACGGGTATTAGGGTGTGTGTGTCGGTGTCAGGGTGCGTGTCGGTGTGACGTGTCGACGTGCGCACGCACGCTCACCGAGCTCCACACTCGCGAGCGCGTGCTGCGCCGATTAAATACACCGAGACCTCGGCCAATCCGGGCGCTCCCTGGCTCGGCGATGTCACGTGGTGGGAGGGGGGTCTCGTGGGGGCGGCAGGGGATGGGGAGTAGAGAGCGGCGCGCGAGGGGGAAGCGATGCAGGCGAGGGAAACAGACGGGCGGCCACACGATGCTCACGCTCGTGCTTCACAAGCAAGAAAATTCTGGGTTCGATTCCCGACTCTGGCACCTGTTTGTCCCGAAAATCCTCACCGAGTCGCAAGACTCGTTTGCAGGAGGGTCCTGCCCAGTTTTCGCAGGAATGGGCGATGCTGCTACTGTGTATTTATTTTCATTGAGATGGTTGGTCAATACTGGTTACGTTGCTTTGTTTTCTTTCGCTTTGGGAATAAACCAGAGAAGCTTGAGGAAACCCGTGCCTACAAACTCCACACAGAACTATGCTCGAGTCAGAATCGAACCCAGACTCAATCTTGCTGTGAGACGTGGGTGTGAACACTGCATCTTCACCCTGCTGCCCACACTAATCCGGTGTTCCTCTGGATGGGGTTTAGCACCCTCACTGCCTCATTCTAATGATTATTTTGCCGAGGAAGGTTGATTTTTCATCAAGAGCTGATGTGTGGCCCTACCTGTGTGTTTAATATTCCAAATGGGGCTTATGGATGTCCTCCGGTGTGCATGCTAAAGCACAGCAAGTTGGCACAGTAGGTGGGGGGGGCACAGGTGGTGCATCGGCCAGTCTCGGTCAGTCGACTTGTGGCATCTGGGTCTGCCCCGTGACCTCCTGCCAGCGGGCGTTCGACACTTCACGTGGCCTCAACGTGCACATGGCCTGGCATAAGCGTCGTGGTGACGTCACCGCCACTTAGTGGCGAATGGCGGTTGTTGTGCATGCGCGCGCATGCGGCCGCAGTGCGGTGTGGCCTTGGTAGTCGTCTCCTTAATAGAACTTGCCCCACAACGTGTGTAGACTATCCGGGGAAGCCTCGTCTTTGTGTGTGAGCGTGCACGTGTGTGAGTGTGCACGTGTGTGAGCGTGCACGTGTGTGAGCGTGCACGTGTGTGAGTGTGCACGTGTGTGAGCGTGCACGTGTGTGAGTGGCCGCAGCTGTGAGCGAGCTCCCGGATGTGCCGCAGACCTCCCGTGATCCCAGCTGGGAAAACGACCTCGTGCGTTATTGCTCATACAAAAAATCACTCTCCCCTCAACTTGAGACGTTTATTTATTAGAGAGATGGAAAGAGATCGCTCACAGCAATCGTGCTTAATGTATGTTTTAAGTACTCAGTTATCAGGGTGTTGACTGTAGGCCCAAAGGTTTAAAACGCAAAGCGGCCAGCGAGCATTATCAAAGTTGCACTAGATAAGAGTTAACAGGTTTCTTGAATTGAGCAAGGTTATTAGATGGGCTTCAGAAAGACACGATCGGAGGGAATTCCAAAGTGGAGTTGTGTGAGGGAAGACGCAGAAAGAGAAGTGTTGTTGTGACTTGCAGTGCGGTGAGTGTGTGGGTGAGTGAGTGAGTGGGTGAGTGAGTGAGTGGGTGAGTGAGTGGGTGAGTGAGTGGGTGAGTGTGTGAGTGAGTGGGTGAGTGTGTGAGTGTATGAGTCGGTGTTTGAGTGGTTTGGTGAGTGTGAGACAGGGTGGGTGTGTGACTGGGTGAGTTGTTGTGGCCTGCAGTAATAGTGGTGGCTGCACATTGTGGTGGATGAGATGAAGCAGACTCCTCAATATTGGTGCCTCACAAGTACAGTACAGAATGTATGTATGTTGAACTTCTTTCGCACCGTACGTAGCCAACCGTGCTAATCGGAGGAACAGGGGAAGGACAACAAACTAAACACAAAAATAGCAGTTCTAAAGAAATTAGTTTCCAAAAATGAATCTTCCAAGCATACACCTTTAGCTGAGAATGCTCTGCAGACTGCGTAGAGTGCCAGGTTTGTGACTTTCTCGTCAGTTCCTTTGAGCTTTCAATTAGAATGTTTACTTCTACTTTGAATTCCGTGAAAGTGTTCGTTTATTTTGTTAAATATGGTGGCTGTCGTGAGTTGATATCAAATCAATGTACAGATAAATACGCACGTTAATAATGATGTGACCTATAACATAACGGATATGATACAGATATTAACAACTATTAATTGAGACGGTTGATATTAGTAATGTTTGACAAGTGTGAATATTAATATAAAAATCTAGACAGTGATCCTATCATAGTAACGTTAATTATTCTTATAAATGATTACATTTTGTATTCCCACCATTCTCAGAGTGCAAGGCTATGACAAAGGAAGACTCCGTACGGAACTTAATCTGTATGTCTCTTAGTCTGCACGTCACTTAGTCTGCTTCACAGTCGGGGGAGATGTTACTGTGTCTAATCGCTGTTGAGATGTTACCTGTATCTAATCGCTGTTCAGTAAGTTGCAGTTAATGTTATAAACATTTGGAACATTTGGAAGATGACGCTGGTGCACAAAGGCCCAATACTCTTTTCTAATGATGTCAAAGGATCTTTAACATCGACTGTGAAGCAGACTGTGTAGTAATATTTTACTGTGAATACACCGCAGTGTTAACCAGGCTGCCTGCCAGATTCGCACCACAAACCTCTGCAACAAGCGATGAAAGCGCTTCCTCTGCCGCATCACCACCCTCGGCAATTTTGCACTGACCAGCACGGTGAAGTATGGTCAAAAAATCCTCATGACTTATGTGACATGATGAGGCCTCCTTCAAATAATAGATAAATAACTGAAAATAACATTGAATGCAACAAGGATATTGTCTCAATGGGTTATATGCACTTTTAAATAATGGTAATAACGTCTTTAATGCATGGAAGTCTCTGCTGAGTCTCTAAGGCTCTTCTTCAGGAGGGTCCTGCTACATTGGAATGTTTCAACAATTCCAATAATGAGTGATTGGCTACTCGTGGGAGGAAACCAGAGAAAATCCACCATGACCAGGAGGGGGTGAGCCTCAACATTCCGGACAGACGGATTTAAGAATCCTTTGCTGTGCTTCCATCTCCTGGCCATCTCACAATCAGCCCCATCCTACAGCACCTGCTACTCTTCTTCTTGTGTCGTCTGCATCCACTTTTATTCCCCTCCATGCTATTAAGTCACATCCAATGTGGTAATGTGGAAATCACAAAGGGGTCGCGTTCTTACCCATGGATGATAAAATCAGGGATATAGTAAGTGGCTGAGCACCGGGTTTTAAGCTGCAACTAGCGTTGGGGGATGTGTGATCATACGTCACCAGACTGCTGGTTGCGAGCTGGCAAAGACACTCGCTTGACATAGGGGACGGGTTAGAACCCAGCAGCGCCCAGCCCAGCGCCCAGCTCGGTGTGCACAAAATGGGCGCGGCAGCCATCAGAGGCCAGAGAAGTGAGGAGGGCCAAGGAAAATGGCCAACAACAAGATGGAATGAAAAGGCCAGTCCAATCCATAATTCAGCCTTCTGTTCTGCCAGTCAACTGTTTGTCTTCGGCTTGGTGAGAGTGCACAATGCATATCTCTTCTTTACATGCAACATGGAAGTGCTCTGTCTGGATTATGTGCAAACTCTTTTTGGTGGTCCCATTGGAGCCGCGTTGCTAGCAGCTTGCACCCTCGTGCCAGCGGAGTCCTCGATGTGCAGCAGCAGTGTTCTCAGACATATGTGGATATGCGATTCTGTGCAAATAATAATAATACCTTGGCATTGGTATAGATGGTGAACTATTAACGATGACCGAAGTTTTTATCTCAGCGTCCCACCGATGGAGTTTATTTTTCATAGAGATCGGTTGAGAGCCCATTGGGACAGCGAGCGTAATTCATAGCTGGCCAAGCGCCATTGAAGCCGAGCGGAGAGCACTGTCCGGATTTTCCATTCGCTCTTCCAGGGCGGCGCGATCCGCCAGCCTGGAGTGGCCTCCACGGTCGAGCGAGTCGCGCGGTCAAAGCCGTACATCCATTCACCGCCACTGCGATTCGGTGATTTGTTTTGATTGGGGGTTGTCATGTTATTCAAGAATGTTTTTTTTTCATGTCCACTCTTGTTTGTATTATGGCCCAGTGGGTAATACTCGTTACTCGTAGCACAAAGAACCTGGGTTTGATTCCGGTCTTGGGCACATGTCTGTGTAGTGTTTGTGTGTTTGTATGTTCTTCCCCTGTTCTGGATGGGTTTCCTGCAGGTTTTCCAGTTTTCTTCAAAAGATAAACTACACACACTCCCTACAAATAGCACCGATATTGGTCAAATCAATATCTCTATGCTGAAATTTACCAGCAAATGTCTCAATTGGGATTACACAGAGCAGCAACATGGCCACTACTGCCAAAAACATGGCAGGACCCTGCTGAAAACGACTCTTGAGGATCGTGAGGATTTCCTGGGTAAACAAGCGCAGTAATGATAATGATAGAATCTGGGATCTTGATGGTGCTGGCTCAGGGCTCTGACCACCTGGTCCCCTGACGGCCTCTGATGGGTGACTGTTGAACACCTGGGGGTTATGTAACTCGTCACACAAGGGGAAGTTGATACTTAACATTATTTAAAGTGAATTCGTCTGAATAGGAGTACATTTTTATTTACTGAAACATTAACGACTTTCACCTTCCCTAGCAGTTTGATGACATTTGTAAATTGATTTCGTGAGCATTTGAGACATCGTCATACCACGAGTGGTGTTTCATGGTACTCTCATCATGTTCAAACTAAACACTTTTATTTCTCGATTATAGTTTTTGTTGTAATTTTTTCCTTTCAAACTTGTGTTTTTGTACCCTCCTTGGCTGGCAATTCGTGAATTGTTAGCCTGTTTAGTGGCAGCCGTGCAGCGCGTGTTGCTGTGAAAACCATGGAGTGTGGCGAGGAGCGGTTAGTGCAGCGGTTAGCGCGCTGTGCTATGAACTGGGTAGCCTGAGTTTGATTCCCACTCATGGCCAATACCCAGTGACGATTATCTGAACTGGTCCTGGGTCTCCCCTCAGTCGATTTCGCAGCAAATGAGTACCCGGTGCGAGGTGTAAATATTGCCATTAGGAAGACAAAACGCAAAAAGAGTCGTGAGACTCAGACTTTCCTGAGTAAACAAACATAATACTAATACATCCGCAGCATTAACCAGGGCGGCCTGCTGGTGTCGAATTTGAAACCTCTGCGACAAGCGGAGAACGCGTCACGGCTGGGCCACTGCGTCACCGCACAAATGTGGAGAGGATCAAGCGCGCGGTAGACGCGCGGCATGCACTCTCACGGTGGAGCGCCCATCGTGAGGGGGGGGAGGGGGGTGTGGGGCGGTGTGCGTTGAGGGCGGTGCGTCGTGGGTGTGTGGTGGGCGTATGGCGAGTGTGGGGCTGTGCGCATGGGGCTGCCGCGCTGTTTGCCGTGCGGCAGATGTTTGCAGCCAGACCTGGCCACTGGGGAGGTGCATGCCTTCGGCCCCAGCAGATCGCTCGCTCCCTCTTGCTCCCACTCCTGCTCTCGATTCTGCGGATTGTTCCTGTCTTACTTTGTCTCTTCATTTTTATTTTCCATCCCGCTCTCTCTGCCAACATCCGTTTTGGTCTTTGTTTCAGTTTGTCTGGCTCCAGCTCGCGCTCGTTGTGGCACAGTGGTATAGCACTCCTACCTCGCAGCAAGAAAGCCCTGGGTTCAATTCCCAACTTGGTTACCTTTCTTTATGGAGTTTGTATGCTCTCTCCCCCTATTCTGTATTGGCTTCCTCTGGTTTCTCCGCTTTTGTCCCTTAGCTAAACATCTCAATGCTGAAGAATTACCAGAAATTTACTCCATTGGAATTGCACACACGATAACATAACCTGCGAAAACTGGGCAGGACCCTCCTGAAAAAGAGTCTTGAGAACAAGCGTAATAATCCTCTCTCAAGTTTCTTTGTGAATTTGTTGATTTTATCTGTGTCTCTCGCTATATGTCTCGATGTAACAATATCTCTGGATCTGTGTCCTTACACTTCACGTCCTGTTTTTAGTCGTGCAACTGATCAATCTTTATACCCTATTTAATAAAAAAAAACTATTTTGCACAATTTTATGCAATTTGTGCTACCGGTCTCGACATGGGAAAATATCCCATCTTCATGAAAAGTCCACGGAAGGTGATATCACAGAACTACATCAACTTCTTAAACACACTTCACTCTCCCACGTGTCCCGCTATAGAAACCCTAATTGCATGGCAGCCAAACTGTTTTTCATTTTCAGAGCTGGAATTTTCCAAATGAACTAAAAACCAAAGTTCCTCATGGGCTTCTTCTTGCAGTCATCGGTGATCGTGCTGAGACGATCAACTCGCTACCTGAGAACCCGGTTTAATCGGGGCCATTGCACAAAACGTTGCTCATGTGTTACATTTCCATGCAGTGTTAGTGACGGAGGTCGTTAGTTTTCTTGTTTAATCGGCGGTGGCTGGGACCACGAATCCCAGTTGTGCCGGCCCAGTGCTTCGATCCCGGACACAACCAACCCATTCTGATCCACAGTAGTTCTTACTGCTTTTATAATGGTTGTCGACTTCATGAAAACAGGGCAAATATACGCGTATGTGTGTATATGAAAAACCTGCTAATACAAAGCACTGACTGTAAACCACTGAATGTCTTAGAAAAGTTTGTTCTCCGTAGCTATAAACGTCTAAAACTAGAAAAAGCTCAAGTCGTCCCTGAAGACGCGGTAAATGTTTGCAGCCTAGAGTGAAAAACGGCCAAGAATGTTCCTCTGTAAAATAATAATACTACTGGCCAGCGACTTGTGTACCAGTTTAAGGACCGCATCCGAGGGTATTTGCATCGAGCTCCGACCGAGACAAAACTCTGAAATGCTTTTTTGGGACTGTGTAGAATGTGCCGAGCGCTACGTGCGGGTTTTCTCCAGGTGCTCCGGTTCCCTCCGACACGTGCATAATAAACACTCGTGTTATGAATTAGCTGAAAAAATCTTAAAATATTATTTAGATTTTGTAGTTTCATCAATAATGCTTGGGCAACGGATATTGTTCCTTACACTTCCACCGCTTGCGTCTCCACCGCACTGTCCATATGCAGGTAGCATTTCCGATGAGGACCTCTAAGACAATGCACACCTGGAGATGCCGCTTCTAACGGAGTCCCCGCAGTGTAATGTGAAATCCCCGCTCCCTTCATGGTGCTCCCAGAGGTAGATGGCAACAGCGGACATTGACCACTGCACTGGACTGTAGTGATGAGTTCTCATGGGGACTAACTCTGTCTCGAGTTGTACTTCACTGCTGCCCGTAGGCATGGCCACATTCTCTCTCAACTTTGCGAGTTGGTGGTCCAAATGACTACGGCCAGACATTGATTTTGGGTGAGTGACCAGGATAAGGCTGAGAACGTTGTACCTGCCTTTCTGCAGACTTTTGTGTATTGTTAAATCTACCTCGATCGTAACAGTCACATGCTTCCTCCAGAAGCAACCGGTTGGTCAAGATTTGCAAACCTTTTGCCAATCCATGGCTATGGGAGGAAGCCAGAGAACCCAGAAGGGTCCCACACAGAATAGGGGGAGAACGTACAAACTCTACTCGCAAAAAGGTGCCCGTTTCAGGAATTGGTCCATGTGTCCCTTGCAAAAGAGGTGTTTAGCTTCAATGGATAATCACCTCGTTGTAAAAGTTGCTATTATTTTTACAAGTGGCTTCTAAGGCCCGAGTGTTTTTCCTCCGTCCTTACACCGGCAGCTCCCAAACTTTGATTCGCGACCCCAAATGGGATCATTTCATCAGTGTATGGGGCACGAGAAATCCAGTAAAATCCCGCTCATCTCATGCTCAAAAGTTTTGGTTGTATAAAGCAAATCGACAGTGTAGAGAGAGATGTCTCAGACATTTCTAACTTTCGCACTGTGTCTTTAGTTCAGGGTAAGCTCAAATCATCTCCCGGCGTGGCAGTGGAAACGATGGGGGCAGGCCCCCCATCCTGTCCAGCCGGCAGTGTGGTTACCCCACAGTGTGGTTACCCCACAGTGTGGTTACCCCACAGTGTGGTTACCCCACAGTGTGGTTACCCCACAGTCGATATCGGCGAGGTGAGGTAAAGCGTGAGTTCGCCCACCTCTTTCTCAGTGTCATTTATACACGTGGCAATCGGTGGGTTCGTGACCAAAACTGCAAGGGAATCGGTGACCGGTTCCTGACTTGCAGTGCCGGTTATCGGTGACCGGTTCAGCAGTTTAACAACCTGAGTTGATACAGATGCAAAGGTCGATGCAGTCAAGAAAGCTGTGAACCCACGCTCGGCAATGTCAGCATCGACCATGCGAGCCCTGTGCTGCGTCAGCGTGTCGGCGCGTGTCTCTGCGAGTGTGTGCTCTGGGCCTTCGTGGAGGAATACGAGCGCCGAGCGGAGGCGGGGAGGAGGGGCAGTGCATGACGAATGCGTTATGGATGTGTGGGCAGGTGCTGGCCCACCGGCCCAGCGCCGTAACATGATCTACCGTCGTTTGAGCCGTATGCCCTGTTAGCCAAGCCTATTAAGAAGGCCTTCATCATCAAAAGAGAAACATCTTCCATTTAGCCTCAGATGCTGTAAGGGCAAGGGATATAAGCAAGCTCCTCTAAAGGCTAACACAAGCGTCGTCGCTACCGAGAGTTGGCCATAACCAGCTGGGGGCCGTGTTGACTGCACGGCACGATGTGCTGACTGAGGAGACTCGGGAGGCGTGGGCCAGGTTTAGAAAGCAGTGCATCGGTTTGCACTAAGGGGCCATCCATTTAGTACGTACGCAAAAATCTGTCAAACTTGACCACTCCCCCACTCCCTGTACGCACGCGTACTTTTTACACCCCCCTCCCCCGACCTGCGTACGTACGCTTGACGCACCCCCTCCCCCCGAATCCTATAGAACGGCCGATATTTAATCCATGCAGAAACGATCAAGGATTAATAATATTAACGTGTTAAAGCAAACAGATAGTCCAACACCGGACTATTTAACTCATTTGAAGGCCAATGTAGACAAATTAAATTAGTATCGAGGCATCACCCCCCCCCCCCCCCCCCCCGTTTCCTATGCGAACATTGTCAGTATACCCCCCATATGCAAGGGAACGCATTTGGGTAAAGGCCCCCTCCCCCCTCCATGCGAATGTACTCAATGGATGGCCCCTAAATCAAATGTGGGAACCATTATATCAAAACAAGAATTATGTAAAACAATGAGGAGATGGTGAGGGAGAGGAAGGTATGATTGATATTCTCAGGCATTGAGGTTTTGTGCCTTTTGCGTGACTTCTGTCAGTGTTTAAAGCCTCATAATTCTTAACGCTTTTAAACCAACATATGTACAGTGCTGGGAAGACAAGTGGAGCCAATACTCAAAATGTTCCAACTCATTAAGTTATTTTCCAACTTGGCTGTTGAGAAGCATTCTTCTTAATACAATAATTTATACTTAAAAAGTGACTGGACTACATTTCTGTGATGGTTTTTGTTTACAACAGAGAGTCATTGGCTGGGCACCTTGAGTTGTGACCGAGGACGTAGGCAGTGCTGACTCTGCAGCGAGTAGTTGGGTCCGCTAGGGTTTTCGCCCTACATTTTAGTGCATTACCAGGTCACCACATAGAAAACAAACCGTAACACCGGTCAACGGGTTGCCGTACACACAGACTCGGCAATGAACGTGAAATCTTTATCTTTTAACTGAGAAGCTAAGGCAGCTGCCACAGAGGTCGTAGGTTCGATCTGATCTCCCGATGCGGCAGTTGAAACAATGCGGCAAGTTTCTTCAATCCCCCACTTTGTGCAGCCACCAAGTACGCAAGCGTTGCCTGCTGTGTTCCAGACTTTCACCGTAAAAGCTACACTCTGCATGTTACTGTGATTGCAATGTGTGTGTGCGCGCACTTCAGGACATACGGAACACTGTGGGAAACATCCCCCTGGAGTGGTACGAAGATTACCCTCACATTGGCTACGACCTGGACGGCAAGAAGATCATCAAACCCATCCGCTCGAAGGACGAGCTGGACGAGTTCCTCGACAAGATGGACAATCCTGATTACTGGTGAGCCAGCAAACTGCACACACGCGTACACACACACACACATACAAAGACAAAGATCCCCCGTATGGCCTGTAACAGACTGTGGGGGCAAGTGCTGTTAGCGAGCACTTATGAAGCCCGGCACTGTGGCACACGAGGGTGTGGGTGGCCGGCACCATGCTCGGCCACCTTTGTCTCGGTGCCGATGTTTACATAGTTCACTTTTCCACGTAGGAAATGTAATGCTCATGCCTCACAGTAAGAAGGACCCCTGGGTTCAATTCCTGACTCGGGCACCTTTCAGTTTCCTCCTACTTGTATAATAACACTCAAATAATTGATTGGCTGAAAACATCATAGAATGAAAACCCAATGCAGGACCCTCCTGAAAAAAAGTCTGGCCTCTCTGGATAAATAAGTATCTGATGATTCGTAAAAGTTACTGTGTGAGATCGCCGGAGTGCTGGGCTGCCACCGCTGAGATCCTGGATTCGAATCCAGCTCTGATAATTAAATATAAATTTGACTGGAGAGTGTACTGCTCCCTACTGCTTGGACACGAGTTCACTGGAAGGAATTTCAAAGGTAGCTCTGGGATATGCACTTGTGGCCCATTTGCACTGCTTTGAGAGATCCGAATACATTTTAAACTGGTGACCTGACCCCAATAGCACTGTTGAAACCAAATGAGCTTGATGCTATTAGAGCAATGGGCAGGAGACATCACGAGAAGGGATGATGGTGGGTGGTTAAACATGATAATGGAGTGGCAGCCAAAGCAGGGAAGCGCGGAGATGGAGTGATAAGATCGGCTCGTGATGAAAGATCTGGATGGATCATTGCATTGGGCTATCGTGAGGGATTGTGACTGTTTGTGGAGGCCTTCACCCAGCAGTGGATAGATGATGGCTTATGACACTACTGATGACATTAACAAATTTGCTTGTTAAGTTCAACATGCGTACAACCAAGACTACGGCTGTGAATGCTCCCAAGGCAGAATCCATGCGGCACCGTGTGCTCAGTCGGTGCATGCACAGTGTAGATGATGATTATTGATGACTATCATTAATAATCATCATCTACACTGTGCATGCACCGACTGAGCACACGGTGCCGCATGGAGTCTGCCTTGGGAGCATTCACAGCCGTAGTCTTGGTTGTACGCACGTTGAACTTCTTGCGCGCTGTACATTGTGGCTTGGCTCAGGCTTGAGCCACTCAATTGCTTCCAAAGACTTTACGAGCGGCTCCGGCTCGGCTCTATGGAAATCCTGAGTGCAGCCGGAGCAGGCTCACGCCAGCAGAGTGGAGCCTGAGCCGGGAATTAAGAATACGGGCGATGGCCTAAATAGAGACTCCTCCTCTCTGAGCCCTCTCTCCTCATCCCCTTGTTCCCCTCTCCAGGCGAACAGTCCGTGACAAGATGACCGGGACGGACGTGATCTTGACGGACGAGCAAGTGCAGCTGATCCATCGTCTGCAGCGAGGCCAGCTGGCCGATGTGAACTACGACCCTTATGAGGTGCTTGCTCGAGGAGTTCTGCAGGCTGGCAGTGCAGTGGTAACACTCATGTCTCACAGCAAGAGGGGCCTGGGTTCAATTCCCGACTCGGCTCCTTTCTGTGTGGAGTTTTTATGACCCGGTGTTCTGCATGAGTTTCCTCCAGGTTCTCCGCTTTCCTCCACTCACTAAATGACCTTGCAATGTGACCAGAATCGGTCAAAAATCCCAATTCTCAAAAATTGGTTGCAAATGTCTCAAATTGGCATTACACAGAGCAGCAACATTGCCCTCTACTGGCAGCAGACTAATGCCCGATTGCAGGCCTGCGGCTGAGTCACCTTTCCAATGTGTTGGTGAGATGCGAGTCGCTTGGAGCAAAGGAGGCCGCTCTGTGAAATGCACATTGCACGCGATTGTTTTTCCCTACGACATTTTGGCGGTACCAATAATTGTGGAGCGATGAGAGCGCCAACATTGCCCCTTGCCTCCCCTCCCACCCGAGCCCGGTTGCTGCTCGGCAAGCGGTGCGTGACGCCCTCTGTGCCTCCTGCTTGCAGCCCGCCGTGGACTTCTTCACGCACGAGAAAATGATCCACCCGGTGACGAACCGGCCCGCAGACAAGCGCAGCTTCATCCCTTCGCTCATCGAGAAGGAGAAGGTGAGTGGCCGCGTGATGAGCACCGCCACGGATATTTGTGACGCCGCTTGGGGATTTGCATTTCCTCGTAACACCGAGATGGGTGGCAGCGCGGTGGCGCAGCGGTGATGCTCGCACCTCACGGCGAGAAGTGCCCCAGGCTCGCCTGGTCTCTGTGGAGTTTGTGCGTCTCCCCCTGTTCTGCATCGTTTTCCTCTGGCTTCTCCTGTTTACTCCTAAATCTACACACACACAGTGGAACTAGTACTTAGCAAAACATCCCAACACTGAAGATTTACCAGCAAATGGCTCAATTGGGATCACACAGAGCAGCAACATCACCCCCTTATGCAAAATTTTGGCAGGAGCCTCCACATCGAGACTCTCATTGGTAAACAAGCGTAATAGTAGAATAATAAAACGAATCGTAACCCTGAGGAGGCGGCACCATTGAAGACGGCTGCTTCCGGCAGGGACCTCGTGCCGTGACGTCTCCTCACTGAGCCAGGGCCCCCTGCGTCTGGAATCGCGTTCCAAATTGAGCAGCCACCCAAGCTTCACGAGGAAGAGTAATCGTGTATCCGCAGGGATTATCTCAGCGCTTTCCTGCTTGGGCTTTGTCCAGATCCTGTGTGCGCTTTGAAGGGATCACATTCTCTCTCCTACTGCTGTCGGTGTTCTCTCTCTGTCCCATCATCTTTCATATTTTACGTAATTTTTTTTTCTGTAACGGGGTCAAGTGATTGATGACAAAGATGCCTCTGTGCCATGCGTGTGCAGGTGTCCAAGCTGGTGCACGCTATCAAGATGGGCTGGATCAAACCCCGGCGGCCGCGGGAACGGGGCCCGGTCTTCTTTGACCTTTGGGCCACCGAGGACCCGAACGCCGTGCTGGGCCGCCACTCCATGCACGTCCCGGCTCCAAAGATGCGCCTGCCCGGCCACGCCGAGTCCTACAACCCCCCGCCGGAGTACCTGCTCACCGAGGAGGAGGTGCCACCGCACCACGGAGTCGCATCTGTTTTTTGTTGTTGCTTTTTTACCCCAAGAAGTCTCCCTAGACTTTTTTGAGAAGGTCCTGCCAAGTTTTCTCAGTACGGGGCAGTGCTGCAGCTGTGTGTGATCCCATTGAGTAATTTGCAGGTAATTTGACAGCATTGGGATGTGGTTTTGGCCAATACTGTTTACACTTTTTTTTAGTTTTGGGAGGAAACTGGAGAATCTGGAGGAAGCCTATGCAGAACAGGGGGAGACCTACACACAGAAATGCACCCGAGTCAGGAATCAAACCCAGGCTCTTTGAACTGTGAGTTGCGAGTGTTACCACCGCCCACCCCTTGCCCAAATTACTGTATGCCTGCATCATAGTCCAAATTTGACAAATTGCAGGCCAGGTGCTCGTTAACCTTGCGCCATACACGGAGAACTGCCACCATGGGTGCCCTGTCCAGTGCGTTAAGATGACACGCGATGCAGGTCGCTCATCGCGTGTGAAGCGCCCTGAGACGCCCCGGTGCAAATTAAAAACTCAATCGCAATGTTGGGTGTGAGAAGCGCGTATTGTTACACTCGGTGCGTGCAGCGCGCTCACCCCCGTGTCCTGACAGAAACTGGCCTGGGAGCAGCAGGAGCCCGAGGAGCGGAAGCTGCCCTTCCTGCCGGCAAGCTACCCGAACCTGCGCACGGTGCCCGCCTACCCTCGCTTCATCCAGGAGCGCTTCGAGCGCTGTCTCGACCTCTACCTGTGCCCGCGGCAGCGGCGCCTGCGGGTGGGTGGCACCTTCCCGTGGGCGATTGTTGGCGCCAGTTTTGGCTGCCTTCCTGGTTGTTTGTGGTTTCCCGCGCCTCTGAATCGAACGTAAACTGCGTGCGGTGTTACAAATTGGTGTCATTTTTTAGGCCGGTGTAATACGAGTTCAATCAGCAGCTGCATGGCCTCTTGACCTGTGTGCTCACCGCTGCCTGTGTGTGCACGTGTATGTGCGTGTGTGCGTGTATGTTTGTGTGTGTGTGTATGTGTGTGTTTCCAGGTGAACGTTGACCCAGATGAGTTGATCCCGAAGTTGCCCAAGCCCAAGGACCTTCAGCCCTTCCCGACTGTGCAGTCCCTTGTAAGAGCCTCTCTCTACAGTCTTCGCCTCACCATTTGCTCTCTCTATGCCCTTGTCGCCAAACAACATTTGTGAGCCTAAGATCACTTCCAAACATGAGCTACTGCACCGCACCCTCCAATGGCTGCCTTCGTTCGGCTGCAGTGTTTTCTGTGCAAGTGAATGGGCCACAAGGGTGGTGCAGTGGTAACACTCGTGACAAACGGCGAGGAGAGTGCGTGTTAGATTCCCCCCTCGGGCACCTTTCTGTGTTGAGTTTGTACATTCTCCTATGGCTATGTGAGTGAGTCCGTGAATGAGTACATGTTAGTGAGTGTGTGGAGTTTGTATGTTAAGAACATTAAGCCTATAGGGCATGTTTGGAGTTTGTATGTTCTCTCCCTGTTGTGCATGGGTTTCCCCCGTTTTCTCAGATTTCCTCCCATAGCTGAAAAGAACATTCAATGCAAAACCAATCTTTGTAAGTTTGGCGTTTTTGCGTAGGAATCCGTCACTGGGTGTACGAACATTGGCGAACCACACTTAATTACTTAGTTTAACTTCAGGCGGAGGGCATTTGTAAAGGAAAGTAAGTGGGCTTGATTTATGGACGATGGGTGAGATTTGCGACTGAATGTCAGCCTAAGGAGTGAACATCCCTGAGTGGGCCACCACCACAGACGCAGAGCAATGAGATCAGCTCGTGTCCAAGAGCGAGATGGATTGTGGCATCGCATGACCATGAAGGATAGAGATTGAGTAGGGAGGCCTTCATCCAGCAGTGGATAGACAATACCCAAAATGGCGATGAGTATGTCATTTGAAGGTGGTATTATGCAGCATGTGTGTGGGCCGCTCTTGCATGCGCACGGACGTTTACCCTTGTTCTCACTTGTGACTTCACAGATTTACAAAGGTCATACGAACTTGGTGCGGTGCATCAGTACCGACCCCACTGGTCAATGGTTGGTATCGGGTAAGTGCTTTTGATAATTGAACAACGCAAGGCACGAGAACATGAACACACGTGTGCAGAAACATCTATTGTTAATATAGACCTGGACGTAGCGCGTTCGCCATCGGAGGTTTATGGTTTCGAGTTCAGCAAGCCGCCCTGTTATTACTGTGGTGTATGAATTGTAATATACGACGTGCCATCAGCTTCACAGTGGACGTTAAGCATCCTGTGACATCCATAAAAAAGCAGGCCAAATTTAAAAAAATGCGTGGAAATCACTCCTTTGGGATTACACACATCAATATCACAGTCGACCGTGAAAACTTGGCAGAGCAATGATAATAATATCGCCCAACCTGGGGGATTAGTCCCTCAGGTGGCCAACACATTTTGTGGCTTTTGTTGAGAGGTCATCGTGTCGTCTGTGTGCGATTAGCGTTGACTCCAGTACCCCAGAGAGACGACTGCTGTGCCTCCATCTTGGCTGTGCGTGGGAATGCAGGCTCGGACGACTGCAGTGTCCGCTTCTGGGAGGTGTGCACAGGCCCGTTGTGTCAAGGTGATGGAGGTGGAAGGAGCCGTGAAGAGCATCGCGTGGAACCCGAACCCTTCTCTCTGCCTCGTCGCCTTCACTGTGTACGTCCCCCATCGCCGGTGCCCACTGATCGTAACAACTCGGTTTTGCGTTCAGCCACGCAATAATCTGACTGAATTTGTTTTCAGAGCCCTCCACCACCTGACAAGAACGCGTTTAGCGACACTCCGATTTTGATTGTTTCATCTCACCGTGAGTTGAAGAACGGTCCTCACAAGCAAATGTAGCTGATAGATACCTTATTTCATCTTAATTGCGAAATTTTATTATTATAATTTACGTGGCCGTTTCAGGTGGTGGAGAGTTCTTAATTACAGATTTTGTCAGATCATTGTGGCCTAGAACCAGAATGTCGAATATTGACTGTGAAAGTCTACACGTTAAATCACAAACGATTGTCGACACGAACTGATCTCTCTGCTCCATCTCCAAAGCAATCGTCCTCTTGGCTTCTGTTCTGTCACCAGTCTTGTCAATCGGCCTTCATCCCTGCAAGTGATGTGCTCTGTCCAAGCCCACTCACGTCCCTCACCGCGCTGCTGCGCGAGTCTTAACCAAGACACTAAGAGTAGTTCAAGGCGTAGCGCGGTCACCAATTCCTCAAGTCAAACGCGCGCTGTACGTTAAACTAGGATATGAAGTGTAGTACAGTCACCAATGACTGCAAGATCTTGCTTACCGCCCTTGGCAGTCAATTTGTCTCCTAGTTGTGTTTGTTCTGTGATCTGTGCGTTCCTCTTTCTGCCTCTGAACGGAATTCCAAATTTCTTTACACAGGTACCTTATTTCGTACCAAATTCTGTTTTGCTCCTATGTTATTGATTTATTTTGATTGATTTTGTCTATCCTCAGCAACAATGTGGTGAAGATCGTGAACCCCATGCTGGGTGACAAACTCGTGTACGGAGCCACAGACCTGCTACTGTCTGGGTTCGAGTCCCCCGAGGAGGCACGCAAGCAGCCCACCGTGTGGGTGGCGGCCACGGCAGAGGAGCACGAGCGCGGCGTGCGCCTCCTCATCCAGCACCCCAAGGTGGCCGCCGCCTCCTCCACGAGCTCTAGGCGCCGCAGCTATCGCTCGCGCCTCGGCTCTGGCTAGGCCTCTAAAGTGACTCAGGCCGGAACCGCTTGGTTGCTTTCAAAAACTCAGGAACAGCTCGGACGTGGCTCGGCCATGACTCGGCCATGGCTCGGCTCTGGCTCGGCTGCATGGAAAGCCTGGGCGTGGCTGATGCCCCGCTATAAAAGAAGTTGATGCTCAGAGCTGCGGCTCAATGTGAGCACGGCTTTGCTCTGGCACAGGTTAGCAAGAGCCGAGCCGGTGCCAAGCCAGAAGTCAAGCCAAGGCCAAGCCACGACCGAGAGTATGGCCCTCGGGGTAGCCTCGCTCAACGGCATTACCACTCGGCGTGGGAGGGTGTGTGCGCGTGGTTGTACGCTGCAAGTGTCTGATATTGGCCAAATATCCCAATGTGAAAAGATTACTTGCAAATAACTCGATTGTTATGACGCATAGCAGCAACATCGCCCCCTACTGGAAGGTTAATGCCTGATTGAGGGCCAGATGGCTGAGTCTCAATGTACTCACAGGGACACTGGCCACATGGGGTGCACTTTACATATCATTGAGATGAGATGTGCTGTAAGTTTGCTTATTGTGTGTAAAGCTCTCTGAGATGCCCTGGCATGAGGGAAAATTATTATCATTCTTTGTGCCAATACCTGTCCCACACATAGGGGTTGTGTCATTGACACTGCACAGATGACTGGTGCCTTTGAGTGTTAAGCTGGTCTTGGCCAGGTCTTGCATCTCACCGCATCTCACTTGGTAATTTATCTTGTGTTCTCCCACGCACCCAAAGTCGGTCCGTCAGCTGTCGTGGCACGGCCGTGGTGACTACCTGGTGTCCGTCGTTCCGGACAACGGCTCGCAGCAAGTGATGTTGCACCAGGTGACGCGGCGCCGCTCGCAAAGCCCGTTTCGCCGCAGCAAGGGCCTGGTGCAGGCGGCGGTGTTCCACCCGCTGCGGCCCTTCCTGTTGGTGGCCACGCAGCGCTACGTGCGCGTTTACAACCTGGCGTCACAGACTCTCGCCAAGAAGCTCATGACCAACTGCAAGTGGGTGTCGAGCGTGGCCGTGCACCCGGGAGGTGAGTTCCACGTTTCACCACCTTCATTGAGTTGCATTTGCAGCAGGGAGCATTGTCGTAGTGCGAGAGACTGCTTATTTTGGGCGGCAGAGTGGCGTAGTGGCAACACTCGTGTCTCGCATTCAGAGGGGAGGGGGGGGTCTGGGTTCGATTTCTGCCTCGGGTGCCTTTATGTGAGGAGTTTGTATGTTCTCCCCCAGTCCTGCATGGATTTCCTCCGGATTCTCCGGTTTCCACCTCTAGCGAACGTCAACATATGATGTGATTGGTACTGGCCTAAACCATCCAAATGCTGAAGGGTAACTTCCAAAATTACTCAGCTGGAATTACCCACAGCAGCAATATCACCCCCTACTGTGACAACTGGTCGGGTCCTCCTCACGAGGAGCCTTGAGACTCTGGTTTTCTTGGGTAAACGATCATTTGTTCTTGAGCTAATTTGACACCAGGGCCCCAGCATTGTGTGGCTGCTGCAGGCTGCCAGAAAGATCTGTGGATGTCGATTTCTGACGGTGCGTCGTGCACCGGATGGTGTTGAAGAGCGCGAGGAAGACGCCAGTGTCTCCCTACTTAAACCACATTTTGGCAAGGGCAACCTAGTTCGCTGCTCGTATAGTGCTGTGTGTGGTGCTTAAAGAGCTGTGAACCCTATTTGTGCAATACTATGACTCTTTTGTGTGATGTGAGCCAACAGTCCCAGTCATCTAAGAAGTTTAATCTGAACTTTGTGTCTTTGTGTGCCTTTAAGGCGATAACGTGATCTGCGGCAGCTACGATCGCCGACTGGCCTGGTTTGACCTGGATCTCTCTACCAAGCCATACAAAGTTCTGAGGTTAGAAATGACTTGCACACTTCACACAATACATTAATGTGTTTCTTACATAATTAAACACACACTATGTAAATGCATTCTCCAGCATCCAAATTATCCTTATGGCAGTACCACGGGGTACCAAATAATACAAAATGGCCGAGGTAGTTAAATATTTTGTTTCTGAGACAATATTTTTCCAGGGGGTCTACTTCACTCCGCGACTGGGGTACCAATCAATCTGAAATCAGTGCTACTCCGCGATGTGAAACGCAGCGAGGACGATTGCGCCGAAACCCTGAACGCTCGTATGCACCATAGTGCATCGTGTACAGCTCGTCCAGATGAGTCGATTGACACATCGCCGACCATCAACAACCGAGAAATGACTGCATCACGGACATTATGCGAGAGCCAGGGTACTTCCATAAGGTTCACTTATGGGCAGTCCCCGCTGTTACGACACCATGCCTTCCTGGAAACTCCATCGTAAATCGGATTGTCATTAATCGGGGACCCTGTTTTCCCATAGCCATATTTAATAGAATTTAATAGGTAAAAATCCATAAAACCACTTGAGAATAACAAAAGCCAATTCATATTGGAAACCAGTCTGACTGTTCATGTGTTCAGAGTCATGTCAGAAAAGTCGTAGATCAAGTTTCTGCGTCGTAAATCGATCCATGGTGGCATTGCCGTACCTGTGCATCGTGGCACATTGGACTGTCGGAATCTGGAGACTGCCGGTCTTGTAAAATGACCTGCGCATTATCCAATTGGAACTGCATATAGCAAAATTTCCCCCTGTAAATATTAGGCAGGATCCTCCTGAAAAAGTTCTGAGACTCTGAGGCTTCTTGGATAAACAAGTGTAGTAGTAACAGTTTGCTTCTCAGAAATTGCCGTGGTGGTAACATCGTCCCTCTTTCCCTCGACACTACTGTGTTGTGCAGACACCACAAGAAGGCCGTGCGAGCCGTTTGCTTTCACAAGCGGTACCCATTGTTTGCTTCGGCCTCGGACGACGGCGGAGTCATCGTCTGCCACGGCATGGTTTACAAGTAAGTGTGGGCCCGTGGTCTGTGCTCAGCGCTATCATCCTGGTATCTTGGGTTCAATTCCCAGTCAGCACACCCACTTAGTATCTGAACTTATTCTAACCCCCACAACCGCCCTCTAGGTATAACTATACATTCAAAACATGGAAATTGTTCAGGCCTGTGGACTTGAAATACGATTCAGATCTGAAGGCCATGTCTGGATCAAGGCGCCCTGGTTATTACTGCAATTGTATTCATCATGAATTTCATGCCGTCTGCTTAACAGTGGACATTGAAGATTCCGTAATGTCATTCGGCAAGAGTAGCCCATTGTGTGTCAACATCATGGTCCAAACTTATATTAAAAAACATTTCTTGCAAATTACTCAATTTGGCGTACACGTGACATCACCCCGAGCTGTGAAGAATGCATCTGTGAATACTTTGTACCTTCGTTATTGCCTTGCCCTATAGGAATGGCACGGATATCAAGTGTGCTCATTAATTAGATTTATTATGTTATTGCTTTCCACTAATGTAAGCCGTGTTTTATTCTGTCCAGTGACTTGCTGCAGAACCCGCTGATTGTGCCAGTGAAGGTTCTCAAGGGGCACCAGGTAATGCGAGACCTTGGCGTTCTGGATGTCGTCTTTCATCCCAGCCAGCCGTGGGTCTTCTCAGCCGGCTCGGATGCCACGATCCGTCTCTGGTCCTAGACAACAACTGCGTTGCTAACCTACACCTCCCACATTGTTTTTCAATGTCAAGTTATTGAACTGAAATGTTGCATTGCTGAAAAGTGACCTGCAAATTACTCATGGGGCCATCCATTTAGTACGTACGCAAAAATCTGTCAAAACTTCACCTCTCCCCCCGTCCCTGTACGCACGCGTACTTTTTACACCCCCCCCCCACCTGTGTACATTCGCCTGACGCACCCCCCCCCCCCCGAATCATATAGAATGGCTGATATTTAATCCGTGCAGAAACGATCAAGGATTAATAATATTAACGTGTTTAAGCAAATCGCTAGTCCACTGCCGGACTATCTAACTCATTTGAAGGCCGATGTAGGCAAATTATTATCGAGGCTTCACCCCCCCCACCCCCGTTTCCTATGCGTACATTGTCAGTAGACCCCCCCCCCATACGCAAGTGTACGCATTTGGGTTAACCCCCCTCCCCCCTCCATGCGTGTATGCTCTAAATGGATGGCCCCTATTGGGATGACACGCAGTCGGAGCACCATCTACTGCGACAACTCAGCAGGACCCACCTGAAAAAAGTCTAGAGACGCGGTGAGGCTTTCCTGGATAATTAAGTGGAATAAAAAATGTTTAATAAACTACTTCATCCCCTTAAAGTAATGCTACAGTGGGTTTCAATGGATAACATTTAAATAAATAATTGATTACCCACTTTAAAAGGGTGTTAAAATGTCATGTGTGGTAAGAGTTTCTTATACTTCCTATCGACAGGCTGTATCATAAATCGTGTACATAGGTCATCTCCTGGAGACATGTGATACGCTACGCTAGTGGCGTGACGTGATGAGCTAATGGTTGCGTTGAACGTCTCTCCACCTGATGAACACCGACTAGAATACTACAATAAGAAACATTTTAGTCCAATTGTTGTTCATGTAGCAATAGTTAAATGCCTTTTTACCTTAAAAAATTTGGAATATGGGGGCTAATGCCAGCACACAAATGTTTCCTTGGACAAATGACACCACGAACAGAAGTTCACCAGTGCAAGATGGCTCATTTGACAGTGCATTCACCACTGTTCTTTACATTCCCAGTCAAACAGCTAAAACAGCCTCATCGTCTTCCTTTAGTTCTGATGTGCTCCTACGACATCTGTACATACCCACTTCCCAGTAACCTCCCAGAGGTAGATGGCAGTGGTGAACATTAATATTTCTATACTGAAGAGTCCTCGTGAAGGCGAAGCTGATCTACAGTTGTGTCCGTTTCACTGCTGTTGCCTGTTGTTGGGATGGGCCACATTTTCTCTCTGGGTCGGTCATTCTAAATGACCAAATGGCCACACATTTTTCAGTTATTCTGAGCTAGTGGTCTGGATAAGGCTGAGAGCTTGTGTGTCGTGCGTTGTACGGAGGCACACACTGGAGTTGGAGGCAACACGTTGATTTCAACACCCCCAACAGGGCTAACTACATAAACTGGTCCAGTATCTTAAGTGATAAGGTTAACTATGTGAGTCGCGGATTAACTGCACGAACGGGTCAGTCAGCGTCTGACCCACGATGCCGAGCGAAGACCCGGAGACGACGACGAGAGGCGGAACCCCGGGATGATTCCACTGACGAGCCACGAACGCTCTCCGAACTGCCCCTTGATGCTCCTGAGCGTGGCCTCGCTCCGCCTTCGGGCACGCCCCCGGCGAGACCTTTCCCGAAGGATCTCGACAGAGCGTCACGTGTCCCTCAAGCCCCCCTCGGGGCCCCCTCACTCCCCTGTCCTGGCCACGTGCCCACTCGGGTTCACCCAAACCCCCATGTCCTGAATTTCCCTCTATCAGGCCGCCACCAGGACTATGCCCCTTAGGGCCCGTTTGCCTACAGTGCTCACTCTGGCGCCAGGGAGAGGTTCCAGACGCACAGGAGCACTCTTGTGACAGTGCCTGGTGCTACCACCATGGTGACACCCTTACTACGTCACTACACATGCAATACTGCACACCTGTGCGTGTTTACTTTCATTTGTTTCCAGCCTGCATTAATCTGTCTTGTTGGAGTTTCTCATCATTTGCAGATTCTGGAAACCATTGAATGTGGTAACTGCAAGGCACATTTTTGCCAGACATGAATCTACACGAAGACACCAGTGTGGTTGTAAAAAAAATGGGTTAACATTTCATTTGATGTCAATAAACATGTCAAGCTTTCTCACATGGCATCTTCTTAATCGAAATTTTATCTGAGAGTGGTGCAGTGATAATACTCGTGTCTGCCAACAAAAGGGTCTGGGTTCGATTCCTGACTTGGGCACCTTTCTGTGTGGAGTTTTTATTTTCTGTCCTTAATGGATTTCATCTGGGTTTGGTTTCTTCCCATAGCTTAAAAAGCTAGGATTGGTCAAAAATCCCAATTCAAAAAAACATCTGGCTTTATAATTTCACGTCAGCTACCAGCCACTGGGTGCCCGCCAGAGGTGGGACAAAGTCATTGTTATGCAAGTCCAAGTCGAGTCTGAAGTCATCAAATTCATGACTTGAGTCTGACTCGAGTCCAAGTCACATGACTCGAGTCCACACCTCAGAGGTGGGACAAAGTCATTGTTATGCAAGTCCAAGTCGAGTCTGAAGTCATCAAATTCATGACTCGAGTCTGACTCGAGTCCAAGTCACATGACTCGAGTCCACACCTCTGGTGCCCGCCCTTCTCCCCGTCTCCATCATACCCGACGGGGAAGGCTGCAATGCAGGAAGGATGGGACAGACATAGATGGGGGAAGAAGTAATTCATGGACGGGGGTTGACAACCTGCGGCTCTTTAAGGATTGCTTCATGACGTTATTAAGGACCGTTTCGTATTCAAATTCATTACGGCTCCTGAAATATTTAGGTACATTTTTTACCGAATTCGAAAAAAATGGCTGATCTTGTTATTTTGGTTGTCAGCCCCAGTTCATGGAGTAGCGCAAAGTGTTAATCTTGAACGAGTGAGTAGTGCGGACCACTGCAGTCGCAGTGGTTGGAGCCATCGACAGGACATGTGCAACGGTGCACAATGGACAGATTAGAGCAGGTACACCGAGGATGCTCTGTCAGTGACCATCGACAGCTCCAGTTCATCATACAGAGGGGAAGCGGAAGAAATCTGGTGGGGGTAGGGACGCAAGATGAGGAAGGGTCTCTCCTCGTAGGACATTCCCCTTGCACTGAGGGGTGGGGGGCTGATGCGTGCTTGATGAAGAGGGCCCGTCTGCACCGGCAGCATGACTCGACAATGGCAACGGTGGATGTCGTTGGGGGAGGGGGGGGGGTGGCATTTCTGCACGTGGTCTGTCATCCAGCCCTCGCTGCTGCCCCCAGTGCTGGATGGCAGGTCACGTGGATCGTCGCACGAATGAGCGTTGAGGAGGTGCCATCACCTGGCTTGTCAGAAGGCAAGTAATTATGGTGGACTAATCTCAATCCTTTTCCATATGTAGGGGGACAGTGTTGGTCCGTCGTGCGTGTCGGTTTTATCTGGGTGCTCCAATTTCCTTCCACTTGAATAAACATGAATTGGCTGAAAAAAATCTTAAAAACAATTATTGCAGGACCCTAATGATAAAGATTCCCATGTGTTGGTGTGGCTTTCCGAGATAAATGCATTTCCTAACTTAAAAAAAAATAAGTCTCGTCCCGTGGGTGTCCCTGCTCCGTTAACGCGCAGAGCTCCGCTGCCCGCAGAGCGCCGCCCCCTGGCAGCACAAGGCTTCCTGGGAAGGCAGGACGAGGGGTCGATGTTCTACTTCGGTTCGAAGCGAGATCCACTCTGCCCGGAGTTTAGTTGACAAAGACACGAACAATAGAGAACACAATCTAAATGTTGACTTAACTTTCGTGGCTATAGGAATTAATATTTATTATATTTTTATTTTCTGTCTACGTGACTTAACCGAAAGAACCAAGAATATGAACACAATGTTAGTTGACCACCCCGATGCTATACAAGTTAAACAATAAGCATGTTATAGGGTGTTGGGGGGAGACTGACGTGGGGCGGATGGTTGTGGGCCCCGTGTCCGTCAACTCTGGAATGATTCAGTCAGAGTGCACAGTTCATACAAATGTAACTTACACGAAGGTGCAATCTCCGACACGCGGTACCTAGAAAACATGCCCGCGAATACTGTACTCGATTTATAACTAAACCAATCCTCCCACTCACATGACAATGCAGGGAATTGTCACGATTTGAGGTCGCAATGCCGACGTCTCGAAACGGAAAGGGATCACGTTGTCTCATGTTTCCCAGATCTTCGTGTTGAAATGTGGCTACTTGTCATTGCCCAGAATCTAAGATCACCTCGAGGTTGAGTTGCACGAATCATAAACAACAACTCATTACAGAGGCGGTGGTGGCTGCGCACGCAGCAGTCTGGAGGGAGTGAGGGTGAGTGGGTGGGTGGTGGATGACACCACAAGTCGCGAAGCTCGGCAACCCTGTGGACTCGAGCTGCTCCGTGTGCCCACAGGGGTCGAGAGTGGCCCCCCTCACCCCCCACTCCGGGTGCTCCGTCTCCTGCCACGGATCCACACGCGCCTCGAATCGGCCGACGGCGCCTCGCCGGCCGCCTGTATCGCTCCCCTCGCCTGGGGGCTGCACGAGCAGCGTCACAAGATCACTTCCATAGGCAGAGGTGTCTTGAAGATTACAACCATACACGATCCTACACGACCCTGCACAATCATACACGATCCTACACCATACACAATCCTACACAACCCTACACGGCCCTGCACAATCATACACGATCCTACACAACCCTACACGATCCTACACAACCCTACACGATCCTACACGATCCTACACAAGCCTACACGATCCTACACAACCCTACACGATCCTACACAAGCCTACACGATCCTACACAAGCCTACACAAGCCTACACGATCCTACACAAGCCTACACGATCCTACACAACCCTACACGATCCTACACAAGCCTACACGATCCTACACAACCCTACACGATCCTACACAAGCCTACACGATCCTACACAAGCCTACACAAGCCTACACGATCCTACACAAGCCTACACGATCCTACACAACCCTACACGATCCTACACAAGCCTACACGATCCTACACAAGCCTACACAAGCCTACACGATCCTACACAAGCCTACACAAGCCTACACGATCCTACACAAGCCTGCACGATCCCAACAATGATCTCTGAATAAGAATGTGCACCACCGGTAAACGCCGGGCAGCACAGTGAATGTTTATTTTCGGAATGTTCCACGCATCGCAAATGTGAATTTTAAAAAAACATTAAAAAAAGTAAACTCGTTTGTTTAAAGTCTGGTAGTATGTGGGATAGGTGAGGAAGTGGCAGAGGGTGAGGAGGTGAGGTGAGCGGGGTGGGTGAGAAGGTGAGGAGGTGAGGTGGGTGAGGTGGGTGAGCGAGGTGAGCGGGGTGGGTGAGGAGGTGAGGAGGTGGGTGAGGTGGGTGAGCGGAGTGGGTGAGGAGGTGAGGTGAGCGGGGTGGGTGAGAAGGTGAGGAGGTGAGGTGGGTGAGCGAGGTGAGCGGGGTGGGTGAGGAGGTGAGGTGAGCGGGGTGGGTGAGGAGGTGAGGAGGTGGGTGAGGTGGGTGAGGAGGTGAGGTGGATGAGGTGGGGAGCGGGGTGGGTGAGCGAGGTGAGCGGGGTGGGTGAGGTGGGTGAGCGAGGTGAGCGGGGTGGGTGAGGAGGTGAGGTGAGCGGGGTGGGTGAGGTGGGTGGGTGAGGAGGTGAGGAGGTGAGCGAGGTGGGTGACGAGTGGTCAGGCCCCGCCGCACGGCGCCCCCCCGCAGGGCTCCCCGGCCGTGAAGACGCCGTAGACGTTGACGAGGGGGAACATGGCGAGGGCGCCCACGGCCGAGCCGAGCTGCTCCACGGCGCCGCAGAAGAGCAGCGCCGAGTGCCCCTGGTCGCGCAGCACCACCCCCACCATGACCTTCACGTAGGAGAGCGCGCCCGTGAACAGCACCCAGGCCAACACCTGGGGGGGAGGGGGGGGTGGAGAGGGGGGGGGAGAGGGGGGGGGAGAGGGGGGGGGGATGGGGGGGGAGAGGGGGGGGGATGGGGGGGGAGAGGGGGGGGTGGAGAGGGGGGGGGAGAGGGGGGGGGAGAGGGGGGGGGGGATGGGGGGGGAGAGGGGGGGGGATGGGGGGGGAGAGGGGGGGGTGGAGAGGGGGGGGGGAGAGGGGGGGGGATGGGGGGGGGAGAGGGGGGGATGGGGGGGGAGAGGGGGGGGGGATGGGGGGGGAGAGGGGGGGGTGGAGAGGGGGGGGGATGGGGGGGGGGAGAGGGGGGGGGGGAGAGGGGGGGGGATGGGGGGGAGAGGGGGGGGAGAGGGGGGGGGATGGGGGGGGAGAGGGGGTGGAGAGGGGGGGGATGGGGGGGAGAGGGGGGGGATGGGGGGGGGAGAGGGGGGGGGAGAGGGGGGGGATGGGGGGGGAGAGGGGGGGGTGGAGAGGGGGGGGAGAGGGGGGGGGGAGAGGGGGGGGGATGGGGGTGGAGAGGGGGGGAGAGGGGGGGGGATGGGGGGGGGAGAGGGGGGGGGAGAGGGGGGGGGATGGGGGGGGGAGAGGGGGGGGGAGAGGGGGGGGATGGGGGGGGAGAGGGGGGGGTGGAGAGGGGGGGGAGAGGGGGGGGATGGGGGGGGGAGAGGGGGGGGGAGAGGGGGGGGGATGGGGGTGGAGAGGGGGGGGAGAGGGGGGGATGGGGGGGGGAGAGGGGGGGGGAGAGGGGGGGGGATGGGGGGGGAGAGGGGGGGGGGAGAGGGGGGGGATGGGGGGGGAGAGGGGGGGGTGGAGAGGGGGGGAGAGGGGGGGGATGGGGGGGGAGAGGGGGGGGGAGAGGGGGGGGGGGTGGGGGGGGAGAGGGGGGGGGTGGAGAGGGGGGGGCAGCACGCGAGGTGCCGAGGCGCGAGTTCAACCCCCGCCCCGCCGGGTGGCGCGGCGTTACTTTACTACACGTTACATTGTTACACGTTACATTACTACACGTTACGTTACTGCACGTTACATTACTACAAGTTACATTGTTACGCGTTACATTGTTACACGTTACATTAGTACACGTCAATGTATTGTTACGCGTTACAGTAACAGTAAGGACATGACCTCTGTAGACTGTGGCTGTACTTTTACTGCTGAATCGAGTCAGTCACAAACTCCGCGTCCTGCGGCGTCGTTTGCGTCGTTTTCCATCGCGAGTCGCCAGGAATCGTGACGATCGCCACTCGATTACTTCGGAAAAGCGTCGCTGAATCTCGGCGCTGTTCTGTCCCCGCGGGGCGCTGCCGACGTTTCGCAGCAGCAGGAGGCGTCGCTGCTGCTGCCGCCGCTGTGTGCGCGGAGCCACTGGCAGGTACTCACTCGGAATCGGAATGTTTGGTCACCACCGGTTACAGTTCATGATTATTTTAGCCGAGGGATTGTGTGTCCATCAGGCTACATGCTGTGTTCTGCAGGGGATATGGGAGCGCTCCGTATTTCAAGGGGAGACTTCACCTTAGGTTTGTTTTTCACGTGAACACAAAAGTATCCAATCAGCCACGTGGGCTCAAACGTGCATTGGTCCATTCCCTCGCCGATCAGGTTGGGAGTAGAGGTTGGAGGTCAAATGTCGAACAAGTTCCTCCGCCATCCACGTGAAATGACCCCGACTGTGATATGTAATCCCGAGTGATGGCGACGGTGCGAGTGATGGCGAGTGTGAGGGGGAGACGGCGGAGCAGGGAGACTTGTGGGTTGATGTCAGTGGCCCTTACTATGAGGATGGTGCCCGCGTCTGTGCCGAGCAGCAGAGGACACGGACTCATGACGGCCATGGCCAGGATGTAAGCACCAAAGACAGAGCCCAGCAGGGTCAGCATGGACAGGACCAGCTGTGACCTGCACACAATGAGAGCCACGCATTCATCACCAACATCACCATTCACGAGGTGCCGTGAATGTGGAGCGAGTGCCAAGGTGCTGACATGAGACCGACCGGCTGGGCTTGAAGACGGCGACGAAGCAGGCGATGGGGTTGGCCAGGGCGGCCAGCGTGGCGCTCAGGTGGTAGGCCGTGTTGCCGTAGGGCAGGCACGAGTAGGACTGCACGGAGGGCAGCACCCCGTTGGTCAGCCCGTTGGCCCAGGCCAGGATGAGGAAGATGGCGACGAACTCGAGACGAGAGAGCGAGCGACTGGAGCTCGCGTCCGTCCTGCCAACGCACAACCTGGCGGCGTCACTCGGCCGTTTCACTCGACTGGCCGAGACCTCGTGCCTCGTGTGTGCCCTCTCAGCGGACACAACTGTACCCCCGACTCCTTCTCGTTATCGTCAGACTCTTTTCCGCGGGCCACTTATCTGCAATCCCTATTTTCGATCGATTTGAAAAACACCCAATTATTCACGGGTAATTATTCCTATTATGCGTGTATTGCACAGATAAGGAGTTACATTCATCCAATTATCCATGTTTAGCTGCAGGTAAAGATCACACAGAAGTGTCCGGCTGCAAGACCCAAACTCATTGCACCGTGTGCTCACATGAGTAAGGGGAGTGAACTGGAAATGGTCTAAAATGTATCCTGTTGTTGACATTTATTCACCGATAACCGTGGGGATAACAGTTGTTTTCGTGAATAGGTGAGAATAATATAATCTGCCAGTAGCGGGGACCCCCTGTTGTGCTCGATTTCTGACAGATGGCAGCAGTGCCTCACCGAGGGTAGCTCTCCAATTTACAACACCACACCTCAGCAGTGTTGACTTGGTGCTTATGAAGAGTAAAACAACACTTTGAACTCATGTACCATCACAGGGTAGGTGACAGGTTGGAGCAGTGCGAGCACTCGTGCCTCAGAGCAAGACGTTCCTAGGTTCGATTCTCAACTAGGTTTGTGCCTTTATGTGCCGAGTTTGTATGTGTTCCCCTTGTTCTGCAGGAAATTCCTCTGGAGTTTCTGGTTTCTTCCCATGGCTTAAACAACATGCAATGTAAATGGTTATTGGCCACACATCCTCATGCTGAAAATTCACCTGCAATTTATTCAATTGGGATTACGCACAGCAGCAACGTTGCCCCTACTGTGAAAACTCGACAGGACCCTCCGGTAAAAGACAACACATTCGGTAATAACACTGTGGCCTTAAAATAAACATTATAGACTTCATCGCACATGATAAATACATGATATGAAGAGTGGTCATTGTCAAAAATGTTGACTAATATATATTTTATTTTAAGGCCATTTATTGACGAATGTGCTAAGTTTGTTAATTGTACACATGCTGAACTTCTTTAACACCGTACGTGGCCAACCATGCTAATCGTAGGTGCTTATCTAACTGTGCTGATTGTGTTTGCGCACCACTGCCAATGCAGCGGCATCACCAAATAATGTATTTAATCCTGCAAATGTTGAGACGCAGTGAGGCCTTGCTGGATAAACAAGCGTAATGATGACATACAAATATTGACATATGCTCTGCACCGGCTCCACTTTTGACAACCCACTCGTAGAAAGAAATGGCACTCACTGCAGGGCAAGGTTCTGCCAGAGTACATGACAAAGGTCAAAGTGCAAATGTAACAAGACTGACTCCCAGCTCAGACTTGCTGACCTATAACATCTGTATACAGTAATCTCTTTGGAAACGACTTTTGAAGATAAAGAACGTGTGATGCTATTTATGGATGAATGACTGAAATTTTTTTATCATAAGGTGGGAACCTGTTAATATGTAATCTCTCGCTTAAAGGATGCTTGTTTTGAGGGTTAGGATTTTCGAATGAAGGTTTTGAGCGCTTGTAAATCACCTTGCGCCCCCAGGCTAGGTTTTAATGTGGCAGCGCTCACATCAGTTATATTCCACCGGCCACAGCGATCACAGATGCTCTATGCCAAAGGTCATCACAAGAGGAGCTACATCGGTTCAATCCAGAATTGCATTCACATTTTTGGCAGGAAATGTGGATCAATTTGGATGATGGGACACAAAACAGCCTTCTTGTGTAATTGCAATAAATGATCAGATCACGCTGAATCTGTTTTTCGTAATTTATATCAAAGCTCTCGGAATCTGCCACAGGGACCGACCGACTTACCCCACGTACTCCGCGATGGACGGCGAATCAAGAACGTCGAAGGTGTGCGTCGCCTCCAGCGCGCTCGGCTCCAGGCTCGCGCCGTTGGACTCCCGCTGAGATGGTTCTCTGGGGCCTGCGGCGGTTACCTCGCCGTGCCTTAGGCTGCCCAGCTTCTGGAGTCCCTCGTGTGAGTACTCGCGCCGAGCCAGCGGGAGGTGGTTGAGCATCACGAAGGCGGCCATGGAGGCAGCCATCATGCCGCACAAAATGAGGAAGAAGACCCGCGGAGAGAAGTTGGCTGCCCGGTACTCCGTCTGCACCTCGTAAATCGAGGTTCCGTTGTCGCCCGCCGTTCCGTTGGCGTCGGCGATGGAAACGTTGACGCAGGTCGAGAAGCCGGCGCCCTGCCCGAGGGCCACGAGGCCCGGCAGCAGACCGCTGAGGCCCTCGCCCACATAGTAGGACGTCATGTAGCCCGGCTGCAGGCGCATCATGAAAGGCAGGAAGGTGACGGAGCTGGTGCAGTCGACGAGGCTCAGGAAGAAGGTGAGCGCCAGCAGCGCCGTGCTCCGATCCGCGCCGGCGATCACCGTTGTGCGGTCCCAGAGGAACGCCAACAGGAGGCAAGCTACGGCACCTAACGCCAAAATTGCGTAGATGAGGGGTACCTCGTCCAGGCAGCCCGGCCGGAAGCGGTGTGCGAGCGTGATGGCGAGTGGGCCCACGTTGGCGAGCTGGATGAGCACCGTGAGGTAGGAGGGCAGGTACCATCCCTCAGGGATCTGCGGCACGATGACGGGCAGCTCCACCCACATCCCGTTGATGGCGACCCACGACGCCACACCAAAGACGCACGTGAGAGCATGCACAGGCCAGGCCATGGCACTTGTACGGTTACGACGAGCTTGGGGAGAACGTTGGATGAAATGGTCATATGGATAAACTAGGGAAAATGCTTTTACTTGGCGAGAGATGAACTCGGTAAGGGGATGAATGTGGCAGTAGAGGCAGGTGAAGTTAGAAAAATGTGGACTAACCTGACCATGAGATGAGAGACTGAGAGGCAGACAAGATGATGAAGGGAGGCCCAGGGTCACAGACGAGACTGTCGCAGGCAACCGCTCCCGGCCAGGCCCTCAAGACACTCCTCCTGGAGGGAAGGCACCCTTCGCTGTAAAGGCGGGTATCACATGCCTTGGTTCTCGCCATGGACAAAGCGCTTCTTAGTTGCAGCACTCGACCAGTCTGGTCACATGCCTCCTCGCTGCGGCCACGGTGATCCTGTGGCCATGCTGCCTGCCACGATTGTGCGCAGTCGGTGCCAAACACGATCTTTCGCAAGCGACTGGCGAAGGGAACGCCCCTGGAGCCATCGTCTGACTAAAGGTACACCTCACTTTGTTGGCACAAGTCGCCTCTAGTTAATGTTTATGGTAATTGATAGAATGATATGCCGCACTCTGCGTGTAGATTGTTAGCTGCGTGCGTGTGTGCATGCGGCTATACGTGCGTGCACGCACGTACATGCGTGCGCAGTATAGGTGCTCGCTAACAGCATTTACCCGAACAGGCTGTTACAGGTTATATGGAGAAACTTTGTGTGCGAGATAAGAGTGAGAGAGTAGTGGTCATAAAATCATTTCATGACCCTGGTGAATTAAAACTTGGCCACCCACAATTTTAACACCATCCCCAATGGGGGAGACAAAAGTGGACGGACTTCCTCCCGTCTCCCACCTGCGCCTGGCAATCATTGCGCTGGGGCTTTATAGAGGTGCTCGCTGACCGGGTTTGTTTGGCTGTCTGTGCATTCTGCAGAATAATCACCGTGGCCCGCAGGAGTTGCAAAAGCGCACGAGCTGTCTCCTGAAGCCCTCTCGCATTACGCGCCAGAGTAGCATCGACCCACCGCACTCGGTAGTCAGCCTCCTGGCAGTGACCTGCGCCGGATTCAGATAGCAAATCGCTACCTCTTGGTATGCATGACCAAAAATATCATCTGCATCATTGGGTTCAAAAAGCACGCCGTCCCCTAGCATAGACATACTGTATGTGAGCTCACAGGCGCACACACAGCCACAACACACAGAAGCCCTTCTTCAAACTCAGTCATTTGACTGGGGAATGTGAAGTATTCACTAATCTTGTTCAGCTGAATAATGTTCTTATTAGGGGCAGCACACTCATGCGCCACAGCATGCATATCATTGGCCTTAACTTGACCGTGTGAGAGTATCCTACAACACTTACACAGTCTCTCATTCCAGGGATACCCAGAGTTGCATTGAAACTTCAAGTGATTACTCTGTGTCGTCGAGCTGTAGAAAACTTCCGAGTTCACATTCTTGGGTTTTTTAACGTCTTGTAGGTGACCTGCCGAGTCAACAACTTCCGCACTTAAGTAGCTGATTTATCCGAGGAAACTGCCCAAATAAAAACTCAACCTTCACTGATGTCTCCATGCATTGACATGGACATCAGTCCCCAATTCAACTCTACGCTGCTGGGTATTTGTCATGTGCACAACCTATGTTTGTGTGCTGCCAATCAGGGTGATGAACACTTGTTATTCAGGGTCAAAGGACACTGCTCTATGGGTCACGCACATCACTAATCATTTTACCAGCGCCCACACCCCAGCCGTCTGCTCGCACGCCAAACCTCACGATCCGAGCTCCCCGCGAGCCCTGTTACGTGCGGCCGCGATCGCACCCCCGGCGCGATTACAGCGCAGCAGCTTCACATCGACAGCTTCACATCGACAGCGTGCACACACGACCAGGACGCGCTCCGTCTCTAGGACTCATCCCAATATCAAGGCTCGATATGAAAATTCCAACGATACGAATTTATTTGGCTTTGGAATGATCCAAACCCAAGAATTGAGGTCGTTAAGTTGACATTGCCTCTGTGCTTTTTACAACCAAAAAATGGAGTCGATTGGCAGTGGGCGACACCGACAAACCGATACGTTACGTAACGTGCGTGATCCAACAATCCGAAAGAGATCCGATATGTGTTTGTATAACCAGAAAATCATCCATAGTGTACAGCAAGACACGATAGACGCTCAGGTGAAATCAACCTGCAAATCGCGAAACTGTTCATCATGGAACTGCAGCTGGTGAGCATTGCCATGCACACCACTTGGGTGTCAAAAGCATCAAAGTCGCACACAGGCATTAGATGTTGGCTTTGTGAACGTGTATTTGTGGTAGAGTATCTGTATACTTGTTTCATATCAATTGGAGATCATCGGCAAATGTGAGTACTGCTACTATACAGGAAGTATTTGTATATTAAACGGATAGAGCAGATAAACAGGCGCAAGCACTGATGAGTCCGTTGTATAATATTTTATTCTTTCTATAATGATAATTTTGATATCGCTAAACAAACCTTTCCAACTATTTTCAAAAACAATACAACTACAACAATCATCATCATAAACAACAAGGCAAATAGGCGGTGAATATTATAATATTTAAGTGCATGGTCCATTGAATTCTAGGTCAAGCAGAAGGCAAATTGCTGCGCGCCCAACGGGAGTGGAATCTCAGAGCTCCCGTTGGGACGTTGCCAGCCCAGCTCCCCCCCCCCAGCAGGGAGAGGAGAGAGAGGAGAGAGGCCCTGCCCCCCACCAGGCGGCACAGCAACCAGGAGCCGTCTTCTCTTAGACGAGCAGCGCCGCTCCCTCTGCACGGCAAATCGGGCCACTCGCTCGCTCGGGACGACGGCTCTTCCCATAAACTAATAGGCTGCAATTTCCTGCCAGCCAATCTACACTGACACACTTAATACAAAGCCAAAATACACCGGAAACAGGACACGACGCACAATATCGACATACAATGTGTATGGATTTTTCTTTGATGTCTTAAAACAAATCATCTGGCAATAAGTAACGATTTCCTCGCATCGGCACGCACCTCGCTCAACCACCCCCCGCCCGTGTTCCTTTTCAAAATTACACAGCTCGAAATCACACATTAATTTTTGACCTGAAGAGAGCCTTGCCTGGCCCACAACTACATTTTACTCAGTTTAACACGGAGGCTTTCGCGACCAATATCATCCATGAAAGGTTTTTGGGTTAGACTACGTAAATGTGTCGTTTAAACCCGCCACCACCCGACACAGCCAACTCGTAAGAGTTGTCACAACCAGAACATGCCAATTCGTCACTAGTCCAGCACAACACATCTACGCCACTATATAAGGAACGAAACAGTAAGACTTCTCCACAAATCTGGCTGTCGCTTGATACAGCTAGTTGTAATTACTGGCGAAACGGCGTACTTAGATTGTAAATGTTGTGGCTTGGATCTCCAACACACCGGTGTGCTGTACTAGTGACGAATTGGCCACGTTCTGTTGACGTGACAACCCTTACTAGTTGGCTGTGTCGGGTAGTGGCGGGTTTAAATGACACATTTATATATGTACGCGATCTAACCCCAAAACCTCTATTATGGATACATTTTCCTCTCTGAAACAATGCCCTCCTGACCACCCATCTGGACCCTGCCACGATTTCCCCCCTCTCCTCCCCCTCAACTTGCTTTTTAAGGGATTACATCTTGAATCATTGCCTCACTTGATGCGGCTATGACGGTCCCACCTGATGACGGAGACTTGTGTTGCCTCCGAAACGTCGTGATTTTTGTTTTATTCTATTTATTTTTATTAATTTTTATTAATTTTGATGTTTTACCTACGTGACTTTACCGAAAAACCTAAGAATATGATTCCTGCCCAGGCAAGCTGCACGGGGCAGGGGGTGGGGGGGGGTGCAGCACAGATATGGGGATGGCAGGGGTCGACGTGCAGGGGATGATCCGCTGAGCTCATTCCATATCCCGTGTGGTGGGGTGAACGAGGCCGCATACCCAGGGAGCAGCGGTGTCACGCATGGCTTGTGGAGCTGTTTGGTGGCTTGGCAGCTGCTAATCAGTAGCTGTACTGCGAGGCCTGGCCGTGAGCTACGGATACTGACGGCCCAGGGATAAATTGCATCTGCAGGTCAGCACTCCCATTTGACAGCAAATTTAGGCCCGCAATGTTAGCGGTGGCTTGGCCTCTCACACGGATTGGCTCGCGCTCGAGTCGCTCAGCTTCATTAAAGACGGATGAGTGGTTCAATCCTGGCTCCGCTCGGGCTCGGCTCCATGGAAATCCTGAGCGTGGCTGAGACCGTGCTTTGAGCCGGCTCGAGTTTAGCACGGCTTTGAGCTGGCTCACTTTAACCAGAGCCAAGCCCGCGCTTAAACTAAGAATACGGGCTCAACAGCAGTGACTCTGAAATTGACAACACAGTACAGAAAACGATATACATCCCATTCAGCAACCGCGCACGAGTTCACAACCTGCAGCTGTTTCACAACCGTCCTCGGAATAGCTCCTGCAACTACATGGATGTACTACCTCTCACCTTTTGACAACCAAACATAGACTCGTGTCACGACACCTTTTGTCTTGCCCCTCGCAAAGTTAAACACTTACAACTTAATTCGCCTTCACTTCTGTAAAGTTGCCTTTGATTCTCGTACAGTAGTCTCCTGGCACGGGTCTGCCTTCAAAAGCAAACGCCGAGTCTCAATCTCAATTGCAACGGTTGGCTACGTACGGTGCGAAAGAAGCTCAACATACATACCTGGCTGAATTCAAGGAAACGATTAAATTTTTGAAAACTTATCACAAACAAGATATATTTTACCTGATGGCAAACACATGCTTAAGGAACGTTAAGCATTTTCAGTGTTTTGGATTAATCAGTTACACTTCAACAGGTCCCAGAAACCCTCTCCAGTTGGGATTCACGTCGCAAACAAAAGGGCCCTTCTCACTGTGGAGGGAACTTGGAACTCAGCAGAGCGAGCAGACCAAGCGATTCTTGCAGGAATCGCATTCCATTCCTTCGAATCCACCCTGCACGGTTCCACGTCCGCTGAACTTGCCACGATCCCGCTCGGAATTGTATTTGATTAAGAATGGAATTGCAATTCCTGGTAACAGTGAGCAGACTGATGAACGGGCTATGGGTCAACGCTTAGGCTCTGGCAAGAACACTGCCTAGAGGATGCATGCTCAGCCAACCAAAAATGGCATTTATTCAAAAAAGCCTCGCCGAGTTTGAAGACTCTGCTATCAGAATCTTGCATTTGGATGTTTGACCAGTGTCACTAATGAGTGTTTGGTACGCGTCAGGCAGCCGAAGGTGAAGCCCTGTAATCTCTTGCTCAGGCTATTGCTGGTGGAAGAGCCTCCTACTCTTCCATGCTGGCCAGATGTCTTTGAAGAGATGGGTGTACCCACAATCATACACGTTTGTTGGGATGCCCAGACTTTCTCAACTCAATGAGTCGGTGGTCTCACCGACAAAACGGCCACACATTCAGTTCTTAAGAGCCGGTGGTCTGGATAAGGCCCAGAGAATGTGTACCTGCAATGCTGCACACATGCATGTGTCGTTAAATCAGATTTTTTTTTCTAGGCCTGCATACATGTACTTTTGTGCGGGGGTATCTCATCATTCACAGAATGTAATTAAGTTCAATGTGCTGCCCATTACAACACTGGCAGCATCTTAAAAACCACAGTGCCCAGGGAATACTCGCACATACATGGGGGCAACACTCAGCAATGCCATCTCCCTGCCACACAACTACACCAAGCGGACCCTGGCATTACCCATGAGACCAGGAGAGTCTCATTTGCAAGCGTGACCATGGGCACTTAGCGCTGAGACAAGCCGAGATTTGTGGCACCCAGCAGGACATTTGCCTTCTAAGTAGACCGAGAGATAAAACTTTCAAATGTAACGAGTAGAGTGATAATAACTGTGACAATGCCAACGTAAGACTTTCATCCATCAGTGTATAAATAACAGACGATTAACATTGATAACAATACTGGAGGTCTGATAACACGTGAATTGAGGTTAGGAGCGTGTGTTGAACCATATGTTAATGTCTGTACATATGTGTCACGGCTCCATCAGAACACTCCCAAAAACATCACCAAACTCACAAGCAAATAAATACTATGATGGGAAATGTAAAGAGGTATCTGATTAAGTGCCGGTGAAGTGGTCAAATATTAAAGGCCAACGCTAATGTCATGGTGTGAACTTTTGTGTTACCATCTGTGACTTTTATGCAAACATCAAACTCCCTTTGAACAAGATAACCATTCTCCCTTAATCCGGGATGCAACCCAGGTCTCGGTCCATTAATGTGGGTATTAGCTCTTCAGAGACGTCAGCCACATCTGTCAACCCGTCTTGCGAGAGAGGTCTGACACAACTGCGCATGCACGTGGGAGTTCTTTTTGTGGGTGCACCGAATAAAAAAAAAAATGGTTATTACGCTGGCATACTCCTGCCAGTGGTGTCACACACAGGTTCACCACAGCCCACTTGTCACCAGGGCACCTGATTTGGTATTCTCTGCAGGAATCGCGCGTGGTGACAGGAAGCCAACGGCCACTCCGTGACCCCAACAGTGGCTGGCGCTCAGCCGCTTCATAACCACTCGAAATCCTGTCATCCGCTTTCTGAAAGCTGCTTTTGGTCTGCAATGCTATTCAATTTGACGGATCGTTGGAGGTTTCAGGTGACACTTTGTACCATATCTCGAACTGGTGTCTCCTTCTTACCGAATGTGTGCTGTGGATGATTGATGAGGTGTATTATCAGGATCAATGTTGAGGGATGTCTCCAACCCCGTTGAGTGGAATCGAGCCTTAAACGTGCAGTCTGTTGCCTCCAGCACATCAAATAAACTACCAGCACTCTACACAACTGTCCACTTGGTTTCTTCATAACTATTCAGAGTAAAAGCATACCATCTCACGGGGCATTTTAACATACATGCTTTTACAATGTTTTATATATTTTTACGTATTGTTTAAATTCAGGGGTATCTTTAAGGAACAGACTTGCTGCTACTATTTAAGATTAGCCGGATGAACTTTGACCTAGATGCTTCAAGTTGGGAACAGGTTTTACAGAGAAACTGCGTTTACAATGCCAGTTGGCACGACCTCCTTCATGCCATGGCGCAGCCGTCCGTGATTACCAACATCAGCTGCGTGCGAGCAAACCAGCAGCACACATTGACAACATGCTTCCGGCCTAGTTGTTGTTTGTACAAATAAATTACTAGTTGGAACAACAAATATTACAATTTTGAATATCAAGCGATAACAGGTTTGTCACATTGCACCTGTTGTTAAAAAACGAGAAGAACATTTTCTGAAATAACGTCTCAGTTTGACGAGTGGCAGTAGGTCCATTAGATCAACAGTGGTAAGGGAGTTATAAAGCATCTTACCGCACACATCAAGCGCATATCTGAGCTGTGGTCTCAAATTGGGCAGCTATCGTCCCTGCAAACAGCCCTGTCAGATCTCCCCTCCAGGCCGGCATTTTGACAGCCATGCTGTTGTAACCCTCCCCATCCACATTGGGCCCGAACCACATCTCACACTCTTAGCCACGATTCCATGGCTGCTTTTCTCCTTCGTGCAAAGGCCTTCGTCTTTAACTCTGAACAATTACAGTATGGCTGCTGCTACTGTACAAAGCACAATATGGACAAAGTTGTAATCCTGCTGCTGTCACATCTGGAGTGGAGGACCCAGTTCCTACCTCGCAGCGCTTGATAGAAATCAACGCAAATCAGTCACAGGGTGATTGATGATCCAGAACTCGGATGCACTCAAGTCACTCGGTCATCAATGGTCTGCTATCTCCCTATCACTCTGCTATCCTTACTACCATGGTTACTGTTCCCGTGAACTTCACTCATTAACTCCTCCACCCACGAGTGACTGTTTCATCTCATCCACACTGTTCCACCACCAAACTACAGCTCACAAAAACACTCACGCACTCATCCATTCACCCAGCTATTCGTAGACTCACCTACTCGCTCGCTACACGGCAGGCCATAACACCCTGCCCAGCTTTGTAATTCCATCCCAGTGTCTCTATTCTTAAGCTCTTCCTGCCTTGCTCAATTTAAGAAACATGTCAACTCTTGCCTACCACAATTCGATAGTGCAGTTTGTTCCTGGCCACTTAACATTTTGGGCCTGTGCTCAGCAACTACATACAAAATTACAGCGACACAGTCGCACCCTGAGTTGCAAGCCGCACTGAGAACCCACGACGGGGTTCTGAACCAAAATCCTCGCGGCAAGACAACAGCAGCACCACGAGGCGGGCCGGCGCTGCCGTGCCTGGTCGCCCACGCTACAGCCTCGCGGCCGTGCCACGGGCAGCGCGGGGTCAGGGCGGGGGCAGCGCGGGGTCACACGGGGTCACGTAGAGTCGCGAGGGGCAACCCGAGGCTTCGCGGGGCTACGCGGGGCAGGAGCTGGAGCAGGGGTCGCCGGGCGTGAAGAGGTGGTAGACGTTGACGAGGGGGAACACGGCGAGGGCGCCCAGCGCCGAGCCGGCCTGGATGGCGGCGCCGCACCACAGGAGCGCCGCGTGGCCGCGCTGGTGCAGCACCGTGCCGATCATCACTTTGAGGTACGAGAAGAGGCCCACGAAGAGCACCCACGCCAACACCTGGCAGACACGCGAGGTTCACGGCTCAGCGGGAAGCACTCTCTCCGGTGTCACCGATACGCAGCGATCACGATCGACATGATAAGCAGATGATGGTGATGATGAGGATTGGATCATGAAATACAGGCATACGATGCAAGGCGAGGTGCAGACTGGAATTAGCAGAATATCGAAAATGTGACGCTGCCCGCGGGCGCACGGCTCGTGTAAAGTGCGGCACACGGCGGGGCGCTGTCAACGCTCACCACTAGGACGCTGCCGCTCGGCTTGCCCAGCAGCGGGGGGCACGGGCTCAGCACGGCCAGCGTCATGATGTAGCTGCCCACCAGCACGCCCAGCAAAAACAGCAGGCCCAGCACAGAGCTCGACCTGCAGGCGCCGGTCATTCGTTCCATGTTACCACGTACAGAGAGGAGGTGGCCGCTCTGCAAGTGGCAGCTGATACTGTGCATGCTATCAGGGCACTGAAACAGCACCGTCCAGACCATGGGTTTAAGAACTCAAGAGCGAAGCAGCAGCCAAGGTGACTGATGATCCAGAACTCGCTCGCTCACTCACTCATTGGTGGTCAGTCGCCTCCTCTTCTATCATCACTACCACGGTTACAGCTTCCATGAATTTCACACAATGATTCCTCCACCCGTGTTTATGGTCTACCAGACTTGTCGACTAACACACTGCTCGTCACAACAACACACTAATTCATCCATCCTCTCACTCGCCCACCCACTCTCGAACTCATCTACTCACCCACTCGCTCACCACACTGCAGGTCACCTCACTTCTCTTTCTGCTTCTTCTCTCGCACTGGTCCACTCTAGAATTCCCTCTTCCCATCGTCATCTCTTTTCTCAAGCTCTTATAATCACTTTGCTCAATTAGAGATACGTGTTGAACACTTAACTGTTACAACTTTGTTAACATTGTTTATTGCTGGTCGCTTGAATTCCTGGCCCTTTGCGCCCGTGCTTAGCAACTGTGTTTAAATTATGCATATATACATTACACAAACGGAGTTCCACTAGCGCATCCTGGTGGGGGCTGCCCCTGGGCGCGAGGCCTCACCGGCAGGGCAGGCCCATGGTGAGGAAGCAGGCGAGCGGGTTGGCAATGCTACTGAGCACGGCGCTCAGGTGGAACACGCTGCCGCCGTACGGGAGGCAGGAGTACGTCTGCACGGAGGGCAGCACGCCATTGGAGAGCGCGTTGGACAGCAGCAGCAGCGTCAGCAGGTACAGCACGCTGCCCACGCACAGGCTCTGCGGGGCACGTACGCGGCAGTGGCGACACCACGCCATCGCACACGAGGGGACATAATTCAATACATCTTGCTCTTTTTTAACGCTACTTACGACGATGATGTTAATACTCAAGCATCAGAATACCATACCAAGGCATCATTAAGCATCATAATATTTCAGTGGTAATGTCCAAGTTTGAAAGATGCACTCTGTGGCACACTAAAATAGGTCAGGGTGAGTGACAGGGTGACTCCCGGTTTATCTTCGTCTAGACTCTTTCAACCGTAACTAATCCCCCGGTCTTCTGAGCAAACTTTCCGAGGTCACGTCGCAAAACCTGGGCGGCCCTGGACGTGTGAACTCCGAGGGCGCCGTCGCCGGGCAGCGAGGCTCACCTCCGCCTCCTGCTGCCTCTTGGCGAGCACCGCTCGGCCCCTGTCGCGGTCGGGCAGCACGAGCACGTCCCCGTTGGAGGCGGGCGACTCGGGAGACGCGACGGACAACGCGTCGCTCTTGAGCTGCGACTCCTCCTCGCGATCGTCCAGGATTGCGTTCTCATTCTGCCCCGGGTTCAGGTCCTCACCTGAGCCACGCAACACGCAGGCTGCCATGTTCAAGCAGGCCTCGGCCGCCCAAGTTCCGTGCCCCAGTCGAGACAGGGGAACGCTGGCCGCAAGCAGACAACAGCGCGTTCACCTACACAATCAGAATTTCCAGCAAGATTGACTCAATGCACGCGATTTTTTAATCAGTAAACAAATTCCCATGGTATCTCTTCTCTTCAACGATTCTAGGTATTGTGTCTATCAGATGCAATAGGTGAGGGAGGGACAGAGGAGGTGAGGAAGGGAAGGAGGGAGAGGTGAGGGAGGGGAATGAGGTGAGGAAGGGAATAGCGAGGTAAGGAAACAAAGGAGAGGTGAGGGAATGAGGCGGAGGGAAGGAGGAGGAGGTGAGGGAGGGAACGCGGAGGAGGTGAGGGGACGGTACCGGCGGGGGCCCCGGGCCGCAGGCGCACGAGGGCAGCGAAGGCGCAGGCCGAGGCGAGTAGCAGGGCGCACACGACCGAGAAGAAGGCCGACACGGAGAAGCGCTCCTCCAGGTAGCGAACGTGCGACGCCGGGGCCGAGGCGTTCCCCGTCCCGTTCACGCACTCGGCGGCGCCCACGCCCTGCGCCAGCGCGGCCACAGAAGGCAGCAGTGCGCTCAGGCCCTGGCCCACGAAGAAGGTCTTGACGTGCTCCGTGGAGAAGCGGTACATGTGCGGGAGGAAGGTGACGTTGGAGGTGCAGCACACGAACGAGAGCGCGAAGGCGAGCACCAGGTAGGGGACGCTGTGCGTGCGGCCCGACACGGGCGCCGTCACGGACCACGTGACGGCGAGGCAGGCGCATGCCACCACCGCCAGCACCTGCGGGGAGAGCAGCCGCGTCACGCGGCGCCACCGCCCGCACGCAGCCCCTCTTGTCGCAAGTCACACGGCACCGCGTGATTTACACTTCCTGCTTTTGTTTTGCAACACAGGTGCGCACTGTATGTGTGTGTGTACGCACGATGTGTTGCCTGTAAGTGACTGGTGGGGTAAGTTCTGTAAGCGAGCACCAATGAAGGCCGGTACGTCACACGAAGGGCATGGATGGCCAGCACCACACCCAACGACCTTGGACTCCCCAGTGGCGATGCTTATACATCGCTCCGGGTACTCATTTTAGGTTCAGTCGATCTACGGGAGGCAAATGGCTGGTTCAGATATTAGCTGTGAGTAGGAATTGAACTCGGGTCACCGGGTTCATAGCACCACGACACTGCCACTCCCAAACACAAAAAGGCAAATATTCACCCTATAGCCTTAAAAGACTGTTGAGGCAAGTGCTGTTAGCGAGCCCCTATGAAGGCCGGAACGGTACACGAGGGGGTGGGTGGCCAGCACCACGCCCGACCGCCTTTGTCTCCCTAGTGGTGATGTTTACACACCACACCAGATACTCATTTGAGGCTGAGTTGACCTAGGGTAGGCCCAGGACTGGTAAAATAATCGTCACTGGTGTTGGCCATGAGCGGGACTCGAACTCGGGTGTTCGGGCTCGTAGCGCAGCGCACTAACCGCTACACTACCGCTCCCCAACCACACACACGGACACACACACACAACAACGACCGTCATTTGCCAAAAAGTGGTGGTGATGCCACCAGCGCACAGTGCACTTTGACGCTGCTGGCAGTGTAAACTTGCTGTGTTTTAGCCACAAACACGGCTGTGTCTTACCCAACCATCCAAGATCGATTCCTGGCTATGGCTACAGTATTGGCAAGGGGTATCTGATCCTATCTTACACTTCCCATAGGTAGACTCTGCCTTAAATTAGTACCTGGTGCAGTGTATGAGCATCAACACTGGGGAGACAAAGGCAGTCGGGCGTGGCGCTCACCACACAGTGCCAGCCTTCATAGGTGAACGCTAAAAGCACTTGCTCCAACAGCCTGTTACAGGCTACAAGAGGGATCTTTGTTATAATGATACCATGTATAATAAAGTACAGGCTGGGAGGCCCGAAGCCAGCCCTCCCTCCTGCCTGACCAGCCCAGCCCAAGGAGGCCTGGCGAGGGATCTGGGCAAGGAATGGTGCCTGCTCATCCAATGAATAAAAAATGGAGTGATAAACGAGGCTTGAGAAAGATATCTCTGAAGCCAGCCAGAGGGTGTGCTGCGCATGCAACAAGAACACATGAGAAAGGGCCAATGAGTAACACTGGGTGGAAGCCTGAGATCCACACCCAGGCGGTGGATGGGAGGCAATTGGTCACTCGTCCTCCGGCTGATACCTGGATGACATGGATGATGGATGTGGATGATGATGCATGTAGATGATAAGATGATTGTGATGTGGATGATGAGACGTGGGTGATAGTGGTGGTGGTGGTGATAATAGTGACGTAGATGATGGAGATAGTGATGTTGGTGATGTGGATGATGACACGTGGATGATGGTGGTGATGACGACGGTGATGTGCATGCCATGGCTGGTGGCGTTGCCACGGAGACCTGGATGACGTGGATGAGGACGCGCTCGTTGAGCCGGCCCGGGGCGAAGCGCTGCGTGATGGTCACGGCGATGGGGCCCACGTTGGCCAGGGCCACCATGACGGTGAGGTAAGAGGCGAGGTCCCAACCTGCGGAGCGAGCAGAGCCGCCGCCACCCAGCGGTGAAACTCCGCAACAAAGCGGCGCACGCGGCGAACACCGCCACTGTTCGGTGAATCAGTAGACTAAACGCCTCCTTCACACACCTCCACGTAGAAATACACGAGTCCTTTTGCAGATTCCATCGGCTACACAAATTTTTCGAGTGCCTCTTTCAGCGCCATTGATTCAACACCAAGCAAAACACCGATGAATTTGTGTTATGCATTTTTAAGTTTTCCCCGACTGTATTTTGCTCCGACGTCTAGAGTGGATGCGTATGCCGAGTGTCTGAGTGGGACGTCTGCTTTGCGTCTTCTCGCAGTCGTAACACTCGTGCCTCACAGCACGACTCGGACCTCTCTCTGTGTGGAGTTTGAATGTTCTCCCCCTGTTCTGCACCGGTTTCCTCCGGGTCCTCCTATTTCCTTTTATAGGTATTGGCCAAACATCCCAGTGCTAAAGAATTATCCACAAATTACTCATTTGAGATTGCAAACAGCAGCAACATCGCTGCCTACTGCAAAAACGTGCAGAACCCTCCTGAAAAAGTATTGTGACTCTGTGAGTCTTTCCTGAATAAACAAGCAATGTAATGGACCATGTGTTCTATGATTGCCATTAAAATGTTCATGTCCACTCACACATCTTGCCCACGGATTTCGGTCTTGCTCAGGCACAGTGGGGGTTATTTTACAACTTTGAATTCCAATGCTATCAATATGCTAATATGCTGCGGGTAATTGTGTAAGACACCAGTGCTTAAATTTATCTTGCCTGGAATGAAAGAGTTATAATCCGTTCCATGAAGATATCTTAACAATTGTCACTAAATATATAAACTTTGTGGATATATCCTGTCAGGTCATTTGTTTGAAGAATTAAATATCTCGATGATGCCACTAAATAAAATGGATTGTTTTGAACAAGCGCCCTTTAACTCATTAGGGAACGGATTCAAAGCAACGGTGCAGCAACTGTGACCCCCCCGAGATTAAACAACAAGAGCGGGGAAGCCGTCGAGGCGGCAAGCGGACGGGCGATCGGTCACCACCACTGCGGTAAGAAGGGCAAGAAGGTGGCGCCGCCGCCACCACCACGTACTTTCTGGGAGCACCTTGACCATTACGGGCAGCTCCACCCACAGGGCGTTGACGGCCACCCAGGAGCCCATGCCGAAGAGCGCCACTAGCGAGTGCTCCAGCACGCCGCGGCCCCGCATGGTGCCGCCTCCTCCTGCACACGGGCGCCACGGCAGGGCACGCAGCGCGCAGTCAGTGTCTAGTAGGGGGTGGAACGGTGAGTCCGTGTGCCAACTTGTATTGGAGTGTCTGCGATTCCATCTCCCGGCACGGCAGCTGAGACAACGGGGCGAGTTTATACAATCCCATCCTCTACTGCCTCTTTAGTAATGGGGGAATACTGGAAGAATACGGGAAGAACTTATAAACTCCACTCTCACTCTCTCTCACATACACAATCACCAGCGCACTCGCACACACTCTGCAGAACAGGGGGAGAACTTACAAATTACACACAAAGGGAATCGAACCCAGGCCCCTTCTTGCTACTGCACTAAATAATGAATATTCAGCGCCCCTTAAAACTTCAACAAGCAAACTTGCATAGGTCCAGCTTTAAAAATGATTGCCGAATTGGGCAAGTTTCTGTGTGCAGTTTGTATGTCTCCCCCTGTTCTGCAGAGTGTGTGTGTGAGTGAGATGGCGAATGTGAGAGAGAGTGGTGTTTGTATGCCCCCCCCTGTTCTGCATGGGCTTCCTTCAAGTTCTTCACTTTCCTCCGAAAGCAGTCTATCGAGAATCGCCAAGGCTTGGCACTACTTCTACTGCGACACGCTCTTGCTCTGGGGAGACAGAGTGGGCAGCACATGCCACTTCCCTTGCCAAAGAACAAGACTGGGAACCGGTGCCCGCACACAATCCCCGCAGCCTTCTGCACCGCGTCGCAGTGGCCGGCCCGCGCAGAGTCACGCGTCTGGGCGCCCGGGCACCTGCTACTGGTGGCAAAAGCAAGAGGGCACCCACGAGTTTGCTCTCAAGGCTCCCGTGGAGTCACGTGTGGGCAGGTCAAGACCATGGCACTCTGCGAACCGGGTAGAGGTCTCTGCCTCTTGGAGAATACAAAATATACGATGAATATCGACAGAGAACTGGGAAGCCTTCGGGGCAAATGGGTTGTGCTTGTGAACACCACAGACTTGTGTATATGTATGTTGAACTTTGTTCGCACCGTACGTAGCCAACCGTGTTAATCGGAGGTGCGGGAGCTAATCTATGCCGTTCGTTTTGACTCATAATTGGCGTAGAGTTAGAGAGAACAAGTTGGAAGTGAGTAAAATGTGATTTCTTTAAAATAACCTAAGTTTGATTTAAAAAGAATACAGTTTGGTATCAGTTTACAGAAGTGTCAAGAATAGAGCCAAAGGCCAACGCATGCTTCGGCTGCAGAATTTTCAGACAGTCACAAAAGGTGGTAAATTATATTGTGCAAAGATTCCGTTCAGAGCAAGATTTAGGGCTCATAAAGGTTAATGTTATCTCACTGGTATTTAGTAAAGGGCTTGGAGATAAAAGATGCTGTTGAATGTTTGAAACTCAGCTGTAAACTAGTTTGAACTTCCTTGACAGAGCTTGTCGTGGAGACTCTAGGCGCACCTTTAGAACTCGCCTTTTGCCCGTCCAAGGACGGGTGCATTGCAATAAATCGGAAACTTGCAAGCGAAAAGCAGGGGGAGAAATCTGAAGCGTTGCTACGGAATGTTGTACAGAACAGATTCCCTTCACTCCCAATACTTCAGAACAATCCCCTAATGCCCCCAAGCTGAAAATGCAGATGTTAGGAGAACTACATTTGTGTTGCACAAATGACAAGGCTTTAACTTGCTTCGAATTATCTGGACTAACAGGCATCATAACTGGCCATGATCAATCCACTCCTGGATGGCAGGGCCCGCAGGGATTGTTTTGGTTCGGTATGCCACAAACATGGAGCAAGCTCGTAAGTGAGCGTGCCGTGGACTGAGAGGCGTTGAGAAGCACCGGTCTGGCAGCCTGTCCCGTGACCAGCGTGCGTGCCGGTCTCAGTGCGGCCGTGGAACCGCGTGTCCAGCACGAAGGCCTCAACTGGGGCAAAGGTGACGGTGCTGTCCCGTCACGGTGGCAGCGCTCACGCTCCTGTCCCATTATTCCTTGGGCAGAAACGATGTCTGTATGAAAACCGATCCTTGACCCTGGCGATACGGGCATCTATATAATTGCTTGCCAAGTATTCTACTTATTTTAAATTTGATAAAATACGTGCAAATATTACGCTCCTGTGCCGAGAATGGCACGACACTGAGGGATGGCAACGTGACGGGGAAAGGACGAAACAGGACGGAAATAAAGCAAGGACGAATGAAAGACAACGAATAAACACACTGTACAGAGGCCAGCACGAACACAGCGCTCAGAAGCGCAGGCAGTGCAAGGCGGTGAGGCAGTGCACGAAGAGAGCAGAGTTGACAGTAACACGCCCGCAGGTCCTCACGCAGGAGGAGCTGCTGCTGCTGCTGCCAGCTCCAAACTCCCACGGCAAGGGGCTGCGGTCCTCAAGGGCACCTCTCGAATCGACACGCTGCTGTTAATTTACATGTTTTTGTGTGTCCATCGTTTCTACATTAAACTGGTCAACCGAAAGGACACAACGACAAACACTGCACCGCCAACACTTGCTAACACACATTTTATCTTTCCGACAGACAAAATAGACACCGCCAGCCGGGTGGACACCGCCAGCCGGGTGGACACCGACAGCTTGGTGGACACCGCCAGCCGGGTGCGCAGCGCACTTCGTTGGGACAGGCCGAGAGCCCGGGCGGGGATTGCGCACCAACATCACCATCACCACCACCATCACCACCATCGCGTGTCACGGACCACAGCCATAGAGGGCAACGAGAGGGCAGAGGCGCCTCACGTATTCGTATCGAGGAAGAGAAAATGATTCGTAGATCCTCTGCGTTCCAATTTCCCAGTGTTTCCAGACCATCAGATTGTAAACCCGTAGTCTCCGAATGCGACGCCATTCCACGTGGTTGTGCTGTCCGCTCGCTCTGACCACCCGGCAGGGCCGTGCCACACGGTTCGGCCATTCCACGAGAGGACCTTCGTGACCGGGGCCTGATTTGTCACTCTCTGACGTGTCACTGTTTTATTTGACCAGGTAAGGCCCACTGGGCTACACAGCTCTTGACTGGCCATAAAGGATAGCTCAACGAAGTGGCGAACATGTATAGTAGCCGAATTCTCTCAACGCATATTTCTGAATCGCTATCACCGACATCGCTGCCACCCACCGCAGTGACACGTGTCTGACTTGTCAATCACACAAATGGTAGGTGGCTGCTGATGTTGTCACTCACAACAGTGACAGCTCGTCACTGCCGCTGCGGTCTACCGGCGACATTCACAGCAGCAGCAGCAGAGCGGTCAGACGATGGCGTCTGTGCTGCTCGTGCTGTGCGGGTCCCGTCGGGCGCGGTGTGTGCTGAGTGTGGTGAGTGTGTGGTGAGTGTGTGTGGTGAGTGTGTGTGTTCGTCCTCTGTGTGTGTTGTGTGTGGTCAGTGTGGTGTGTGTGGTTGGTGTGTGTGGTGAGTGTGGTGAGTGTGTGGTTGGTGTGTGTGGTGAGTGTGGTGAGTGTGAGTGTGTGGTGAGTGGTGAGTGTGAGTGGTGAGTGTGTGTGGTGAGTGTGTGTGTGGTCAGTGAGTGTGGTGAGTGTGGTGAGTGTGGTGAGTGGTGAGTGTGTGTGTGGTGAGTGTGTGGTGTGTGGTGAGTGTGTGGTGTGTGGTGAGTGAGTGGTGAGTGAGTTGTGAGTGTGTGAGTGGTGAGTGAGTCCTCTGTGTGTGGTGAGTGTGAGTGGTGAGTGTGAGTGGTGAGTGAGTGTGGTGAGTGAGTGGTGTAATGTTCGTCCTCTGTGTGCGCGCGTCCCGCACGACAGCGCCGCTCTCACCTCGACTCGCGTCTCCGCGCAAACGCTGGGGCCGCGTGACGTCACGCGCGGACGTGACGTCACGCGGCCTCGTGACCTGCGGAGTCCTCGGCCGGGCGCCAGCGGCAGCAGCATCGCCCCCTGCCGCCACGGGCTGGGCAGGAACCTCCTCGTCAATGACACACGAGTCTTGAGACTCGGCCAACGTGGACAGCACCGCACGTAACATCGTGGTCGAAATTTGGCCAAATTCCCAAAGAACTCAGCCAGCTGCGTCGTCGCCCTGTGCCACACGGGGACAGCTGCCGCTGGGGGTGCCCTCGCAATGGCCGCGTCGAGATGCAAGGCGCTTACCGCGTGGAGAGCGCTATACAATTGTAGAGAAGTTCCGACGGACGTACTCGGAGACGGAGGTAACTTAGGGGCTTCCGCCAGGGTTTATTACTCTTGGTCAAAACTACACAGGGTACACAACTCCCAGGGGCTAGGGGTCCTACTCTGAGTCTGGGTCCCTGCCGGCTAGCTCCGGTCTCTCTCTCGTGTCGGATCGTGGAGTCTGCCGACTCCACCGACCGGAGAGAGAAGCACCTCTTCGGCTACCACCGGCTTCTCCCCAGACTCCCTATTTGATCCCTCTCACTATCCCTGGTTCCCTCTTCACCCTGTTTACTATCCCCGTTCCTATAGTGACCCCGCTTACGTTACGGGGTCTCCCTTATATACCCTCGGAGGGGTGATGTCGCGTGCACTGCCCAGCGCGTGCGACCCCACGTCCCGTGAGGTCACCGCACCTGACAGCGCACACGACGCCACCACTCTCCACTACTCCTCTACACAATTATATTGCGCAACAATGGGGACTGTTCATATTTACTTTACACCCTTTTTACGAACTATACTTGGAGCAACATTGTCACAAGAAATGTATTTCATTTGATGAGATTTCTCCATCGTCGCTTTTACACCGATTCTTACAATCGGCTTGTGTCTCGAGAACATTATTTAGCGCCTGACCAGGTCAGCTGTCGGTTTTGCAGCGCCTCGAATGACTTAGTAGGCCAATCCTTGAGTGGCAATCCTTGCCACAGCAATTGCAAGTGAATGCGGTGGCAGCTCCAGAGGCAAGTGAATGCGGTGGCAGCTCCGGAGGTGTTTGTTGCGTTTTCTTGACGTCGCTCCCTCTTGGTCTGCCAAGCGGTGCGGGTTTTCTCCTCGCCTCTCCTGAGGCCTGTTTTCACAGCCTGTTGCCAGCTGAGTCGGTCATCGGCAGTTTTCTCCCAGTCATTTGGGTTGATTTCGCAGCTCTTCGTGTCCCATTTGCAGACATCTTTGAAGCGCAGGACCGGGCGACCAGTGGCCCGCGTGCCTGATGCCAGCTCGCCGTACAAGACGTCCTTGGGTGTCCAAACCATCTCAGGCGCCTCTGACTGAGCAGAGAGTACATGCTGGGAATGTTGGCCAAGTTGAGGACTGAGGTGTTGGGAACGCGATCTTGCCATCTGATGCCGAGGATACGCCAGAGACAGCGGAGGTGGGATGTGTTTAGTCGATGTTCTTGATGGGCGTATGTTGCCCAGGACTCAGAGGAGAGTGCTAAGGACACAGGCCCGGTTCACCTGTACTTCACCTGTACTTCGGTGTTGAGCATTCGGGATGTTCTCGATGAATATCTTGTTATACTGTACTTGTTTATTTCGTCGTGTTTGCGTACCCCAAGTCAAACTTGCAAATGAGACTTATGGTCTCTTTAGTTCTCACCTCGTTAAACAAAATTTTTATTTCTGTTCTTGACAATAGCTGCATCATCCTACTCCAGGTTTATTATAATCTAATTAGGTAATTGTATCCAGTATTCACGTAAGAATGTGTTTCCTGTAATTCGAGCCCATAGGTGACGTGTGGCTCTCGGAGTGGCCTGCTGAGCAGTCCCATTCAGAGTTTGAGATCATCTATTAATGGCCTAACATTTATTCTTAAACCTAGGATACACCAAATATTTATCCGATATAAGAATGATGGAAACGATTCATCGTGTCACGTAAAATATCGATTCCTAGAGCTCAGAATACTCGCTTTTAATCACCTGCTATCTAAACGTCCAGGAGAAAACAAACGCATCGACATTGCCATCATATTTTTTAATAAGTAAAAAGTAACAGTTCAGAACTATGATATTTCTTTCCAAATTGCAAATTGTATGTTTGCTCTGGGGAATGTTTTGTCTATTCTGGAGAACATGCACCCCAGCCCACACAATGCGATTTGTGCACGAAGGACGCTGCAGAAGGACTGTGAGGCCTGCTTGTGGCCGATGGATCTAAGCAGTCACCTCGGAGAAAAGCATTGTAATTTTCATTCACCCAGAATTTGCTTTCATAGTGAAAAATTCCATTCCTGATGCCTACACCATAGCATAACCAGCCATCATGGTATGGAATAACCTGGAGGTAAACATCATCAAGTTTCAACGAATATCCCTTAAAGGGTCTGTTTTACACAAGTGTAGTGGTGATACGCGCTGGGGTAGGGATCGTGTGCCAGCGCGTAGTGATTGGCTGTGTATGTGGTGACGCGCGCTGACGGTGGAGGATCAGGGGTCAGCGCGAGGTCATGGGTTACGTGGTGCTGATTGGCTGTGTGCCGGTGACGCGCTGAGAGGGAGTGATCGGGTGGCAGCGCGGTGTGATTGGTTGAGTAGTGTTAACACGCGCTGGGGAAAACGGATCGTAGAGATAGCGCGTCGTCATTGGTTAACTAAGGAGCGATGCTCACGTCGACGTCCGCATCAGCTCCGTCTCCCGTGAGCAGGGGCTATAAAAGGGGATGCACACAGGCGTGAGGGCAGTATGTAACCAGCGAAGAATGAAGACGGGGATGAAGAGATAGGGCCCTGCGGTACCTAGTCCCGCTGTCCTAACGGGACCGGGACTCTGTGTAACCCAGAGGCGAATGCATTGTGTGTAGCCATAGGGTCTACACGAGTCGAATGCATGGTGTGTAGCCATAGGCATAGGGTCTGGTCTACACGAGTCGAATGCATGGTGTGTAGCCAGAGGCATAGGGTCTACACGAGTCAAGTGGAGTGTATAGTCAGAAGAATAGAGACCACACGTTGTATTGTGACACGTCAAGATTTAATAAAAGTGTGTTACCCGTCAAGAAGTTCCTGCCGTCATTTCCAATACTTCACAAGCATCAGACTGCACTCTAGTGGTTCATGTGCACACATCAAATCTTCTGAGTAAAGCGTGCAAAGCTTTACACATTTAAACCAAAAGCTACTTTACATGATGGAGTTGGTGCAGTAATGGGTGGTTGGACTGAGCCATTTCATCACACTACACCTGGGGACCTAATTTTATTAATTAAATTCTGAGTAGCAGCCCAGGACACGAGTGCAGATGTAGTGCTCAACAACCTGAGCATCGGCCTTCTGAGCCAGTCGGCCACATCATACAATCCATCGCACCAAAATTACAACGAACGCAAGGCTTTCAAGGCAGTCTGTAGTATTACGGTGGGTAATTGCATTCTTCGTTTTGTTTTACCTTCTGTGCCGCCTTTTGGTCAACTTGGTGCTGTTCTTGTGTAATGCGAGGAGTCCTTTATTACACTTGCACAAGACATTTCCTTTAACACCGCCATTATCAAGAGGCCCCAACAGAGTTTGCAAGAGCAAGCTGCTGTGTAGCAAGCACAATAGAGGCAGTCGTGTATTATGGCTATAGCTCACCCATGAATTACAATCTGCAATAAACTAAGGTGCAGATGTGTCTTGTACACGCATTTAAAAGAGCGTGTACAGCCAGTGAAGGCAGATTGGCTGCACCAGGTTTCTGTGCACAGTCCAGCACTACTGGGCTTGCATTTTGCCAAGAATATAGTTTGGACGAAATACATTGTGGCTACATTTCACAATGTGTAGCGTTCAGTCCACAATCCATTCACGTGCAGGGTACGACATTGGCCAATGTTGTTCTCAAGAGCAAAATACATCCATCCTGTATAAGAAATAAACTTGCATAATCTTACAACATATACATTTGTGGTACTTTCCGTTTACAAACTTGTACGTTGCTTTTCCCCCCTACTTTTAGTTTCTTACAAAAAAATAAGACAATTTGGCAATTGCATTAAATAAATGAGGCCTATGCATTGACATTGGAGGCCTATAAATTATTAAATATGCAACACTGCACTTTAATTAATTAATAATTAAAACATTCACATTAAGTGACAATTTGTCAAAAAGGTGAGCTAAGTTGCCCCCAGGATACATTCTTGAAGCATACGCTCAACCTTAATCCAATGAGAAAAAAAACTGTTAAAGTGTTGATATAACCTAATATTCACGAGAAGGCACACTCCATAAGAAAGGTTATATTGCATCCCTCATCAGAAACTGAATGCGGCAGCTGTTGAGAAGTGGAGAGAAGGCTGTGCAACTTCCATGATTTCCACAATTGGCTCGTCATTCACATCCAGAGCAGCACATTCCAACATGGCAGCCAATAAACAGATACCATTAGAAAAGCCATCTTCAATCATTTAACACACCTCTTCTTTTTCGATCAACTGTACATAAATCAAAGCTACAAATTACGAAGCAGCAATTCAAAACATCATAGCACTTGGTTAACGTGTAGATTTCCACAGACAATTTTATGATTCATAATACATTTTTGGCGTGTGCCATATAATGATCTAACCTTCAATAGGAATTCATAATCACCTAAGGACAAAATTATAATGTGTATAAGCCTTTATGGGCCATTATTGATTCAGCTCACCAGTAAACTATATGTTTGTCTATCCGGTGGTGAAGGGTTCCTCGTGATATCGGATTTGGACAGATAATTACGTCGCCTAAATAAAAAAATGTTAAGAATCGTGAAAAAGTGTCCAATTGTTCAGATCCGAATTGTAAGCCGTGCCGCTATAGAAACTCCAAGAGTGCCTTTGTTACACAAAGTGTCAAGCCAACTTTGATGAATCAGTAACTTTACAAATACGAACAAAATATCCTTTCAATACCATTAATTCACGACCAAATACAACTAATTATATAAATCATTATTAGTTGCTGGTCTAAATATATATGCCTATCAGTCCACTGTAACTATTTACTTCTTAAGTCAACATTTACGTTGCAAAACAAACGTGGACTTAAGGGAGGACGACTGGAATGATCTTGCCGGGTCACGAGTTCTTTTCCTAGTAACACAGCCAGGCGACCTCCAGGCTCCACTGTTGCACCGAAACACGCGGCTGCTGCCCAGTGCTCTGCAGCACTTTCTATCGCCGTTGCCATAGTTTTGGGGAAAATGAAGTCGTAACAATTGGGTGTCATTTGCTTCTAAATCATTTAACTTTTTTTTTTGCTTTTAAGATGCTTTATTGATACCTACTGGCATTTGAACAAACTGTACCAGGGCACATCACTCACTGTACATCGCCATGTTTGTGTAAATGCAATATCGATGGCTAAAGTGGCAGAGGAAAGGAGTTTCCGAATTCACACATCAGCGGTACATTTCACCTTGCAGTATTCATGCACCAGTCAGAGCAATCAAATTGGTGGGGTTTTTTAGGAAATGTTAAGTCTTTTCCTTGCATACTTAATTTCAATAAATTTAGAGATGACGCTTGGTGTCCTTGTGAAGTACAGTGAATAGCAACATTTTCAAAATTATCCCTGAAATATTAAATTCGTGATTTTTCTCAAAGCGTTGCGAATTATAACCCACAAAGAATTAGGTGCTTTGGATTTCTGTAACGTTTTAATCGATGATTGCCCTAAACCAGTTTTTGTTCGTGTTCGTGTTCACAGCACGTGAAAACTATCCAATAAGCAGAGGAGGACAATCAGAAGCTCGCCCAATGAAACCAGTCAAGTAGGCGGCCCTGGCAGTGTCGCGAGGATGAACAAGGAGGCTGGCTTCCCATACCCCCTCTGGTGGCGGCATTAAAATCTGTAGGGAAACAAATAAAAATGGAGGCGAATGGACTGCATTAAGGCTGATGAAAGTTTTATGTTCTGCATTTGAGTGGGACTTGGGACTGCAAAAGCGAGTTCATAACCGAGGACAATTGATGAGTTTTGGGTGTGGAAAAGGAGGTTTCAATCACTGAAATTTAGCGAGGATGACACGTGTATGTCCGAAAGTGCTGGCCATGTTGAGAAGGGCTTGAGAGCCTGAACACAATGGACTACTCTGCCATCTGTTAGTGTTCCAGTCGCAGCAGCGGAGCACAGCTGGTCGGCTGCAGATAGCAGCCAATTACTGACATGACGGCAAATTAGTCAAATCCAAATCTCAGGTTGTTGTAATTGAGGAATATGAATGCATAGCCCAGAAGCACCCAACTATGAGTGCTGCCAGGCCATACATGAACCAGGATTCTAAAACGATGAGTGTTTAAAATGTAGCATGAACACAAGGGAGCAGTAATGTGCGCACATCAGCAAAACAACCTATGGAAGCAAAGTGGCCCATCATCCTGTGAAGATTAGACCTACAGTGGAGTCCCATGGCAGGTCCGGCAGCTTACAGAAGACTACACCATGACAGGAGATGAGGCAGAGCTTTCCAATTTCTTTAGTTCAACAAAGACAGAGCTGAAGCAATGAAGCCGCAGCAGGCTCAGGCGAGGTGCAGCTGGATGGCCTGGCCAGCCATTCGATGGTGCTGCAGATGAGCGACCGCTTGGCGTGCCGAGTCTGCCGATGGGAACGACACCAGCGCCTCGCCGCTCAGCTGCCCGCCCAGCCCGTACAGCAGCAGAACCGAGTCCGCGCTCACCTATCTCGCGCGGGGTGGGAGGCGCGAGGCAGGGAACACCATGGTAGCGGCGGGGAAGGCCGAAGCCGCGCAAGGCAAGAGGGGAGGTGGGACAGGGCAGAGGACGGAAGGGCAAGGGCCAGAGGTCACAAATGAGTCGACGCACGCCACGACACAAGGGCTACGTTTGTTCAAAGACGCAGAAACGCCAGCCACACGCCAACGCGCGTACCCTCGAGTTGATGGGCACAAAAACACACGAAGCTGTGGAGACGGGCACAGCACTTGGGCAAGTGGAGGGGGAATACACACGAGAAATTGAATATCCGACAACCAAAGGCACGGCACATGGAGGTGGCTGGGTGACAACTCGGGGGTCGAGCGTCGGAGCACTTGGCTGGTGCCGCTGGGAACTGGGATTCAAATGCAGGCAGATAGATGCCTGTGCGATAACCGGGCACTGAAGAAGAATGAATGGATGGTCTCGGTCCATTCACCAATGGATGAACACATTAAAAAAAACATTCACATTTAAATTCCTAGCGCCACCCGAAGCACAATAGTAATATAGATAACTAACGATAATTCATACATGTTTTTGAATAATATATTTCTGATGTTCACTCGCAATACTAATGCCTGAAAGCTCGATTGTCTTTACTGTTGTTTGTGGAAAGTACTCTTTGGTTCTTTCGGTAAAGTCACGTAGAAAATAAAATAATAATAGAATACGACGTTTCGGTTGCAACACAAACAACCATCATCAGGTAAGAATGAATGATAAAACACAGACCCGGGAACAGTATAGGCAGCCACACATGCATGGTGTGTCTCGCTTGGTGTGTCTTTGTGTGCGTCTCTCTCTGCATGTGTGCCTATGCTGTTCCCGTGTCTGTGTTTTCATCATTAATTCTTACCTGATGATGGTTGTTTGTGTTGCAACCAAAACGTCGTATTCTATTCTTATTTGATTTTATTTTCTACGTGACTTTACCGAAAGAACCAAAGAGTAATTCCTGCAGTCACGAAAGCTTCGAATCTAGTTTGTGGAAAGTACTTTCCCCGATTTTCAGTGGTGAGAGGCTGCATGCATCTCCAGACGATGACACCAATGCGGTCGTGTTTCTGCCTCGACACCAACAAAACAATCATATTTCATGAGGCTGGAATGTTTTGCATGGAAGTTATAAGTACAATTTAAAAATATTAATATCAATACCTCGTGTTTACAGAATTTGGATGTTTTTTCAATTCTTTTAATTGTTCTCATCCATGTCCCAGCCCATTGTATCAATTCACATGACACGAATTCCTCCACCAACTCGTCTATGATCATAGGACGAAACACAGTCCAACAAAGATTTGCATTAAAATAGCAGTAATCATAAAATTCTGAATTAAAATAATCTTTGGCCTCGTTCACTCCCAGCTTACCCAATACCCCTTTTCTACTGGCACATTCGAGCAAAGGCAGCGACGGGCCTTTGAAACATGGGTGGCTTCCACTGGTTATTTGCCGTGTCGAGCCAGAAACAACCTGTAATGCGCTGGTCTCACAAAACGTTCAAATCTGTCTCAGGGCCAGTACACTGCAAGGACGCAGCGTTACTGAATCAGCTAAAAAAGTATTGATTCCTGCGGCTTCGCCAATGGAAAAACACCTGTACCTCCATCACAGCCCCACCTACGAGGATTCGGCCCACCACGCGCCACCAGCACCGCCACCACAGCCGTAACGCCACACCCGCAAATTGCCACACCACGCCACGAGCACCACCACAGCTACAACGCCACACCTACGACACGCCGCCACCAACACCACCACCGCAGCCGCGACGGGGAGACTCCACCAAGCAGAGCATGGGAGAAGCTGGCGCCTTACCTGCCGAGGCCTGCCCTTGCCTAGATACAGAGCCACTCTTTGGTGGAGCGCGGTGGGCCGCACGTCGCCATGTGGCCCGCGCTCTCCCCGGCCATTACCTGGCGTGCCGGCAAGCGGACGCCCACGTTTAGATTCTCCCACAGGGACACACCGCCATCACTCGCGTTTACACCATCCCCACATCAGCATTTTCGTAACTCAGCTTTCACTCGTCTCTCGACACAACAAACACATATTACTCTCGTCCAGTATGCTATGGGGGCCTTGCAGACAAATGTTATCCAGCAGCAGAAATCTGCAGACCAGATTCATTGCAAGACAATGTTCTTTGATTCTACAGACGGTCTAAATGTAACCACAAGTCAAAACCCTGCACAGGAACAGAGCATGTTAATTTTAGAGAGAGAAGCAAAGAGGAAGGCCCTGAGCCTGAACTTGAACAGGGGCAGGCAGTTGATGCACGGATGATGTGGGAGTCCCCGACTTTGGGGCAACAATGGAGAATGAGAAGGAGCAAAGGTTAATTGGCGGCATTGGCAGATAGCCTTCGTAGCTGGAGCAGAAGTATGTGGAGGGAAGTATGGTGAGATGAAAGGGGAGATAGGCAGAGGAGAGTCAATGAAGGATCTTGAAGTTGGTGAGTGTGATCTTAAAAAGTATCCAGGAATGGATTGGGAGCGAGTGGAATAATATAATTCAGAAATGCTGCATGTAAAAGGTTCCCGTAGCACTAGCAACCACTGGGATTCTGACCCAAATCGTGACAATTTGTTGACAGGCGATGGAGTGGCATGGCAGCAATGGAGGGGCACCGTGGAGGAGCACGATGACGTTGCTACACACAGGAGGGATGAAAGTGGAGCGGCCACACACCTGGTACCCATGGAAGAAACCCAGAACATCCTTGACCCCAACCCCATGGGGCAGCCCCTGCATACGCACCACAGCGCCAGGCTGTGGGGGCAGCGCCATGCCGGGGGGCGACGGGAAAAAGCCCATGGTGCTCGGCGACACCGGGGGGCTGCTCGCCACACACAGGGACAAGTGTCTCACACACACACCTAAAAAGACAAAGATCCCCCATATAGCCTTAACAGACTTGGGGCAAGTGCTATTATCGAACCCGGGTCGCCAGGTATGTAGCGTAGCGCAGCGCGCTAACCGCTACACCACTGCTCCCAACACACACACACAGACAATAAGCCTCACAATGACGAGTTGAGATAGTGCATCATCTCCCAGTTCCACAAGACAGTGACACATCCGCCTGGCGAATGCGTCGTTGGCCTCAGCACGGTGCGCGCGGCCCGGGCGCGGTGCCCACCTGGGGTAGTAGGCCGTGTAGTTCATGAAGAGCTGCGTGCTCGTAGCCGGCTGATAGAAGCCGCCCGTCGGGGTGCACGGAGGGGGGTGCGGCGGTCCCAACAGCATCGGGTGCGGGAAGAGGGCAGCCTCGGGCCCGAACATGGGCCCCTGCGGTGGGAAGGTGAGCATGCCCGGCGGCGATAGGCCTGTCCTCGCACGCGCACAAACACGCGGACGTGCACACAAGCCGCTTCGCTCAGCCTTGCATCACGAGGGGCACATCCTATAAGGCAAAGTGTAATATGGCCAACACAACAACAGGCAGGGTCCCTTCATCTCCCCAACAACGAGGCATAGGTCACTAAATCCCAAGGACAACTTGGATTGGTTTAGATATCAACCGCAAATTATGTTGTGCATGACCAGGATCGAACTTGGGTAAAATTTCTCCTTCCCATCTCCTCCTCCCACACACACAAATAAGCTATTGCCAGCCTTAGGGACGGTACAGCCGCTGAGTGAGCACACACACACACTCACTCACAGGGATCTATGCAGAAGGAGCAGTGGCGCACAGCTCCTGGCTGCTGCCCAGTCAGGATTTGAACCTTATGGCAGTACCCCGGGGTACCATCGTAGTCCCACTCTCGCATAATGTCCGTGATAGTCATTTCGAGTCTGTCGACGAGCTGTACACGATGCACTATGGTGCATACGAGCATTCAGGGTTTCGGCGCAATCGTCCTCGCTGCGTTTCGACATCGTGGATGTCGCGGAGTTAAGTACACCCCTGGAAAAAATTGTGTCCCAGAAATAAATTGCCTCCGCCATTTTGTATTATTTGGTACCCTGGGGTACCACCATAAGGATAATTTGTTTAATCAGCGACCGCACGTCTTGTGTCGCATGTTCATGGCAAGGCTCATTCTTCCACCGAACGCCATCGGTGTTCCACCTTCGACCTCGGTCCTTCCCGTGCTGCACGTCAGTAAACACAGTGCCACGGCAACATGTGGTCTCCAGCCGGCGGAGTATCGTTGTCACTTCTGCGCCGAAGAGTTCGGCGCACACTTAAGGTCGGCTTAATTCAAGGAGATCTTGAACGCACCTCGTGCTCTCTCCTCTACCATCCCTCATACCTCTCACGACCCATACTTCTAGAACCTGCTTTCAGCCATTACAATGTTAACCAGACTCCAGAATAAATTCCTTTTGAATCCCTTGGCCAATCAAATATTCGCTGGTCAAGCAGACCGTCGATTGTTTGTGGCTGTTCCACCTGACCAATCGGGATCATCCCGGTGCAGCGATCAGCCAATGGGTTTGGACCAATCTGTATAATTATTACAGCTAAGTTTTAACCTCCTTGTCAACAGTGTTACTAACATTGTACTTCTTGATGCTGATTTGTCTTTTCCAGGATGTGAGTGACAGTATGAGGTCAATGTTAAAATAAAAACCCTTTCCCAAGTCCAGTTCATTCAGGAAGGCCGGTTGGCCCCTAACATCTCTGTCATGTGGTTTCCCAAGGTCTCGATGTACAATGTATTTCTCCATGTGACAGACAGGAGGACACAGTGCGTGTGCGTGCGTGTGTGTCCGTGCGTGCGCGTAAGTGCATTTGTTCATGCGTGCATTTGTTCATGCGTACACGGCGGTGGGGAGAGGCCGTTGTTGTTGAGCGAGCCGCCCAGCAACACGACGCTCATCTCGTCTGCGGAGCAGGCGAACACCTCAACGTAGCGCTCCCTCAGCGAACGGCGGTGGCAGCGCTGGGCCGCGAGCGCCGCGCGCTCCGCACCACGCATCTGGATGAACGCATCGCCCGACGGGCGGCCCTGCCGGGGTGGGGGGGACACGGGGGGTGAGAGCGAGGCACGTGGAGGCGCACCGAGGTGATGGCGCATCTGCACGAAGACAATGACATTGATTCAACTCGTCGGCTACTTGGGTGGCAGCCCCAGTGTGAATCAGACGAGTGGACCAGCACCAAGTTGAGGGGCGCTCTCTCCGCACAGCTGTCCACAGCCAAGGGGGTGCTGCTTCCTTGCCGGGTGGACCAGCGTACAGGTGCGTACACACCCCCTCAGGTGGTACTCGTTGTATCGACTCCGGAGAGATGAAAGGCTGACCCCCAGTCTGGATTCAAACTTTCGACCTTGCAGTCATGAGCCGAGCGCTTTACCTGTGCGCCATCCGGCCAGATAATTAAATGGGTCGACCAAAATCAATTAAAATACATGCTCCCATAACTGCACGGTGTGTGTACTGCTCTGCTTTATCTATAAGTTCAATTCTAAAAACACGTATTTTTTTGTTTCAGTCACAGAGGTTGTTTGATCATACTTCGCCATGCTGGTCGGCTTCTCAGCTTCACACGCGGGCCCTCGGAGCCACAGCTGAGCTCTGCTATTGGGTGGTGTTAGGCCGAGACTGCACCCACGATCCCACCTGCTGGTTGAACACCATGTGCACGCCCTGGGGCCGGATATCGCCGGCGAACTCCCCAAGGAAGTCGAGGATCTCCTCGATGGAGGCGGAATAGGGGAGGCCGCGCAGGCGTACGCAGTCGCGCTGGGCCCCGCCGGGGGTCAGCGGCCCTCCCGGCGTCAGCGGCCCGCTGGGGCACAGCGGCCCTCCGGGGAATGGCGACGGCAGCGCGGGGACCACAGGCAGCAGAGGCGTCGACATCACGCGGTTCAGCACCTGGGAAGGAGGCGGCAGTGGTCATTCCGTGAGCGGGCACGGCCAGCTGTGGACCTTGTCTGCCTGGTAGCATCACCCATCACCCATCATCTTCAAAGAGCCGGACGCTGCTTGTGCCAGCCAGAACAAAATCCACCAAGCTCCAAGTCCTTCTCTTGCAGAGCATCACAACTGTCCTGGAGCCCGTGCCCAATCCATTTCTACTTCCTCCCCTGGCCAAACGCAAGCGGTATGTGCATGTGAGAGCCAAATGATTTGTCCACTGCAGCCACAAACGCTGGCAGAGCCCGCTGAAGGGAGGACCTGTAATATCTATGAACGCCTCGAACAATCGTACCTGGCCAAGGGGCTTGTGCTAACACATCAGGATCTCGATAGATCACGAGAATCACTATGGACTCATCAGTATCGCCAGCATCGCCCAACACTGACCAACGATTAAGAATAACTCGCCACCAATTCCATTGCCACCCCTTGAATAGAACAGTGAGATACAAGTAATTCGAAATTGGCATCGATATTCATTTCTCTTCCATTAGACAAGACATAACATCATTGTGCAGAGTAAACTCAACAACGGGAAGTCAGCCACGCTGTGAGTTGGTGCCAACTGTGTCTTGTCTATGTATTAAGGTGTTATCAGGTAGTTATTGAGTGATTACATGTCGGAAGAAACCAGATTACCTGGAGAAAATCCACGCATGCGAGGGGGAAACACTCTATCCCATACAGACGGAAGATTTCTGCTTAACCGCCTTCTGCTGGTGAGCCAGCTCCTCCTCGACACCCACAGGAAGGGAGCTTCACAACATCGGTGTGAGATTCACCAACCCTCGCTGCTGCCTCCACAGCGCCAGATCACGGACCACGCACAGCGTACCCACCGCCGGCACCACCCGGCTAAACAACGAGAAACGGCGAGCGCAACGACAGAGCGTCCGGCGCCAGCGCGTCGAGGCGGTGGCTCCGGGTACGCGGGAGGCACCTGCTGCAGCTCGGCGGCCGTGCTGCGGAAGAGCTCGATGTAGCGCTTGCCCAGCATGTGGCGGTGCTTGGCGAGCGCGGCGGCCGCGCACTCCTCGCCGGCGAACAGCACGAAGGCGTCGCCCGTGGGCCGCCCGTCGGGGTGGTGCACGAAGAGCAGGCCCTGGCGGCCGGCCGTCACGGGGCACGCCGCGCCGAAGAAGGCCAGCACATCGTCGGGCGCGGCCGCAAAGGGTAGCCCCCGCATGCGCACGATCACCTGACCCTCGTGCGCCAGGAACTGCGAGACCTCACTCGACGCGCCTGGGGACGGGCGATAGCGGGCCAAGCGCAATGCCGACACCAGGTCAGACGAATGAACGGACACAGTGACGCATGGATAAGCATTCTCATTGAGGAATTGTCACGAGGATGATGGCTGGTCAAGCGCGACTGGTCACACGCGTATGTGGATAAGTGAGCAACTGATTGCAGGTGACCAACCGCGAGGAAACATGAACAAGCAAGCTCCGAGACCGTCAGAGAAACAACTTACCAACTGCTATCTTTGAGAATTCCTCTGCAGAAGATCTATAGACCTGCAAAACAGCATAGTTGCCATCACTCGCATCGTCTCGCACATCATCCGACAAACCTCGTCAGGATGTAGGGTGAGAGTGCGAGAGGGTGGAGAGGAGGTGAGTGCGTGGCTCGGCCCAGCTCACTCGACGCTGTCGGAGGGTGGGAGGCGGGGGGCCACGGTGCGCGTCACCTCGATGTAGCGCGAGCCCATGTGGTGCTTGTGCCGGCTGAGCACCAAGTCTCTCTGCTGCTCGTCCTGCAGCATGACCAGCGCCTCGCCGTTGCGCCGGCCCAGCGGGTTCAAGCACAGGGCGATTCCTCCCCTAGTGGCAGGAGTGGAGAGGGGGAGAGCAGGCGGTGAAGAACATTGTCTCCGGCACGGCCCACAACTGTGCACGGAGTCCATCGACAACTCTTGTCCTCTGCCCTGCCGCTCAAATTTTCAACGGCACGGTCGCCGTCTCCGTGTCCCACACTGACCGGGCCCCACCCACTACGGGCCCATGTTCTTGTCACTCTTGGAGAAGGCACTCTGCAGGGGACTGTGCCTCAAGGCCTCCAGCATCCAAAGCTATGATTGATTTTTGAAGGCTCGTCAAAATGTTTGTATTTGGGCCTCATTTATGAACGAATCCAAATAATGGGAGCGCATCCCAATCGCGCGGTGCACACTGCTGGACGGGAACTCACTTGGCGATGTTAAGGCCCTTGAAGAACAGAGCTATGTCCTGCTCGGACGACTGCCAGGGCAGCCCCCGCACACGCACCACCGTGTCGCCATGCACACTGTTGTAATGGCTGCTAAACACGCACACAAAGACAAAGATCCCCCGTATAGCCTTAACAGACTGTTGGTGCAAGTGCTGTTAGCGAACAGCACCGATGAAGGTCGGCACAGCACACGAGGGGGTGGCCTGCTCATGCCCTGGCTGCCTTTGTCTCCCCAGTGACTATGTTTACACACCACACCATTTATTCATTTGAGGCCGAGTCGACGTAGGGGAGGCCCAGGACCGGTTCAGATAATCGTCACAGGTGTTGACCAGGAGCAGGAATCGAACTCGGATCGCCAAGTTCATAGCGCAGCACGCGAACCACTACGCCATCGCTCACCACACGCACGCACAGTGACGGCCCACGGCGTGGCACAAGGTCAGTAAAACGCCTGGCCTGGTGGGGTCAGGAATCAACGCAACAAATCAAGGTGGAAATGCGTTCACGGGACTTACCAATTTCCCGACTCAAATTGACTCATCACTTCCTCTGGGTTAGAGAACTTGTGATCTATGAAAACAAAGAAAGTGAAATATCAACGAGTAGCAGCCAGGCCTGGCTCCAGCTCCTCTCGGATGGGGTGGGACACGTTTGTCGGCGTTAGCCCCACGCCAGCAGCTCCTGAGCCCGGGCCTGCTGTGGGCAGTGGAACGGTAAGGGGAGTGATTTATATTTGGTGGCTCAAGAGATATTCTCTTTGAACTTCCATCAGGTCACAGAAGTGCCTCAAATTGAGATATTTATGGTTATATCACGAGGATCCGAGTGTGGTTTAGCCACTGATGTTTACTCTTAGAACTAATTTCAGGATAGATGTAATTATCAATGAGTTAAATTTACCAAAATTCCATTGTTGGAGACTGAACCTTTTTATTTTAATTAAAGAATTTAGTCTAAAATTCATGTAAAATAAGCAGAGTTATCTATGGCACCATGTGTAAATCGTCATAGTCATTCTGTATGTGCATTTGTAGAGATGTGTTGGGTTGTTTTAAACATGTAAGACGATTCGGCGATTATTTCACAAGTCCCACCGAGCACCCCCAAGAGTCGAGGCCTACGAATGGAGGGAGACCTCTACGGCCGTCAGCCAAGACATCACCGTGACCAGAGAACACGTTCTCTCATGTGCACTGTAAAGCAAACTAGAACACATGGTTTCAATAATAACATATCAGGGTTCAAATGTGAGGAGCACACGGTCAGGGTCAAGCGGCCAAGATGAACTCATATTCTTTGGTTCTTTCGGTAAAGTCACGTAGATATAAAAAGAAAGTGAATACAAAATAATAAAATAATAAAATAACAAAAACTACATCATTATAAAAAACAAAAACCACGAATGTAGACTGTAGCCTGGTTCTTAACCTGCCAGTACGCTCACCGAGGTTAAAAACCAGGCTACAGTCTACATTATAGACTGCCAGTACACTCACCAAACTTAATAACCAGGCTACAGTTTACATTATAGACTGCCAGTACACTCACCAAACTTAATAACCAGACTACAGTCTACATTATAGACTACCAGTACACTCACCAAACTTAATAACCAGGCTACAGTCTACAGTAGTGGTTTAAGTTTTTTATTATTTAGATTTGATTTTTAAAAAATGTATTCACTTTATTTTCATTATAATTTTTCTATCTATGTGACTTTACCGAAAGAACCAAAGAATATTAATTCCTGCAGTCACAGAAGTTAAGTCAAAATTGAAGATGAACTCACCGTAGGGGGACGCGGCCAGCGCCAGGACGATGTTGCTCATGGCGGCCGCCTCCGCTGCGCCGAACTCGGCGTCGGCGTCGCGCGTCACCCCCAGCGCTGGCACGAGGCGTCAAGGACGCGAGCGCCAAGATTTTAGCTTCGTGTTTAGAAACAGGGCAGAGACGATCAACTCTCCAAGTTAGAGCCCACTTGAACCACGGGCGGTTGTGCCGATACGGAACTCAAATCCTCAGCAGTGCCAGCCCAGTGCTTTGGCCTTTGAGCACCCAGCCAGCTCCACAAGATGAGCTTCATTATTTTATTAAAGGTAATGCCAGACAAAAACTACTTCCATGACCTTTCATAAAAGCGACGCCCCAGTCTTAAAAAGGGGTGCAGACATGCCTAGGGGTTAAGTTACAACTTGATACGCAGTAAAAACTAAAATATTTTGCATTCCCTCAATCCACTGCTGGATGAATGCCTCTCTCCATGCTGTGTCGACCACTGGGGCTGTATGACGATACCTCACAAGAGCCTAGGACCCGTTCAGATGTCGCTCGCCACTGATGCAAGCCGCGGCCGGGAATTTAATTCAGGTGGCACTAGTGTTCATCACTATCCCACCACTATCGCATTTACATTTCCTAGAACATTAATTATAAATGATGATGGTAAAGTATTTGGATATGTAACTGCAATGCTTATCACATGATCACCTATATTCACATGCAAATCTTGAAGTCGTCCGCATGCAAATCGTTTGTCAGATCGTAGTTAAATTAAAATTGTTTACGAACATTATTGTCATCACTTTTGATTATAAGCCTCATTGAGTCTCAAGACTCTGTCAGGAGGATCCTGTCAAGCTTTCGCAGTAGGGGGCCATGTTGCTCCTGTGTGTCATCCCAAATGAGTAATTTGCAGGTAAATTATTTTGCAAATGGAATGTTTTGCCAATACCGGCTACATTGTGTGTGTTTAGCTATGGGAGAAGATGGGAGAACGTGGAGGAGACCCATGCCAAACAGGAGGAGAGAAGACACACTCCACACAGAAAGTCGCCCGGGTTGGGAATCAAACCCAGCACCTTCTTGCTGTGAGGCACGAGTGCCACCACTGCACTGCCGCCACGTGGCCACCCAAACCTTGATACGAGCACCTGGAAAATTATCGTTACAGATCAACTTAGCTTTAAAATCAGCACATGCAGAGCGCCTCCCAAGGTGAAGGATACCATCAGCCATGGTCCAGATGTTGATCTCCTGGCTGGTGGAGCAGCATTTTGCGAACTCTTTGCGGAGGTCGTAGTAGGAGTTGAAGCAGTGTGGGAGAGAGACGCCCTGCGTGAACACAGGGGCCCGCTCAGAATGCTTCGTGTCTGGTGGCGAGCGCCGCTCGAGCTGATGTGCAATGGTGGTGCGTGCATTTGTGCAGATGCTCCCCGAAAGGAGAAACCGTGACGTGCTCGACACGTGTTTCCTGCTCTTCTTGGCAGCAAACCTTCGACACTTCGCGTGGCCTCAAGTTGCACCTAGTCAGGCACAAGTGCCGTGGTGACGTCGACGCCACTTAGTGGTGAGCGGCAGTCGTTGTTGTTGTTGTGAGACGTGTGTGTTCACCATTTCCCTGCACGACGGGCGCCACACCTTTCTAGAGGCCTCTGGATGGCACACTTGCCGCAGAAACAAAGGCCCGTCCACGCAGAGGCAAAAGGATGCATCCTTCTCCAGCTGCAGCTCCCTGCTCACACTTTCCTGGAACTGCAGACACAGACAGACAGACAGCATGGGGGATCATTGACTCAGCACAGAAATGGAGCCATTGCCTCAAGCCTGTGGTAGTGGGGGAATCACTAACGGCAAACATCACTGGCAATGGTCGCAGCACCGTTTCTCAATGTAGAGAAATTTTATAGCCAAAATCCGGACAAATCTGATCACTGCTCCCTATAACAGACATGTGAGATGGGAAACATCAATCAAATAAATGACAGGCAAGGGTCACCGTGACCTCTGTCATATGATTGATCGCAGTCAAAGGTCACACGACAGCCGATTCTATGTGCTCTCTAGACAAATATTTCTTCATCAAAAACCCTTTGCAACAAACTTAGTTGCCATGGACTCGACAGAACACTGCCGTCCCCATGCCGGCACATCACTCGGAGTAAATGCGCTGCCTCGGTACATAACAGCGTCAAGGGTATGAATCTAACATGAATATAACTTAGTTATCGATAGCATCCCTCCAGGGTAATTAAATAGGTAACAATGGATGATGATTCAGTGGCGATTGTTGTGGAATTTCCACCACGAGCTCAAGACACAATAGAAATGATGAGCACCGTTATTTGACTGGCCGTTTAGTCTGCAGACCGTCGCCGTCGAGCTTGTACATGGCAAGCATCGATTAGGAGTGGCGTAGAAAGCACTGCGACCGATCTCCTCCTTTGTCCACCCGGGGGATACAATGCACAAAGTATTCATTGTGGAGTCGATCATAGCGAAACATCAGGGCCATGGTGAGTTTACCACTTGCGTTTGGGTAGGAAGCCAGTGCAGCTCACAGGGATAGTGGCACAGAGCCCGAATCCCGTGACCCTCGCGACCCCCGCGACCCCCATGACCCCCGCACACAACGCAGTGTTAGCTTACATCATTGTGTTCAATGATTAAACACATTAACTATAGGCACTCAATACGTTATGCTATTAACCTAAGATGCACTGCACACACACACTACAAGTCGAAGCAATCATCGTCATCGGCATTGTTTCTTATACGGTTGCTTGCTCAGGTTTGCATGGCTACGTGGACACCGCGCTCACTCTCTGAGCCAGTTTCTGTGTCGCTCGATCCTAGTTAATCTGTGCGAGGACGTGCCCGGGCGAGCCACCTGCTATTAAGAAGTAACCAAATAGGCAATTTTAAGATGAATGTATGGCCACTATATGGCCAGCACCGTCATTTATTTTTATTATTCCGCTTGTTTGCCCAGGAAAGTTTCACCGAGTCCCAAGACCATTTCACAGTACGTGGGCGATGTGGCTGCTGCCGTGTGTAATACCAATTAAGTCATTTGCAGGCATTTTTTCAGCATTGGAATGTTTAAAGCAATAACGGTACATATTTATATCTTTTTTAGCTTTGGGAAAAAAACTGGAGAACCTGGAGGAAACCCATGCAACAGGAGGAGAACACACGAAGTCCATACGGAAAGTCACCCGAGCCAGGAGTCGAACCCAGGCCCTTCTTGCTGAGGTGCGAGCGTTACCAACTTGCTACCCAACAAGCGCACTGCCTAAAAAGCACAAATCATGAGTTAATGCTTTAGACAATGGCCCTTCGTCAGGCACTACCAGAATCACGAGAGGCGTTGCAACTCAGAGAACATTTTATAATTTTGTGCCTCCGGAATATATATTTTAAATTTGCCAATAATTTCTATATAAATATATTTTTAACATTCAATTCTATGCTACAGAACTTTCATTCATAAAAGAGAATCAAATTTAATACATAAATGCAAACTTTAATACAAAGTAATAAATCATTGTACAACTGTTAAATGCCTGTCTTCTATACTCAGCAGACGTGATGCGTTAACCGCCGATGTTCGTGAACGCATCGGAGCTCCACTGCGATTCTAAAGTCGGCTGGAGTGGTCACTCGCACCGTGAAGGAGCGAGAGATCACATTCATTTACAGCTCGATGTAAGATTTATATCAAGGCTGTGTGCATTGCATCATAACATTTTAATCACACAATATGAAACTTACACTCGTGAATCCCAAGACACAGTATAACCATCACAACGCACACTGCGCATCATAATTTTCCCTAAAAAAAACACAGGCTTCAAGTAACACAGTTCTGTGGGAGCTTGGGGTTGACGGTTGAATGAGCGAGTTGTGGCCCTCCAACAATAAAGAACATGGATGTTGCAAACGCCCGGCCACTCAGGGCCCGGCCACTCAGGGCCAGGCACCGCAGGTGCAACCACGGAGGGTCCAGCCACTGTTGTTGTCCCAGACACTGTGCGCCTACCCCCTGAATTATCAGCCACTGAGGGCCGAGGCAATGTAGGCCCAGCCACTGCAGGCATAGCCCCCAAGGGCCCAGCCACTGCGAGCCCAGGCACCCAGGTCGCTAAACCTACCCACAGTCCCTTATGGCCCCCGTAGAGCAGTTAAACAAGTAAAACCCATCAGCCAGTATGAAAGACAACATACCTGCCTCGCAAAGACCTCTCTAAATACTTATTTGATGGTGAAAACATAAACTGACAAAAATCATGTTTTGAAAAGGCAGCTACACGTGTTTTAACGTTGTCGAAAACACAGTAGCAGCAGCCGCAGGTTTCGGCACTGTGAGCTGCACGACTAAATAACTGAAATACGCGACCTGTTTGTTTAGCCGGAGAAAAACACCACACGCGATGCAGCCTTTGTGATGAAGGCAGACCGGCGTGCAACACGAAACAGCCCATTGTGCGGCTGGCACACCAGCCCTGTGGCGACCTGGCCTCGTAAACGCGGAACCCACAAAGACAGCGCCACTCGCAAACATTCTCGCTCGAATGCTTAGGAAAGTGGTGCCGCAATGCATGAATCCAACAAATAACATTGTTTATCGCCCTCGAAGATCGGTGCATCCAATTGCATGCGAGAAAGTCAACTTTTTAAATGTGCACTCTATTATGTGAACTGCGATCGCACGGACCCTCCAGCCACTAGCGGCTGCTACATTCATGAATTATATTGTGACCATGGGTCGTGACGATCAGTTGAAACGCGATGGGGCGAATCGCCGCACAAGTGGCCTTCAAGGATGTTGAGTCGAGTGCTGGTGGCTCAAGGGACGCGAGAAGCGGCAGAGCGGACGCTCAGGGGCCATTGGATCCCCAGTGCGAATTCGAACAACAACAACAATAATAATAATAATAGTACAATTTGTAACGCGCGCAAATTTGCAGACGTAGTGGCCGCAACTCAGAGGCGCGGAGCCAAGCTCAGAGTCGCTCAAAAGCATGATTGTAGAGGTGAGTTTTTAAGTGTCTCTTGAAGGAGGCGATTGAGGTGATGCTGCGAATGTGCAGAGGGATATCGTTCCAGACTGTTGGGGCTGCCACCGAGAAGCGGCGCGTAGACATGACCATCCTGGATCTTGGTATTGAGAGGAGGTCGTGAGTCGCGCTGCGCAGGCATCTGCCGTGTGCTGAGCTGCAAGTTGTCAGTAATGAAGAAAGATACGGCGGGCAGGCGGATATGAAGGCATTGTGGCAGAGGCAGGCGGTCTTGTATGTGACCCTACTGGCAATGGGGAGCCAGTTGAGAGCGCGGAGACGAGCTAGTGAGTCGAGGCGGGGATGAGTGTGGGCAATGACGACGCGTGCTAGGTTATTTTGTAGTCTTTGAAGCTTCCTTAGGTTGCCAGCGGAGGTCCGGACAAGGACGGAGTTACAATAGTCAAGGCGAGACCCAACTATGCAACATGCCAAAGTGTTGGCAATTTCAGTAGAGATGAGAGGACGTATGTGTCTAAGAGCCTTCAGGTGAAAGTTACATGAGCTGATGATATGGTTGGTTTGACGGTCGAAGGATAAAGTTGAATCTAGGATGACACCGAGGTAGCTGAAGTGGTTGGTGAACTTGATGCTATGACCGAAGATGTGTATGTGTGTGGGGAGTGCTGCTGAATTGAGACGTTGCTTGGTACCTAACATGATGGCCACTGACTTTTTCGGATTAAGGGCTAGGTTGTGTGCAGTGAACCATTGTTGCACGGCGGTGGTACATTCCGAGAGCCTCTCGAATCCAGATGCATTGCTAGAATCGATGGCGGTGAATAGAATCGTGTCATCCGCGTATGAGTGATGCTTAACACCGAAGCTTGCAATGAGTCGGCCGATCGGGGAAGTGTAGGCTGTGAAGAGCAGGGGACCTAGAACAGAGCCCTGGGGAACCCCGCATAATGCTCTTGTTTCAGGCGATGTGGACATGCCCACCCTGACTGAGGATTGCCGGTCAGAAAGGTACGAAGCTATCCACTTGAGTGCTGAGCCGCATATACCGAAGTCGGATTTCAGGAGGGAAGTAAGGAGCGAATGGTTGATGGTGTCGAAGGCTGACGAAATGTCCAGACTTACAAGTGCAACAGTTGAGCCGGAATCAACGATCGTTAAAATGTCATCGAGCACCCTGGTGAGTGCTGTTTCTGTGGAATAGTTTTGACGGTAAGCTGACTGGAAGTTGCAGTAGTTTGCGGAGGAGGTGACGTGTGGTTGTAGCTGGGCGAGGGCTAGTCGTTCAAGGAGTTTAGAGAGGTTCGAGAGGTTAGTGATGGGACGATAACTAGATGGGTCATCCGGATCTAGATTTGGTTTCTTTAACAAGGGAGAAACCAGGCCAGATTTGAGGTTGGACGGAAAACACCCCGAAGAGAAGGAGGCATTTGCGATGTTCCTGATCATGATGGCGAGTTCCGGAGCACATTGCTTGAACAAGGAACCTGGGAGCACGTCGAGTGGAGATGACTTCAAAGGAAGTGATTCAATTAAAGCGAAAACGTCTTTTGTAGACACAGGCTTTAGCATAGTTAGAAGAGTGTCTGGGTTAGTGCTTACAATTTTAGGTACCATGAGCGGGGTACAATGGTGCAATGTGTCAGTAGACGTGCACGAGTTTGCGACGGCGATTAGCTTGTTGTTGAAGTAAGTATTAAAAGAGGTGGCAAGTTTCAGTGAGGCAAGGGGATCGCTAAGGTGAGGGACCATGGTGCTACCAGGATGGAGAAGATCTTTGAGAGTTTTCCATAGAATGCGCGGGTTTCCGGTTGCTTTTTTGATGCGTTCCTCAATGTGGGAGGAACGTGAGACAAGGATCAGTTTGTTAGTTTTCCTGCAGGCGACTCTGTAAGCAAGTCGATCAGCAGGTAGACCACTGCGGGATGCGATACGTTCAAGACGCCTCCTGGTTCGCTTAGCAATGATGGCATCTCTTGAGAGCCAGTGAGTGTCGTGAGAAGACTGCCTAGCGGTTCGTGATTTTAATGGAGCTAGTTTGTCCAGCGCCGCCCTCATGTCAGCTTCTAGTTGGAGAGCGCAGACGGTTGGATCCGATGATGGGGATAACATTGAAAGCGAGTTTGCAAGGAGGTGACGAAAAGCAGAAAATTCGATACCCTTAAAATTACGCAAGTTGCGGGTGAATTTGATGGTGATTGGCTTCGGAAAATGGAGGGAAGAAAGTATAAGGCGGTGGTCGGAGTAACCAGTTTGGAAAACTCCCAGTGCAGTGATGCGTCGGTGCTGGTTAGGTTCCAGAACCAGGTCGAGCATGCTCTCAACGTTTGTTGACGAAGCTCTGGTGGGGCCTGAGTTTGTGATGACCAGGTTATGGCAGGCCAAAGTTGACTCAAGGTGACTATCGATGGAGGCTGGGGTATTGCCGGGGCAATTGAAGTCGCCTGTAAGCACGAGCCTGTGAGATGGGTTAGGAATCAGATATAGGAATTCCGAAAGCTCATTTACGAAGGTGTTGATGCTGCCATCTGGAGGGCGATAGATGGAAATAATGTTAAAGCACTCGTTGTTAGTAGTAAGGGATACGGACTGGACCTCGAATGTGGCCTGAGCCATTGGTAGATGGAGCTCTTTAATTTTCAAGTGAGCATTGTAAACGACCGCTAAGCCACCACCCCGCTGGTTAGTTGCGCGAGGTTTATGTAGAACCTTGTATCCTGGGGGCGCAACTTCCAGAGAGATAGCTGGCGGGGAGTCTTGCCTGCACCAGGTCTCAGTGATGAGCAAAAGGTCGATGTGGTGGTCCGAGATGGTATCGTGAATCAGGGCTGATTTATTGGTGATGGAGCGTGCGTTGAGCAGACCGAGGCGGATATGTGAAGGTAGATGTGAAGATCCGTGCAGGTGAGGCGTCGAGGGAACAGAGGAGTTGGCTGGTTCGAGGTCGACCTGTGAACGGCGGCCCCTGCCACCTCTGCAACCACGGTGCCGATGCGATCTCCGACGTTGGCCTCGGAGAAGCCCAAGGACAGAGAGCGTCCTCAGGAGTGCGGGTTGCAGGTGCAGATGATGAAGAGATGGTGCATGTCGTAGCCCTATTATATCAGCCCGTGCTGCAACGATGGTGCGGATGAAGGGGCCCGGATTCGGATGGACTCCAATCAGCGGCTCAGCTGCCCTGAGCAGCAAGTCGAGGTGTCGTTGTCCAAGCTCCACGCTATCAGCAAGCACTTCCCCGTACGTAGCGGATGCAAACACGCCCGTGTAAACACTCGCTGAGCGCGTACACGGGCGTGCAGAACCACGCAGGCGGGGCGTACAATGGAGCAGCCAGAAGTACACGAAGTCCAGTGGATTAGCTGACCACGCTCTGTGCTCCAGCTCGCAGGTGGTGCAGCAGGATGGACGTACCTCGCAGAGCTCCCGTTCACTGGTGGTGCTGGGCAGCAGGCAAGCCAACTCTCTCGTGTTGAGGAGATGACAGTCTGCTTCGCGTTCCCACTCGCTGATGGTGGTGAACGTTGGACGGAGCACGTAGATCTCCCACTTGCTGGCGATGCTGGGGCACGCCAAGCTCACAGTCGCTGATGGTACCGGAAGAGGTGCCTTGTGAGGACGTTGCTGGTAGAAACCGTGCCCGGGGCGGATGTTAAGCCGCGCCGCATGAACAATACAGCCAGCGTCCTCCAGCTTCGTGAATCGAAGCAACAGGCCTCGTTTACTCGCACTGCCCAACAGCTGTGCGATGCGGCAGTTGAGGCGAGTTGTGTGGCACTGCAGTAAACGGCATTTGTCGGCTGTTGTAGCGCCGCGAGGCGTGTGCAGTGAACACGGAGGCGGGCGGGTTTGGGTGCAGGGATCGGCCGCCACCCAAAACTCGGGCGACGCCAAAGTAATAATGAAAATAATGAAACAAAATAAATTATATGAAAAATGTAATGGAAGATGAAAGTAAGAAGAGTGGTGGTGAGTGAAGAAGGACGTGGGTAAGGTACGAGGTGTGGTTACGGTTGATAAACTGTGAGAGCGATCCGGGACTGCAGCCAGCTGCGGCGCTGTCGCCAATAACAACACCAATAACATCAATAACAACAACAACACCAATAACAACAATACCAATAATAACAACAACACCAATAACAACAACAACAACACCAATAACAACAACACCAATAACACCAATAACAACAACAACACCAATAACAACAACACCAATAACAACAACACCAATAATAACAACAACACCAATAATAACAACAACACCAATAATAACAACAACACCAATAAATAACAACAACAACAACACCAATAACAACAACACCAATAATAACAACAACACCAATAATAACAACAACACCAATAAATAACAACAACACCAATAATAACAACAACACCAATAATAACAACAACAACACCAATAACACCAATTACTTCCCCACAAGAACCTCACCGATTCTCAAGACTTTTTCAGGAGGGTTCAGTATTTGAGATGTTTGGCCCATTCCATTAAATTAGACATTGGATTCCGGTGGGAATTAAACAGAGAAGCTGGAGAGAACCCAGATATGAGCAGGTACTAAGGTTCCTCTCGCATGGGGGGTGGGGGGCCTGTGGAGCCGTTGTGTGGGGGCCACCACCACCACCTGAATTGGTACTGGTGTGCCGAGCCACGCCATTACCACCCAAGCGCCGGTCCTGCTCCAAGCTCCACTCAGATAAGACCGTCATCTCCTGGCTCCTGCACAGCTCAAGCCGACAATGCTTGGTATTCTCAGGCAGTCTCCTATAAACGACTTGACCAGGCTAACCGACTGCTTAGCTTCTGGGATCTGCCAATAACAGGCATAATAATGGGGATTTGCTTTTAAAAAGAAAGTGTCCACACCCAGCCACAGGATCCGAGACATTCTGCTTGAGTGCAGGCATCGTGTTACATGCCTATTCCATAGCGGCGCTCGCATGGCTCCGTGTGTTTTACACGGTAGTATATTTTTTTGCTATGGGAAAAACTGGAGAACCTGGAGGAAACCCATGTGATGATGTAACCGTGTATTTGGCCAACAGATTTACTCCGTGGAAGCAGATTAAATATTTGGTAAAAGAGGCTCGTTTCTTTAGATTGTCTGTGTGAATACACCATACTTTGCTGGTGAGAGGCAATGTCAACATGAGACGGAGCTACAGGGGTCGTTTACATCCTCCAGGGGAGCGGGCAGCCACAGCAATTGTCACCATGAGCCAACAACACAACATCGCAGCAGCAGCAGCACAACCACCACAACCACGCAGCTGCTCCCATGCACCTGGCTTCACAAGCATTCACACAAAGACAAAGATCCCCCCTATAGCCTGCAACACGTTGTTGGGGAATGTGCAGTTAGCAAGCACCTTTGCAGGCTGGCATAGCACACGAGGTAGTGGGTGGCCAGGCAACACCACACCCGGTCACCTTTATCTCCCTCCTGGTGATGTTTACCCACCGCACCAGGTACTTATATGAGGTTGAGTCGACCGAGGGGAGGCCCGGGACCTGTGGACATATTCGCTGCCACTGTTATTGGTCATGAGCGGGAATTTAAGTCGGGCCGCCGGGTTCGTAGCAGTGCGCTAACCACTGCGCCACTGCTCCCCATTCAAACACGCAAACATGCACACCAGCACAGAAGCACTGGCAGACACAGACCTCAACAATTGACAATTTCAACTGCACACATAGCAGTGTGACATTTAGATTGTACGCACTTTTTAATATCATCAATTGCGTGTAATTGTGCTTGTGGAATGAGATTTCATTAAAAAAAACTCCTGGTAGATAAAAAAAACACAACAAATTTGTCAATAACACTGTGGCCTTAAAATAAACGAATATACATATAAGCAGGCAACGGCCCTTCTTCATAGCACATAAGTGGCACACTGATAGAGGCGCAACCTCACAGCACACTGCTTTGGAGGCTACCTGGGCTCTAGCACGACGCGCATCTTCTGGAGCCGTCGAGACCACAGCCTGCAGCGGGCCCTCAGAGGCAACGCCACCGGTGGAGAGCTCAACTTCAGGACTTTTGAGTGGACAGAGGCCAAGAAACTCACAGCACACCACCGCAGGGGCTTTTTGCAGTGGGCACTAGAACTAGGGGAGACGCTGCAGTGGTCACAACGTGCCTCGCAGTAACAAGTACGTGGGATCGATTCCACACCGGAGCGTCTCTGTGTGCACAGTTTGCATGTTCTCCCCTTGCTCTCTTTGTTTGGGTTTTCTCCAGGTTCTCTGCTTTCCTCCCAAAGCTAAAACAACCACATCATGCACCTGGTATTGGCAAAACAACATCCCAATGCTGAAATATTATCTGCAGCAAAATCGCCCCATACTGCAAACAATTGGCAGGACTCTCCTGAAAAAAGTCTTAAGATTCAGTGAAGCTTTCCCAGGTAAACAAGCGCGATGATAACAACAACATCAGGACGGATCTCAGGAGTTTCACCACAGAGTATTTGGGAAACGGAAGACAACATCGTAACAATGAAGTAAAACGCAGTGGCTCACGATCAATAAGCAAGCACTCGAAGCCGCCTGAGCAGCGAAAGGGAAGAATGAGAAGAGGGCGGGGGGGGCCGAGGGCCTGCACCTGCTGTATGACGTCACCGAAGAGGGGGGCGCGCTCGAGGTCGCGCGGGGAGAGTCCCGTCTCCTCGCGGCACTGCTCGCCCAGCTCCACGTCGGAGGGGCGCACGAGCAGGCGGTGCACTTCACCCACCTGCGACACGCACACGCGTGACACACGCGTGACACACGCGTGACACACTCGATGTGCATCTCATTGACCTGCAACACACCAACACACGCGTGGGAACACCAAAGACAAAGTTCCTCCGTATAGCCTGAACAGGCTGTAGGAGCAAGTGCTGTTAGCGAGTAGCACCTGAACAGGCTGTCGGAGCAAATGCTGTTAGCGAGTAGCACCTGAACAGGCTGTCGGAGCAAGTGCTGTTAGCCAGTAGCACCTGAACAGGCTGTAGAAGCAACTGCTGTTAGCGAGTAGCACCTATGAAGGCCAGTACGGCACCGCACCGGGCCTGGACGCAGGGACAAACGAGAACCACGTGGGCACCTGCTGGCGTGACAGAAGGGGCTCCAGAGAAGTGGTCCGAGAATGCTTTCAGCAACAGAGATCCATTGCTCCCCCACAAGTCAAATGAGTCAAGCACCTTCTTGCATACATGAGCATTTGCAGGGGTGGAAACTCCACATTCCTGTGCTTTTAGCAACAGAGATCCATTGCTCCCCCACAAGTCAAATGAGTCAAGCACCTTCTTGCATACATGAGCATTTGCAGGGGTGGAAACTCCACATTCCTGTGGTAGGGAGCAGTCCATTCACTAGGCATCCATTGTTGGTTTCCACTACAGTGTTACTCATTTATGAAGCTCAGAGGGATGGTAAACTTAGTCAACCACAAAGCCAGGGTTTTCAGCAGTAGGGGGCGATGTTGCTGCTGCTTTGTGTAATCCCAAATTAGTAATTTGCGGATCATTTACAGCTTTGGGATTATTGGTCAACATCAGGTAAAAATGTTTTAGGTATGGGAGGAAACTGGAGAAACTACAGGAAACCAACGGCAGAACAGAGGGATGGAATAGAAACTCCACACAGAAAGGCACCCGAGTCCGAAATCGAATCCAGGCCCCTCCTGCCGCGCGGTGTGAGCGTGACCGCTGCACCAGCAGCACCACCCTGCCACCCTACGGGGAAGAGAGAAGCGAGGCCCACAGGCGCCACGTGGTTGTCGCCGTGTGCCAGACGAGTCTCCCCGTGGCTGGGCGACGCCATTACTTAGTCGGCCATGACTGTACTTTGCTAATGGCCCTCACAGATGAGAGAATGTGCTGCCTATTTAAGTCACCTCCACCGAAATTCTGAATAATTTCTGAAACGAAGATCGATGACCTGCACACAAACGCCTCACTGTCATGGATCCTAAGCTCTCAAATAATTTTGGCCGAAAGATTACGTCGCAGACTTCTTCCGCCTTCATTTTTTCCCCCTTTCTCCATCGTGTGGAGTTTAGGTGATGCGGGGATTCGCCGGGATACAAGGCTGGCTGCCCCTCAATGTTCATGGAAAATAATACAAGACAACATGACACGAGCCACTGCATCTTCATGTTCACTATACACAAGTATTCTATTTCTCCAACCCAACGTACAATCTCATTGTGAGCGTAATTCCAATATTGACATTGTGGCATGGCCTGCAGTTAAACATTGAGATCATCCGATAAAAGCACTCGCTGCACGTCGCGGTGTACTGTGTATACACCGGTGTGCGTTTAAACAGTGACGGTGTCAAGCAAGCAGGGCTATGGTGGAGCGCCAGGGGTTGATCGTAAGCATCACAATAGTGCTCTCACGCACTGATCACATCGCACACTTAAAACAAATAACTTTACCTCCTTATCCAGGAGAGCCACAGTGAGTCAGACGACTGCCCTTTCAATGGGCGTCTTGCATTGGGATTTCATTTAATTTTGTCAACTTATTGTCAGCCTCAATTAATGATAAGTGTCTATACCAGAGGGGTGGGGTATCCACAGTCTCAATCCCCGTACAGATAGAAACAAACGGCGATTACACCACTTGCTCACTGCCCTGGGTAACCGTCACGCACGCGCACAAAGACAAGGCCCTCTCCACAACAGCGGTTGGGGCTTGTCCACACCATAGGAATGTGGAATTTCCAGCACGGGTCGAAGGACCCCCGACAGTGAAGATCACAGCACGGACCTCGCGCCCATCCAGCGAGTAACACTCACCCCAACACTCACCCCAACACTCACCCAAACACTCACCCCAACACTCACCCCAACACTCAACCCAACACTCAACCCAACACTCACCCAAACACTCACCCCAACACTCACGCTCACCCCAACACTCACCCCAACACTCACGCTAACCCCAACACTCACCCCAACACTCACCCCAACACTCAACCCAACACTCATCCAAACACTCACCCCAACACTCACCCAAACACCCAACCCAAAACTCACCCCAACACTCACGCTCACCCCAACACTCACCCCAACACTCACGCTCACCCCAACACTCACCCAAACACTCAACCCAACACTCACCCCAACACTCAACCCAATCAATCACCCAAACACTCACCCCAACACTCACACTCACCCCAACACTCACCCCCAACACTCAACCCCAACACTCACGCTCACCCCAACACATACCCAAACACTCACGTCACTCTTAGAGCCGTAATCTGGAGTCACGGCTCGGCTCTGGGTCAAGTGAGCCCATGGCTCAAGACGGTGCTCAACTTGAGCCAGCTCTGAGCGTGGTGGTCGCAGTCGCGCTCAGAGGTCCCATGGAGCTGAGCCTGAGCCGAGCCGTGCGAGGCCGCGCCACGACTAAGAAGAATGCGGCTCCAAATATTTGTCCTCGGTGTTGATCGGTGATGAATATTTGAATCGAATTCGGGTCGCCGGGTTCGTAGTGCAGCGCGATAACCGCTGCACTACCGCTCCCCACGTGTTCACACAGACCCCCCGTGTAGCCTTAACAGATTTGGGGAAAGTGCTGTTAGCGAGCACATATGAAGGCCGGAATGGTACACGAGGAGGTGGGTGGCCAGCACCACGCCTGACCGCCTTTGTCTCCCCAGTGGCGATGTTTACTACACTCCGCACCAGGTACTCATTTGAGGTTGAGTCGATCTAGGAGGAGGCCCTGGACCGGTTCAGATAATCGTCACTGTTGGCCGTGAGCGGAAATCGAACCCGGGTCGCCGCCTTCGTAACGCAGCGTAGCGCTATCCGCGATACGACCGCTCCTCCACATGTTGACGCACACAGACACACACACACGTGTTGACACACACACACACTGACACACACACACTGACACACACACACGTGTTGACGCACACAGACACACACACACACACGTGTTGACACACACACACACGTGTTGACGCACACAGACACACACACACGCGTTGACACACACACGCGTTGACACACACACGCGTTGACACACACACGCGTTGACGCACACAGACACACACACACACACACGTGTTGACACACACACACACACGTGTTGACGCACACAGACACACACACACGCGTTGACACACACACACGTTTTGACACACACACGTGTTGACACACACAACAACAACCGCCATTCGCCACTAAGTGGCGATGACGTCACCACGACGCTTGTGCCAGGCCATGTGCACCTTGAGGCCACGTGAAGTGTCGAACGCCCGCTGACAGGAGGTCACGGGGCAGACCCAGGTGTCACGGTTCGACTGACTGAGATGACCGAGATGACTGGTTGATGCACCACCTGTGCTCCCTACTGTGCCAACTTGCTGTGCTTTATCCATCCGGCGCTCCGCTCGTTGTTGCGAGCGTCGCTCCTCCGTCCTCCGTTGTTGTTCGAAGGCGACTGCCTTCAACTGCCCAGCAGCGTCCTTTATGAGCCTCCTCCACAGAGGTCGATCTTGACACCGCTGGTACCAGTCATCGGCAAGTCCACTCAGCTCCACGTCCTCCTGCACCACATCACTCCATCTCTTCTCTAGCCCGTGCCGCGCCCGTTTAGCCCCCTCGATCCGGCCGAACAAAAGCTGTTTAGGCATGCGGTGGCTGGGCATGCGGGCTACATGACCCAGCCAACGCAGCCTTGCCTACCGGAGGAGCTAACCGATGGGACTCTGCCCAGATCTTTCGAGGATTTGTGAGCTCCTCACACAATCCAGACTGGTTAAACCCAGGATGGATCGTAGGCAGGCCAGCCTAAATGTTTCTAAACGGCGAAGATGTTCCATTAGGGGGGTCCACGTTTCGCAAGCGTAGAGAAGGGAGGGAATGACTGTGGCCGAGAAGACCCGAAGCTTCGTGCGGAGCGACAGGCCAGGTAGCACAGACACGCACACACACGTGTTGACACACGCACACACGTGTTGACACACACACGCACACACGCACACGTGTTGACACACACACGCACACACGCACACGTGTTGACACGCACACACGCACACGTGTTGACACGCACACACGCACACGTGTTGACACACACACACTGACACACACACACTGACACACACACACACTGACACACACACACTGACACACACACACACTGACACACACACACACTGACACACACACACACTGACACACACACACACTGACACACACACACACTGACACACACACACACTGACACACACACACACTGACACACACACACACTGACACACACACACACTGACACACACACACACTGACACACACACACACTGACACACACACACACTGACACACACACACACTGACACACACACACACTGACACACACACACACTGACACACACACACACTGACACACACACACACTGGCACACACGCACACGTGTTGACACGCACACACACTGGCACACACGCACACGTGTTGACACGCACACACACTGGCACACACGCACACGTGTTGACACGCACACACGCACACGTGTTGACACGCACACACGCACACGTGTTGACACGCACACACGCACACGTGTTGACACGCACACACGCACACGTGTTGACACGCACACACGCACACGTGTTGACACGCACACACGCACACGTGTTGACACGCACACACGCACACGTGTTGACACGCACACACGCACACGTGTTGACACGCACACACGCACACGTGTTGACACGCACACACGCACACGTGTTGACACGCACACACGCACACGTGTTGACACGCACACGTGTTGACACGCACACGTGTTGACACGCACACGTGTTGACACGCACACGTGTTGACACGCACACGTGTTGACACGCACACGTGTTGACACGCACACACACACGTGTTGTGGGGCCTCACCTGTCCGCACTGTGGCCGCACGCAGCGCCACGCCACGAGCGCCGCGTCCGCCTCGTCCGAGCCCCGCGCCTCGCCGCCCGCGCCGCCAGTGACGCCGAACAGCACCACCAGAGTCGCCGCCATGGGCTGCTGCGTCCTCCTCACCACGACTCACCACTACTCACCCCTACTCACCCTCACCACTACTCACCCCTACTCACCCTCACCACTACTCACCACTACTCGCCCTCACCACTACTCACCACTACTCACCCTCACCACTACTCACCCCTACTCACCCTCACCACTACTCACCACTACTCGCCCTCACCACTACTCACCACTACTCACCCTCACCACTACTCACCCGTACTCACCCTCACCACGACTCACCACTACTCACCCTCACTACGACTCACCACTACTCACCCTCACCACGACTCACCACTACTCACCCTCACCACGACTCACCCCTACTCACCACGACTCACCACTACTCACCCTCACCACGACTCACCACTACTCACCCTCACCACTACTCACCCCTACTCACCCTCACCATGACTCACCACTACTCACCCTCACCACTACTCACCCTCACCACTACTGACCCCTCAACCTCACCACTACTCACCCCTACTCACCCTCACCACTACTCACCCCTACTCACCCTCACCACTACTCACCCTCACCACTACTCACCCCTCAACCTCACCACTACTCACCCCTACTCACCCTCACCACTACTCACCCTCACCACTACTCACCCCTACTCACCCTCACCACTACTCACCCCTCAACCTCACCACTACTCACCCCTCAGCCTTACCACTCACCTCTCAACCGCGTCACCTCCCCCCGACCCACACTCACCTCACCTCTACTCACACCTCAACTTCACCACCTAGTAAGTACATTTATAAACGCTAAACTCTTATAATCTAGGTTAGTCCAAACTCACCCCTCATCAATGTACCCCCTACTCACACTCACCCATACCTCGGCTCACGCTCGACTCGCCTCACCACACTCAACCCATAATCACTCTCCTCGTCCTCACCTCAAATCCACCACCCTCGTCCACCCTCGCCACGACTCACCACCTCCTGACACTCGCCTCAATCTCACCTCGCCCTACTCACCCCGCCTAATCACCCTCGCCTCATCCACCCGCTGCGCACACTCACCACGCTCTGTGCCCAGTGACACCAGGCTCACTCACTCACCCACCACCAGCTCACTCACCCACCAGCTCACTCACCCACCAGCACACTCACCCACCACCAGCACACTCACCACGCTCTGTGCCCAGTGATGCCAGGCTCACTAACCCACCAGCACGCTCACCCCCTCGGACCCCCTCGCCACCGTGGCACTGCCCTGACTCGTGGCGCCCCCCACCCCGTGTAGACCTTCAGAGCCCCCCCCCCACAACCTCCTCCTCCTCTCCACGCGAGGCTGAGCTCTACCCTCACTGCGCGGCGCCTCGCACCGCCACCCCCGGGGGCGTTCAGCTGAGAGCTGCGGGGGCGATCGCAGCCGCGGGGCTCTCGCGCGAGCCGCGGCGCCAGTGGAGACGGCGGCGTGGACTCGGAGCCCGTGGGGGAAGGGGGCAGGTAGGGAACAGGGAGGGGACAGGGAGGGGGAATAGGGAGGGGAGGGGGGAGGGGGAATAGGGAGGGGAGGGGGGAGGGGAGGGAATAGGGAGGGAGGGGGGAGGGGAGGGGACTTTGCGCTGCTCGCAGTCGGGGAGGGGGGTCACCGCCCCTCTCCTCCGCACCTGCGCTGGTTGAGGGGGGGGAGCAGCCCCGCCCCTCAGCCTGCCCGCCCGCTGGAGGATCTCACCTGCGGGACGTCACCACGCACAAACACGCGTGACGTCACCACACCTGTCCAACGTCACCACAAACATCTGGCGACGTCATCGCCCACACACGCGCGTGACGTCAACACGCGCACACCTGTGTGCCATCATCACACGCTGGCAAAACGACAGCAGCAGCAGCCGCAAAGTGTTACCTGTGGCAGGTGATGAAGATGGAGAGGGTTACCAATGATGAAACAAAGAGGCGAACGAGAGCAGATTCCATATCCTTTGACGAAAAGCAACAACTTTACTTATTTGTCCAGGACAGCCACACTGAGTCGTAGGACTCTTTTTCAGGAGAGTCCTAAAATGCTGTCAGCCAGTGAATAATGTTACAATGCACGTGGGTGGGAGGAAGCCAGAGCACCCGGAGAAAGCCCACGCGCACGAGGGGGCAACGCTCTATCCCCGAACAGATGGAAACCGATGGCGATTATTCCACTTGATGTATTGCCTCCTGCTGGCGAGCCAGGGTGTAAGCCCCTCCTCGACGCCCACGGGAAAGGAGTTAGACGACATTTGCGTGATCCACCATAACCACCACACCGCAATGACACGGGTCAGAAAACAGGGACACGGAACGGTCAGGTGGAGCAAAAACTGACTCGGGCGCAGGAAGCAGGGAGAGGCACAAGCTGGCAATAACAGCGAGACACGGGGACACACGGACGAGAGGACAGACGCAAATGAGAGTCATCATGTGCAAGGGCGGTTGGGCAGGACACGGACGGTGGTCGAGATGAATGGTGGAGTGGCAGCCCAAAGTAGGGAACGCGGCCAAAAGTACGTCCACCGTAGAGACGGAGCGACGAAATCATCTCGCGTGCAGGTATCAGCTGGACTGCTGCATCGCAGAAATCTTGAGATGGTGGCAACTTCAAAGGCTTTCATTCAGCAGTGAATATAGATCGTGATGAAGGGGTGAAACGATTACTCTTCCAATCGATTCGATTAATTGTAGTGATTCAGGGCCGTGATTCATTTAAGACTCGATTTCGTCAACGTGACGGTGAGTGTAGCTGATTCTAGCGGCTGCAGGGGTGACCCGCTGCGTGACAACGATTAGAGTACACGCACAATGTACTGTATTACACGTGTAGTGACATCACAGATGCCACTGTGGGTAATGCCGGCTCTAGCGAGGTACGGCATGCGCTGTCTTGCCATTGCGGACACCCCGTACATGTGGGTGTAGTACCGGCCCTAGAGGGGGCTCGGTGAGCGTTGAGTCAGGGCGCTGAGTGGCACCACGCGTGGCGTGCAGTGCCGACCCCTACAGGATGGGTGTGAAAGTGTCAGCCATGGAATGGGGTTACTCCAGGGATGGCACTCTGGTTGACCCTGGAAGGCACGTGACGGGTAAGGTCTACACAGGGGCCCCAAGAGGGGGCTGGGGGTGGTCACGTGCCAGGGCGAGATCCTGCTCGAGCAGGGAGGTTTCTAACCCCCGGGCCGCGGAGCAGTATCGGTCCGTGGCCTGTTAGGAACCGGGCCGCACAGCAGGAGGGGAGCGGTGAGTCCGCGCGTGGCCCCCCGCCCCCATTGTTTCATTATTCACCACTTCCGTCTGCGCGTCTTTCCCGCACTGCACACTCGTCTCAGTCACAGTGTTGGTGAGCCCACAAGCTCTAACCCCTAACCACAATGAGTAAAAAACAAACGTCGCTGGAGAGCTTCTTTGAAAAGGAGGAAAGACCCAATGATGACCGCCCCCCCCCCAAGTCCGTGAAAAAATTTACTTCCACGAAACCGGTCCCTGGTGCCAAAAAGGTTGGGGGCCGCTGTCAGCTAGAGGATTGGAGAAGGTGGTCGTGGCCAAGGACGGGGCCAGCCACGACCTGCGAGGATATAAACCGGGTCCCCCCCCCTGCCGTCCTGCCTCCTCGAGCCGCTCGCGGTATCCGTGTGACGCCAGCGAGTGCCGCTACGAGGCAGTGATAGGTGAGGCTTTTTCGTCATCCTCCCTCCGACTCTCATAGCGTCCGTGCGACGCCGTTAGTATGGCTGCGAGGTACGTGGTAGGGCGTATGAGTGTTTGGGGATAGCAGTAGGCTAGGCTCTTCTCCAGAATATTCCTTTCGGGCAGTGCAGGGTTTGCACCGTGAATAAGCGTTAGCACAGAGCATCGGTGCGGTGTCTGTAATTTGTGTGCGGAGCGGCTGCGTGGGCGGACGCGTGGCGAGCGTGAGGGCAGAGCTGCAGCTCGAGCGCTCGTTGAGATAATCGCCTGCAGGGGCGCGTGTGTTAGGATGTAATCGCCTGCAGGGGCGCGTGTGTTAGGATGTAATCGCCTGCAGGGGCGCGCGCGTTCGCACCGCCGCGTGAACATGAGCGGCGGTGCACGCGGGGTGTGTGGAGTAACCCCGTGTGGCGGTGAGTCAGCAATTTAGCGATGTCCCTCAGAGAGGGCGCTAGCGCAGGGGGGCCGATCACCCGGTCGGCGGGGGCCCGGCGGGAGCCGATCGATGCGGTGAAGGAGGAGGGAGTGGAGGAGGAGGGATTGGAGGAGGAGGAGAAAGTGGAGGGGGTGGACGTCGCCCCCCACCTGCCCGGCGAGGGCGGTGGGTTGGACGCCGGCCCCCACACGGCACCGTCACCTGATACGACGGAGCCACACGCACCGGTGGTCTTCAGTTTGTGGTTGCAGGTGCCACTGTTCAGGGAGTGTTTGCTGCTGCAGTCCGGGTACGAGTGGGCCCTGAGATTAAAGCTGACGGCGGTACATCTGCCCACAAATACAAAGATGCCCCGTATAGTCTTCACAGACTGTTGGGGCAAGTGCAGCTAGCGAGCACCTATGCGAAAGCCAGCACAGCACACGAGGAGGTGGGAGGCAAGCACGCGCCCGGCCGTATTTGTCTCCCTCGTGGCGATGTTTACGTATCGCACCAGGTACTTATTTGCGGTTGAGTCGACCTAGGGGAGGTCCAGGACCTGCTCGGATAATCGTCACAGGTGTTGGTGGCCGTGAACGGGAATCGAACTCCGGTCGCCAGGCTCGTAGCGCAGTGCCCTAACCACTACGCCACCGCGCCCACATCTGCCCACACTCCATCCACCACAGCCCCGCTGGGCCCTGGAGAGACGGAATCATCCCTTGTGTCACCACACATCCGGGTGCACGGATCCCTCGCCCGGAGCAATGCCAGCAGTGGCTCCTCCTCCGAGCTGTCTCGGGTCCATACTCGATTCCCGCTCAGGGCCACCAACAGCAGTGACGATTATGCAAATCTGTCCTGGGCATCCCCTAGGTCGACTCAGCCTTAAATGAGTACCTGGTGTGATGTGTAAACATCGCCACGAGGGAGCCTAAAGCGACCGGGCGTGGTGCTGGCCACCCCACCCCCTTGTGTCGTTCTGGCCTTCATAGGTGCTCGCTAACAGCACTTGCCCCAACAGTCGTTAAGGCTATAATATGAAGGTGTCTTTGGGAGTGTTTATTTTTGTGAACTGTTTGCCCAACCGTCAAGCCCCCCCTGCACCCCAGTGAGATCCGGGTTGGATGACCCAGACAGACGTCGCTGTTGATGCTGTCGAGTACTCTGGGTTTAAAGAGCGAGGTGGGCCAGCCATGACGAGAGGGCTTCAGGAGAGAGAGTTGGGGTCGTTTTGTGTTTCCTCAGTTGCAGGAGTGCAGACTACAGTGGCTTACCATCTGGTCCATCATTCGGGTTGTATGGCCACAAGTTGGCTAAGCAGGGTGCTACTGGAAAGACATCCCGCCTGTGTGAGTTGTATTGGTCTGAATAGGTGCTCACTAACCACAGCTTCCCTTGACAGGCTACAAGGCTCAACAGGGAATTAATATTCTTCCTAGTCTGACACTGGTTGCTAAACCTAGAGCTCTAATTTTAATACGTAGGATTTTGCGACCAATATTATTCATGATAGAGTAATTTGAATTAGATCGCGAAGATGTAAATGTGTTGTAAACTCACCTCCACCGACAGACCCAGTAAGTAAGATTTGTCACGGAAACAAAGCGTACCTGCTTGGCAAGCCAGGACTGTCGATAACAAGGGATTCAATTGTGAGACTTCTCTGAAACAAGTTCATCCGGTTGAACACGGATGAAACCGGTGATGTTTTTGGCTTTGCAATTGATCACATTATTGGAAAACATTCTCAACACGACTCCTGTCCGATGCCTCGCGATGCTCTCCTGCAAAGGAATGCAAATTTTGGTGGTAAACTTTTCTCTCGCGAGCTTTGAGGCAAAGAGAGAGAGAGAGCGACCTCTGGATGTCCGCTTGGTCTGCAATGTTGGTTGAGTTGCTCGCGGCGCGCCTGTGACGCTCTGCGTAGCCCAGTCACGAGGATTTCCCGGGTCTTGAGTGTCAGCTCAACTGTACGCTCTGTGCACATTCGGGGCTGAAGTTTAAGCTTCGAGTTGATTTCGTGGCACGAGCTGAGAACCAGGATGGAGTCTCAAGTGCAATGGTGATCTGCAGTCACCAAACGGACAAAATCAAAACAAGCTAAACAAAGTACACGCATGAAGCAAATACCAATAGGAATACAATCACACGAGAAATAAAAAATAATGCACAAATATAAATGAATGTTACACGAAATCTGAATTCTAAATTCCCTGCAGCGCAAATCGGCTCGAGCAGATCACCTCCAGATGGATCACTGCACAAATGACAAAACGAAGCCACAGACGGTGCCTCTACCACTAATATGTACAGCGACATCTCTCCAAAGCAATTTCTCGAGAAGTTATTGTAAACAATCGACAATTCGGCACTAGGCCAGGCACTGCAGGATGAGGGGTCATTGACTCCCACGATTTGGGATGTCACATTGTATGGGTATGGCGGCCGCTAAGAAAGTGACCATGGGGACGCCATGGCAGGGAAACTTTCAGTGACACCAAGGATTCGGCTGCTCTACATTTCCACGTGATAAGCCACTTCGTTGAGCTATCATTTGTGGCCAGGTCGATTCTGAAAAAGAGCGGTGGGCCTTACCTGGTAAAATAATAAAGTCGTTTAGTTTGTGACTGTTTGTTCTGGAAGTTTACTGCAGCGATGAGTCTCGATATGAGTTAAACCCATGCAGTCACACAATTGTACTCGTGCACTATTACTCTTTGGTTCTTTCGGTAGTCGCACAAGCGGTCGAAACGTCGTGATATAGTTTTGTTTTATTTTTCTACCCACGTGACTTTACCGAAGAACCAAAGAGTATGGATTTCTGCAGTCACGGAAGTTTCAAATCAAGATCGTGCACTATTGTTGAGATAATTGGTAATTTATACAAATTCGATTATTGCTATAATGTATATCCAGTATATATAAAACAATTCTTATCTATATATTGGATGCATCGCCACACGAGTAATAGCGGGCCCATGATCGTGAATGGGCATTGAACCGACATTGCTTCGGTTTTCAGGGAATCGGAGATATCTTCCCCCGCTGATGATCTCTAAACGTTGTGAAAGCAGCGCGCGGTCGCACATCGTCAGAGGGCGGCAGCGCTTCTGTCGAGGCCGCCGGGCTCGAGGCCGCCGGCTCGCGCGGTGGCTGCCCCCTGCCGGTCCTCCGTGGCATCGCGGCGACTCTCAGCGGGGGGCTCCCAGTGGTGGCTCCCAGCGGGGGCTCACAGCGGGGGCTCTTAGCGAAACAAAGACGGGGCCCTCTTTTTTTTATTCACTAAGCGAGAGAATTCAAATTAACCGTTCGCCTCGGTGTGACCTTGAGATAAGCGTGGCTTAAAACAACACTGGCAGAAACAAAAATGGAAACAATGGAAATAATTTCAGAGAACGTTCTCATCAAGAAGATGCATTTTAATTCCACTCAACAATGCATATAACAATTCAAATATTTTAAAAGAGCACCATAGCAACTGGAACATTCCAAAAATCTGCCTCATTGGCTGAGCAGTCTGACGAAACATCCAAAATGTAACTGGAGCATGGGGATGTTTTATGTTATTGCTCTATGTTTCACCACCTGCAAGATGTTATTTGTTAAAACAGCTCGTGCGGACCCCAGTTCCGACTAATCCCCGCCTACTGTGTTAACCAGTCAGCAGCAGCAGTTGCCTGCCATCTAATTTGGCCACTTTGTTCGTGGCAATCTGTGGAAATGCGGTTCTGTCAAAGCAAAGCATCAATCCCATCGTCTTCATAAATTGGATTGGATTTTTATAATATTGTCCTGACCATCTAACCACTCTAAAGTATATAATTCTAAACACATGGTTAAAAAAACTCAAGAGCATTATTTTAAATGACCAGTTCTCAATTTCACTTGTGGTCCTGAGCCAGTAGAGGAAACTCCACAATCACGTGCCTGAGCCCAGTTTATCCATAGGACAACTGCCCTAAAATAACGGGCTCGTACCCATCCCCGAGGGAGGATTAAGTTGATGATGACTGGGAGGAGAACTTATGGTCTTGCTAATGGGAGCCTTGTTGCATCCTGACCGTAAAGCTGGCAAACTTGGTTAAGTAAAAAATTGCTTGACAAGTGACATGTAACACCCAAATTATATAAAATAAAGTTATAACTATAAGTACACTATAGTTTGCAACTAATACGTTATCTTAAACATATTATGTCCGTATAAGATATGTTTTAAAGTGTTTTAAATATTGGTATTCCCCACTCTGGTTCCCAAAGTCCGGAGTAGAGAATCTCCAGCAGCCTTGTGGATTTGTCGATCCCACAGTCTGAACACAATCTACACAACAGTGGAGGAGCCTGAGCAGAGCGGACATATGATGTAATTGAGGCTTCAAACGACGTGTCACGGCGCTCGCTAAGTCTCACACACAACGGGCCGACACAGCAAATCCTCCGTGCGGCTCACTTAAGGCAGCCGTAGCAAACGTAACCAAGGGTCATTTTCAAATCACACACAGATCATGAACCGGACTACCTCTCTTTCCTTTGACTCCTGTGACTCACAAGTTGATGCTAAAGTCGCTTCAGAACAAGCAGAGTGAGCGAGGCGGAACTGCACCTGGGTCTCCCCGTGACCTGCCAGCAAACCTTCAACACTTCACATGGCCTCACGGTGCACCAAGTCTGGCACAAGCACCATGGTGACATCCCTGCCATTTAGTGGTGAATGGCAGCTGTCGTTACATATCCATGACAGAAGTTAAATTTTGCTCTCTAGTTTTATAACTTGTATTTTTGCAAGTTCACCGATTAAATCTCTATAATAATGGCACTATCAGTTGGATCTTACAGACAGCAGGCCCACAACCGCACCGTTAAATGACCAAAAATGTACCACTGCCAACTTGCAGCTTTCTTCAAAGGGCCCGTCACACATGCAGATTGCGATGAATTCAGCTGTGCACATGGGTGACTGAGTTGCCCCGTGACACAAGACTGGGAGTGATCTCCGAATCCTAAACATAAAAAACATACGGTACAGCACACAGCACAGCACGTACACACAACAGTACAACATATACATTTTAGTTTATTATTATTACTATGCTTGTTTACACAAGAAATCTTGAGTCTCATGACTGAGGATAGGAGGGTCCCGCCAAGTATTCATAGTAGCGGGAAATGATTACGATGTATATTCCAACTTAGTAGATTTGCAAGTAAATGTGTTTTTAGTAAACTTGGACCTTCACGCCGGCACTCAATGGCCTACTCTTGGACTAACGTCACAGGATCTCGAACGTTCACTGTGAAGCAGACGGTGCGCAGGAGTGTCATGGTTAATACACTACGCAGGAGTGTCATGGTGAATACACTACGCAGAATAACGAGGGCGGACACTGGATTCAAATCGTGACCCTCTGCAACCGGCGGTGAAGGCGCTACCTCTGGGCCGCGTCACCACTCAAGAATAATTTAACATTTTACTAAAAACCTGCAGAGCTAATTCTAACTACTACTGGAGTGGAGGCACGGGGTGGGAAGGTGAGAGGGGTCCGTTGGTAACACCGCTCATCCCCTAAATTCCAATCGCCACGTTTCGCCACAAACCCCTGCACCCTTTGATCCCTCGTCCCTTCTCAAAGGGTCTTCTTGAATTGAACACGAAGAATGAAATAAGTTATTGCCGCACAGAACAACAACTTGCTCCACCTCGACTATGATAACATAAACACGCATACACACAATTATTGCTTTTACATGAAGTGAGGCTCTTTAAGCGTGCTCACGATGTAATCCTATGCAAACATATAAACAAAGGTGAACACGAGAAAATATCTTATAAACCCAAAGTGTCACTGCTGGCACTACCTGACAATATGTTAATAAGCACCGATTAAAAATATTCATGGAAAATATGTACAGTCAACTATGGTGATGTGCTCACGACTCGTGTAGCATTTGCTTGATTCAGCCTTGGATAAACTATTGCAAAATACGACAGTCAGCAATTAGAGGCACTGCAGACAAGTTCCAGCAGTTGATGGACTAGATTCACTGATCAGCAGTTATTAATTTGTGTAAGAATAAAAAAACAATCCACCAGTGTCTCCCATTAACAAAAACACAGGGCAGGTCCAGGTGTTAGTACTGGTAGGAACCTCCTGGTTACACCAGCCCACAGGGGATTATTGTGTCCGTCCATCCGTCGTGCAGGGAGGGGCTGGGTGGGGAGGGGAGGGTGGGGAGGGGCTGGGTGGGGAGGGTGGGGCTGGGTGGGGAGAGGCTGGGTGGGGAGGGGCTGGGTGGGGAGGGTGGGGCTGGGTGGGGGTGGGAGGGGAGGGGCTGGTCACCCCGTGGTGCCCTTATAAAACTCAACGTTTAACCGACTCACAGTGGGCATATTTGCGGAATACACCACGCCGCCGGTGACCCTGGCCATTGACCGAGCAACCCAACGTTCCTACCAGCTCCCTCCGCAGGAATGTGTTTGTGTTTGCCGTTTTACCACGATGTGAATGTGGCCCATGGCTTTACCTGTAATGAGAAAGGAGCCCCACATTAGTCCCTGGTCGGCATGCAGTTAAATCATCCCATTGCTCACGCCAGTACCCAGGTGATTCTGTGTGAAACCATGGGAGTGCGCCAGCTGCTATGCAGTGGATGTTCAAAGGCCCAAGGATAGTTTTTGACGAGAGCAGATGATTAAATTGCAAACGTGACTTGAAAACACGCACACAACTAAGAAGCCCTTTCAGTTAGGCTGGAGGATTATCTCGGTCCCCTCCAGAGGAAGACAAATGGCTACGGGCTTAGTCACCCTGAAAGCACTTAGATCCGGACAGGTCTCGGTACGCGTAGTTGAGCAGGGTTGTGCCTGGTTAGTGCTGGGCTGGGATGAGTGACTATCAGTGCATACCAGGTGTTACAGGTGTGGGGCTGTGAGGTGAGCAGGAGTAACAAGACACAAATGGTTACGGTCCACAGGTAATTACATTAATTAAATTGGTGAATTGAATCAATCTCTGTGAATCTTTGGAGTATTTTCCCGTAACCTGAGTAGTGGGTTTTCTTGAGTGTTCCACGTGTCAAACACTCGTTCCTGAAATTGACCAAACATCCCGAGGCAGGACCATCCTCGGTGAGGCTTTCCTGGCTATTAACGCGCGGATGATTTACAAATAAAAGGAGGCGTGACCAAAAATAGTGCAGACTAATGGGAAAGATTCATTCTTATTCAATGCTACATGCATATCCCATTTACAATGTTTCACACCTTATATAAAAGAGCCTACTTGTTAGTTAATAGAATACATTACACTTTGGTATTAGTAATTAGGTATACGAGTAAAGAATGCACAGTTTTATATTTTTTGCATATGTACTGTTGGCAGTCCATAACAGGCTATGCGTGCCTACTAGTCCTGGGTAACAGCGGGGACCCCAAAAACAGATCGCGATGTCAGCAACTTAGCAATGCGATAACTTTGGGTATCCTGGGTATCGCCCCAATTCCAGCTATCTCACACATCGCCTGCCTCATGGTCCCAGCCACGTCGTGCCGTGTGGAGGACGTCATGCGACGTTGATCGGCGGAGCCCAGTGCATGAAGGGTAATGTACACGAGGACGTTCACTGCCCCCATGATTCTAGATTGATATTGTTTGTATAATGTAAGTAACTAACATCACTTGTCTTTTGGGTTGAGTCTTCCTTGATTACTCTCTGTAAAACTGTAAACCCAGTAAAATTTTCTGAGAATCTGGAATTTGTTTCATTGCTTGGACACAGAAACCCCCGAGAGCTGCCCCCCACTACCTCCGGCGAACTCACATGTGCATGTAGGTGACCTCGTGGCACGAGGTCACCCTAGACCACCGCGATATCCTGCTGACGTCGCTTAACGTTCCCACCGTGAACGGGGGCTGAGCGGCTCAAGGCAGCCATCCTGCCCGCGAGCGATGGGGCCGATGAGGATGAAGACGATGACAACGGCGACATCGCTACCACCGGCGATGATGATGAAGACGACGGAGCCGGCGCGGCGAGCGCAGCGGAGGCCGGGGACGCGCCCGTCGAGACGGTCAAGGCGGCCGACAGGGGAGCCGGGGGGAGGGTGGCACGCATGGCGAGTGGCTCACGGCTCTCCTGGCGGTCGCGGCGCTCCAGGTCACGACGCAGCGATGCCACCTCCTGCGAGGCGCGGCACAGCTCACCCTGCATGCAAACATGCAGACTCCGTATACAGAGAGATGCATCTCAATAGACAATGCGTCAAATTCGTGCTGGAGGTGAAATGGGCTGCACTCTGGTGGCAGCCCACGTGGCAAGGTGGGTATCACCCACAATGCCATCCGTGCAGGCCTTCTCCACTAGAGAGAGAAAGGAGAGCGGGTGACGAGAGTGGCGCACGACGTGTAGGCACCTTGAGCTCGGTGATGTGGCCCATGAGGAGACCCTCCTTTTGCACCATGTGCCTGCGCTGGGAGTCGAGGCGTGCTTCCATTTCATGGCGCAGTTCCCCCACCCAGCACTCCATCTCCGATCTGCACAGTGCAGGGACAACACCCCCACGTTGGCTGTCTATTCTACATACTGGTGCTTGTTTAGAGCACTTCCTTCACTTGTGTTCCCCTAGAGATCGATGCATATTAGTCTTCATGTGTTGTTTTACATAAGCTTTTCAACTCACGTGTCCTGATGCCTTGAAAATCTGAGCCGGTGTCAGAGATTTAGCACACCAGAGATTCTCGCTCTGAATCATGTGCTGCCATATTTTATGTTTTGTCCAAATTTTAGTTTTGTCTAGTTTTTTTGGCAGAATTGTGCTGATATCTCCATTACAATCGATGACACATTTCAAATTTGATGCATTTATTCAGTTTTAATTACAAGGCAGCCATGCCCCATTTAATGAAAATCCCATGCCTGTGAATCGAACAATGATTAATTATTTATTCCGGTTCCAAATTCCTTCCAAAAAAACAATATTAGTTTGGCAGGTTGTCAGATGCCACTCCGTTTCCAGGGATCAACCTCTGTTCGATTCAGTCAGAGATTCGGGGCCTTTGGCAGAATTCTCAGCACAATCCACGTTCTCTCCATCGATACTCAAAGTCACCTTGTAATTTCTTCACTAAATGCAGCTCCACCATCTCTGTTCTGTCAATAATCAGCGCGAGTCCATGCTGCTCGCTGTGGATCTTTACCCCACACATCTGGGTTCCAACACCTTGTGCTGTTACAGATGACAATGCTGTGTCATTGGCATCTGAAGAACCAAGTGCTTCGGAGCACTTACAGACCGGTAGGTGCATGCAGGTATACAATGGGTATCTGTGTAGATATACTGAAGAAAAGTCTCAAGCCAGGCTGCTTAGCTGTCTTGTTGGGGTGCAGCTGAACGTACCGCAACAGGTGCAGCTCAGCGCGGAGCTCGGGAACAAGGTGCAGGGTGGAGAGCGTCTGGTGGGGATTGGTGACCGGAGACCCGGCCTCCAGGCCCACGTAGTCACTGAGATCTGGGCTCAACTCTCCGAGCTGGCACGACATTGCGTGAGCCACCACGTTCTGTCTGTCCAGGACTGCGCCGCAGCCTGCCAGAGACACACGCGCCAGCCAGCACTACACTATCACAACAGCACCACATCCTACCAGTCACACACACCAGCCAGCGCAACACCATCACGACAACACCACATCCTGCCAGTCACACACGCGCCAGCCAGCGCTACACTATCACGACAACACCACAGCCTGCCAGTCACACATGCCAGCTAGCACGGCACCATCACAACAGCACTCTGTCAGCGCTCACCGGTGTGTGGGCAAGGTGTTGGGGTGTAGGGACACTGCTGCTCGTGGATAGCGATCGTCTCCAGTGCGCACACCCCCTCGCACCCCCGCGCACGGTGAGTGCAGTGCAGATGCAGTGCGTTGAGGTCGTTCCGCATGTACCTGTGTGCCAGGGTGTCTCCGTTAAAACCTCACACAAATCAATACATCTATTGGTTAGTTTTATACAGCGTCGTTCGTGCAGATTGCATTTCACAATCGCCTAGGAACCACAGACACAAGCTGGAAGGCTACCAGGCGGTGAGCCGGTCGCAACAACTGCTCTGCAGTTCTCTGTATATTGAGACATTTTCAGCCAAATAGTGAGCTTTATGCAGCTGGAAATAAATCGGAACACCCGTAGAAAACCCACATATGTGAGGGGGCAAAACTCTGATATTAGTCCTCACTTTGCTGTCCTGCCTTCTGCTGGCAAGCCATGGTATGGCACCTCCCCGATGTCCACGGGAAGGGAATTTTGCAACATTTGTCATCGGTGCTGGAGTACAAGCGTGCACAGCCACCACCGCCCCAACGTCTAGACGTGGGCAAGTGGTGGCTTAACTGCGAAAACGAAGGAGGTGTGGACGGCGGCGACGACGGGGAGCGTGCGCGCAAGCGCCGGCAAGGACGGGGGTCCGACCTGAACAGGGGCCGCAGCTCCGAGGCGTCCAGCGGCCGCCTGTCCTCGGGGCACGTGTGGTTGTGCACGAGCCAGCCGTGGATGCAGGCGCTGCAGAAGGCGTGCTCGCAGGGCGCCTGCAGCGGCTCCTCCAGCACGTCGCGGCACACGCAGCACAGCAGCCCGTCCTTGACGCGCCCCACAAAGCGCTCGGCGTCGTAGCCCATGGCGGCACACGCACCGACGCCTGGCTCGCACGCACGCAAACACAAAGATGCCCCCACACGCCCGTGTAGCCAAGTGCTGTTCGCGAGCACCTGTGCAGGCCGGGACGACGCACGAGGGGGTGGTGTGGCCAGCGACCCACATTTCGGCCCACAATGTGGAGGCTTTAGAACTCTAAGCTATACTTTCCTCTATCTGGAAGAGTGTTTTCCCAAAGATGAGAACAATTTCACATATATAAAACCCCCCATTCACAAATCACGACCTCACAAAGATATCAATAATCCAGATGTGATGTATGGTTAATATAAAACAGAAAGATCAAGCGATTACAATCAGCTCAATAATACTAATTTCTGTCAAATTAGAAGTGATCGGTGATTAAAAAGGCTTCTCAAACAAACATGTTTGCAGAGAGGACCTCCGAAGTGTTGGCACAGCACGAGAAAGGGTTCCTCCATCAGCGTTGGGCGGCATAAAGATACGGCGCCAGTTGCATCAGCCAAGGCAGAGCGACATTAATCTACAGCCTTGTGCAAAGTGATCACGAGCGTCATTCTATAAAATACAAGGAACAAACTCAATAGGCAAGCAATCCGTCTCTTTAATATATGTATCCCTCCACGATTTTTTTTTATAAATACAGTAAAACAAGCGAGCATAATTCGTTCCGGACCTTGGATTGCGAGCATAATTCGTTCCGGAAACGTGTTTGTAAATCCAAAGCACTCGTATATCACGTGATGCTCGGCAGACAAAGCGTATACTATACTACTCGTATTGCAAGACCTCGCTTGTTTATCAAATTAATATTTATTTTACAAAAAATGTGCTCGTCTTGTAAAACACTCGCAGACCAAGTTACTTGCAATCCAAGGTTTTACTGTAAAACTATTTTGCCCATCCTATCAGCCACGTGGCCTTCTGTGAGCGTACTGAAAAAATGTTGCTGAAATTATGACATGTAGAGACCCGCAGAGCTTGGGGAGGGGGAGTTAGATGCTGGCTCCACCTCACCGCCGCGTGGCTGCTGCTCGCTCGTCTGTGGTTCCTCCTCTTCGTGCCTCCGAGTCGTCCCCTCTCCCTACGACAGCGAGATAATCCTGTGGTAACAGCGCATTTCAAGTTGACATTATTTTCAATTAATAAAAAAAATACTTATTTTTTACACAGTAGAGACAGCTCTATGAAAGAGAACTAGTATCTGCTTACATATTTTGTTACAGTCAGATGTTACCTTTAATCATCAGAAAAAAAGGTTGGCTGGCTGGCAAGCAGGCAGACAGGCACGTAGTCATGACGCCACCCACATCATTGAGCCGGGTTCCTGCAGGGTTCTGATGTCAGCCCCACCTCACCCACCCTCCACCACGGCCGTGGATTCCACACAAACGCGTGGGCAGCACTCGTACATTATACAATATTAAAGTACAATCAATTATAATTGCAATGAAATAATTTAAGTAAAAAATTATTCAAATCCTAAAAGTTCCTGTAATAAATTATATTTGATTATGTTTCATACAATGTCCGCACATCCCACTTGAGTAGAAACGCGACCTGAACCCTCCCGCCCGCCTTACCTCTGCGGGGCGATGGCGTGCATCTCTGACAGCGTGACCGTGAGAGAGGCGCTGGTGTTTGTTGCGGGGTGCGTCGTCGGGCTCGATTGGGTTGCCACGTGTGGTTTCAAGTGGGTCTGAGTGCTTGTTAAAGGCCACTGAGGTAAGAGGACTCCTATTGTCGGCCCACTATAGTACCGCAAGTGCTGACACGGTCACGCGCCAACAAGCATCGAGCAAAGCCGACGCATCGAGCCCGGCAAGTATCAGCCTCGCAAGCCTCCCGGCCGGGAGTCGAACCCTTCCGGGAGGATCTCGCACTCCCGTGCAACCAACGCACTCGGCATGAACGCTGTGCACTTGCGCTTAAATACAAGCTTCGCCGACAACCCGACATTCAGTAATTGCCTGTTAACGGACAGAGGTAACGCCGGCTGCCGCAATTAATATTCAAACCTCTGATTTTCACATTAAGGAGCGCTGACACACATCGGCACACGTGTGCATTTAAATATGAATCGTGCAACCGGCCTCATTTGCGTACGAATAGAGGAGGTTGCCCGCTGGAGCTCCAGCGCGGCTGGGAGCGAGGACGCGAGGCTCTCTGTGCGCCAACGGCCGATTCGCAATTCTTCTCACTGAACTCGGCTTTCTCTTTGCCGCTTACACGACACGAGTGCCGCAATCATCGTTATGGCACGAGTTGAGACATTTCGACGTGGAATATCTTGTAGCTTGCAGTACATACATCATGTATATATGTATGTACGTTCAACTTATTTCGCAACATACGGAGCCAACCGTGTTAATGGGAGGTGCGGGAACGCCTCGAGAAATGATGTCACAACTACTTCCGAAGTCACCTCATTCGACCTCGTTATCCCCACTCGGGCACAGCCATTGAATGCCCTGCACAGAGCGTTCATCACCTGTCAATCAAGCCAATGTGTTTAATTCTTAGAGATGCATAAAGCCAATTAAGTACAAAACCAAAGACAATTCATAATTCAATTTGGTTTTACACTTAATGACATAGAAGCTCATAGACTAAACTAGAGACGCAATGATTATGAATTAAATATTACAGTATTTAAATAAAGTTCGGTCACCAATAACTGCATAAACCCATCATTATAGGGGAAAAACCAATGCAGGCCAGAAAACCATGAGTTCCAAACAACGCTGAGAAACGTGCACAAATATAGTGCTTTTACACGCACGTTTTCGTTGTTGCTTTTGGTCATAAATACTTTTTCCAGCGGGATTTTTTAAGTTAAAGTTCACGAAACTTCTCGTAAATGGGCTTGAGTACTGAGTCAGCACCGCTGAGAAACCTAGGTTGGAATCCAGGTTTGATCTACCCTTGATTAAACTGGGTTCTTACGTGTATCGGTGCTGACTCAGTTCTCTGAGCAATGGGACTCTGGCTTGGTATTAGCCTCTGAGTCACCTGGCGACGTTTTGGGCAATGGCCCTACTTGGTGTGCTGTGAAAGGCCATTTCTCGAAACGTCACCTATTATTTGTGTTTCCTTTTAAGGGCCCAGTGTTATTGACGAATGTTTTATTTCTTTACAGCAGACGGCCTACGTTTTCGTTACGAGGCAGTGTTCACGACAAATGTGGGGAGGTAGAGTTATTGTTCAGGCGTGCACAGAGAGGCCAGAGAGGTAGAACGAAAAATTGTAGGTGAATGAAGTAAAATGTTTAGATTGTATTGAGCTTTTCAAAACTTTTAATGTGGCACTTGTGTGGTTAAAGGAAGCCAAGGAACAAGAACAAGCGGCCAGCTGCTCACAGTGCCCCCCCCCCCCTACTCGTGGCTCAGACTGCTAAGTGCCTTTGGTCATGACTATGAATAGTCTTCCAGCCACTCTCTGCATCCATAGATAAGCCAGACCACAGCCGCTTTGTTTCTTCTTAAATGCTAGCGTGCACTCCCCAGATAACACGGTGTAAGTGACGTTTTATACTTTCCTGAAGAAAAGCCACTATTTATGGTCGTGAAACGACCGGCGTTAGCACGGTGAGGGTTCACTATGGCCACCCCAATGGCTTAGGTGTCCTTGGGGACGCACGGAAGGGCCACGTTCTCATTTGAATGTCGCCTATCGTGAGATTTAGGAGAAAATGTGTCAATGTCTCCATCACCAACAATGTGGCAAATGAGCGGTGGTGGTGCGCGTCAGTCATCCGGCTCTGCGGAGATGAGGGTTGGTGGATCGTACAAATGTTGTGAAACCCCCTTACCGTGGGCGTCAAGGTGCCATACCAGGGCTCGCCAGAAGGCGGTTCAGCAAAGCGCTCACTATTATCATCTGTCTCATCCATATGGTGGAGCGTGTTGCCCTTCGCATGTTGGGGGTTTCTCCGGGTGCTCCAGTCTCCTCTCACTTGTATAAACACTGATTAATTGGCTGATCTGATATCTAAATATATATAGTGAGAATAATTTTATTATGTTTTATTTTTATTATTTTATTACTTCCCTTCTACGTGACTTTATCGAAAGAACCAAGAAGAAGAACTGCAGAGCTTTGGCAGATTTTGGTACCGGCTCACTGCCTGGCTGATTTTCAGCTCGTCTATGGTTCCTCAGCAATTGTGCAAATCAATGTACATGTAAATGACATTACTATAGGGAAATTACAATACTTTGATCAGTCATAACAACCACCAGCAAGTCACAGTTAACAGAGTATATCCTGCTTAATGCTCAGAGAACTGGCAGAAAGGATTCCCATTAGTAATAGACACTTTCCCATCATCCACGGGCAGACAGCAGTCTGCTTTGTAGTGCATTTACCATTCGGAAATATCAAAGTATTGACCAGAAGGCCTTTCATCCACAAGTTGAGTACATTTTGTGTTCTTATATTCTCTTTTCTGTTTGCATCGTTGCATCTGCATTCAGAAAAGAGCCAATTTCATCTTGTGAGCAATTTTTCATCATCAGCCATGCCCATCGCAGGATTGTGAGATGCCAACGGTTTTGGGAGCCCTCATACACGTAGTAATGTGGCAATTTTGAAAACTTTTACTGATAATTAAGAAACATATTAAATAATTGCTCCTGTTTGTAAATATGATCATTTATTCCATAAACTCCTTCAATTATTTTAGGCTCTGCCTCAAACAACCATACCGATATTAAACGTGCACCCATATTGATCATACATTTACAATTGAAATGTTCTTGTTAAGAAAACCACCGGACCACCAACAGTCTCAGGCAATACGCAAGGCTCGGTGAGCGAAAGGGACATGGCAGAAGCTGCGGGCGAGTGTTGTCGAGGGCGGCCAGTGGCATGTGTGCGTCACCATGACAGCCCCCCAGGTAAGATGAGCCCCACCGCGTCGTCTGTAGCACACCTGTGCATCGTTACCTGGGTAACCAATTAATATTTCAGGGGCAGCGTTATTCAGCACCGCTCTGTGTAACAGTGTCATGCGATCTCTTTGATCATTACGTGAAACAGTGTTTTTGTTCTGATTGGTTTACGTCACTGCTGGACCTTTTGTTTATTTTATCTTTTGTAATTTTTTTGATCAGCGTTACTCTTGCAAATGAGACTCATCCTGGTCTCTTCGAGTTATCATCTGGTTAAACAAAATAAATTTAAAACGTTAAATACAAGTTCTAAATTTCAATATAATTAATTAAATCCGGCTGCATGCAGCTTTTGCATGTTTAAGCGTGATGGGCCACGACGCATAGGTGAGGCAACTAAGCTGAGATCATTTGGAATGAGAAAGTCGCAATTATGTTTGATGAGAATGGAGATGTTGGGTATGGCTCACGCCGATAAAATCCAATTTTCAGACAACAAAAACAGTAATGCACGGTGTATTTTACAAACCAATTGTAACACTTAAAGAGTATGCAACTCATAATAAATTCAGCATTACAGTCGTGTATTTCACATTTAATTTTCGGTCGGGTTCCTCAAATATTTGTACTACGCTGAGATCTAAGTACATTTTAAATTCCGCACGAAAACAAGTGTTAGATTAATAGTATGCATATGTAGAATATACGGCTGCTCATTGTAGCGTTAGTTAATGTAGGGCAGTAAATTCAAGCTGGGCACACAGAGCGATCACGATATAATGTTAATAGACAAATGTCAGTTTAACACGTAGGAGGCTTTCGCGACCAATATCATCCATAATAGACGATTTTGGGTTAGATTGTGTAAATATATAAATGTGTCGTTAAAACCGCCACCACCCGACACAGCCAACTAGTAAAGGTTGTCACGTAAACAGAACGCGCCAATTCGTCACTAGTTCAGCACACCGGTGTGTTGGAGAATAAACCCACAATATTTACAATTCTAGTTCGACGTTTCGCTGGCAATACCACCCAGCTTCCTCCTGTTTCAATCTTAAACAGAGGGGGTAAATGTGATGTCACCGTCAGCCTATCAGCTGCGAAGACAGAGGAGGGGGGGGGGGTCAATGTCGGCATATACATTACAACGGAGACCTCTTAGTAGTTGGGTTATTCAGTTAATCAACATACATAAAGTGTGTACATTGTAATGTATGTACAGATATGAACCCACAGTGAGGGTGATCAGTAATATTGATAAGTGACTTGTCAGTGAGGGTGATCAAGGCGAGAGATCAGTACGGGTGGATCAGCGAGGGTGATCAGTGAGAGTGATCAGTGAGTGATCAGTGAGTGGTCAGTGAGGTGATCAGTGAGTGGTCAGTGAGGTGATCAGTGAGTGGTCAGTGAGGTGATCAGTGAGTGGTCAGTGAGGTGATCAGTGTGAGTGATCAGTGAGAGTGATCAATGAGAGTGATCAGTGAGTGGTCAGTGAGGTGATCAGTGCGGGTGATTAGTGAGGTGATCAATGAGGTGATCAGTGAGGTGATCAGCGATGTGATTAGCGAGGGTGATCAGTGAGTGGTCAGTGAGTGATCAGTGAGGTGATCAATGAGGTGATCAGGGCCACAAGGGGGTTCCGTGCTCTCGACCGGCCCGCCGCCGTCAAACCCAACAACAGCCACAGCGCTGCGGGCAGCGCGAATACAGCCTCGGCGGGAGACAGCGGCACGAACTAGAGCGACACGAACTCGAGCGACACGAACTTAGAGCGACACGAACTTAGAGCGACACGAAGGACAGCGACACGAAGGAGGCAGCGAGCGAGCGAGCGAGGCGACCGCGACTCACCGCTCCTCCCTCAGCTGCTGCCGCCGCCGCCGCCTCCTCCTCGCGCCCGCCGGTATTGTGAGGCCCCGCGGACAGAGGACATTGCGGGCGCGCCACGCTGCGCACACAGGCTGGGGTTTCTAACCCAGCGAGTCGCCTCTGCAGGGCCAGCAGGCGGCCTCAGACAGAGGCCGCACGCCGGGGCCAATGCCCCCCCACCCTGCCACAGGGCCGGCGATTATGATTATTAACTCGTTATTACGTACTCCTAAGGACCTGTGGGAAACCTGGATTCGAACCCTCTCATACAAATACCAGCTCCTAAAGCAACAATTCTCAAACATTGCATTTAATTTTTGTATTTCCAACAGTTGATTATGCAAACGTATTCATCCACCTTGACTACAAAGGCTGGGAGCGGTAGCGGTGGTTCAAGCCCTGCACCATGAACCTGGCGACCCGAGTTTCATGGTTGGCCATGAACATCAGTGGCGAGTGATATCCAGGTTACCCCTCCCCCCCCAGCACCAGCCAGCGCTGACCAGCTAGAAGAAGTATGGTCAACCCCAATGACTGGCGAGACGTGCAAGCCTTCAGCACTGGATTGAGCTGCAAGTGTGTTGTACCATGGGTGATTGGGGCATGAGGATTTCCACACCAATTGTATCTGTGCTGTTGTTGATTCTACGCTTCTGAACTAGCTGGAATGAATGTGCATTTAAAGAAGCCACGTCTACTTACATTTACAATAACCCTGAGCAGGCATACCCAACTGGAATTAAGCTGCAGTGAGCCATACCAGGATGATATGACGTGCCTGGATGGTTCAAGTGCGTGATAGGCACATACTGTGCTGTATGGGGTGTGTATCCTGTAGAGGGCTTCAACAACTCTCAATGCAGACCACAGAGCAGATGGAAGTAAAGTGTGAATACAAATATTATTTGCAAACAATATCCATCACCCTGACATTTTAACTCATTTACAGCCAGAAACAATTGTATATTAACGAAATGTATGGAATCTTTTTTTTTTAAATAAGTTTAACTCGTTTCGATTTAAAGCTTTCGTGACTGCATGGATTTATATTCTTGGTTCTTTCGGTAGTCACGTAGAAGGGAAATAATATAGTAATAAATGTGTTATTTTATTATTTCCCTTCTACGTGACTTTACCGAAAGAACCAAGAATAAGTTTAACTAATTTGACACACTTGAAATTAATAGTAGGTAATACATTAGACCTGTTTATGGATCATTTGATACAGATAGGGAAAAACTATTGGCTCCATGAGTAATGAAAATGTAAACTTGATTTGAAGCTTTCGTGACTGCAGTAATTACTCTGTTTTTTTCGGTAAAGTCACGTATACAAAAATAAATTAAATAATAGAATACGACGTTTCGATTGCAACACAAGCAATCGTCATCAGATATAACTAAATTTGAGAGAGACAAAACACAGACACGGAGACACACAAGCAGAGAGACACACAACATAGACACACAGAAAAATTACTTAACTCTTAAACCAACTGCAAATGTAACGAGACACATTTTTAAAAATTCTACAAGTTTTATTTTCACATCAATACAAAACCTTTTTTACAATTGACAACATTCTGTCCACGATGCACAAGGTGAATGTGAGCCAGGTACATCTTTACATTCTGTGTGAACTATGGTCACTCGCTGTTTTGTATTGTTTTTCGTTTTGTGGCTGATACCTGCCACATCAGGATGCCATCAACATTAAGCAGCCATAAAAACCAGCAGCCCGTGACTTTTCCATTCACAGGGTCAATCATCCATGTCCGAGTTTCAAGTGCTATTTCATTTGAGCCGATGGTTGTGCTTTGAATATTCATCTTCCAAATAGATACTGGGTAGCTATGTGAATTGAAACATCAACCCTGTGCAACATGTTCTGTATGCAGCGATCTACATTACCAGCATTTACAACAAATATATTTAAACATTGTGCGTAATCAAGCTGACAGCAGCTCAGCTCAACCCTGTCAGCTGAAGTAATGCTTGAGTGTGACACTCCAATATGGTTCTCCATCGAGTCAATATGCATATTAAGTAATTAGAAGCTGGAAAAATAAGATCATTGGTTAAAAATAGAAACCTCGGCCATGGAGGAGGGCACAAGGACCATAGTTTGGAGAGGCACAGTGTAAATGGTAGAGTTGACGGTAGAGGTTGACAGCTTAAATAAAACATTCCTGCATATTTTTATCTTTTTAATTAAACCCAACTACAAATCATATAATTTATTCTCAGATACAGGAAGTGACTAGGATTCAGAGCCATCTTTTTCCTGAGATCCTGGACTAGAAAGGGACAAAATCCATTCCCCCTTCAATGGTTTGAAGTGAATATTCAGCAAGGCCTAGCATTAGCACGTGGCATCCTCCTCACTGCTGCTTGCGGCCACCAAGACACTGATTGACAACGCCGAGTAGGTGGGAGTTCTCCAGCGCGGCTGCCACCCTCTCCTTGTCCGCGAGCTGCTTGTTAACTGTGTGGACACACGTGCTCAGCATAAACACTCAATACGTAGTCAATTGAAGGCATATTATATTCTGTATAGCAGTGCCATGATTGCAGTTTTACAAAACCAATCTGCATTGCAGGAACATTAATCATTCGGGGTGTAATGATGCATCGATTCACCAAAATATATTGGTTCGCTCACAATGGGTGTAAATTGTGGCACCAATAAATCAGATAACGACAATAATGGTGTTCACTTTTTTCAACCAAATACCGGGTCAATGAATACTGCCTCTCCTCAAACACAGAAGGTTTAATTAGGAAATGCTTACTGAGTCATTAAGATCTACATTAAGGAATATTGGGATGTTTCGTTTTTTATTAAATTGTGGAAGAAAAGTGGACAACCAAGAGACGTGCCACACAAAAGGAGAATCCGACTGCACACACGCACGCACACATCGCCTGTCAGAAAGCCGCTAGCTACACTACCACCTGGAGACAACCGGACTTCCCAACTTGTAGCCATCTCCCACACGTCAACACTGCTCTGGCTAGAACTAGAGATGCACAATTCACACATCTGTGCTTTACCCACTTGATGACCAAGTACCATGCTTGAAGGTAGATCGGTGTGTAAGGATGTCTCATTATTCATCTAACTGACATTTGACACCGCAATTTTAAACTAGACTGCACCACAAAGACAACAATACAGTGAAATACATTATTCTATCAATATTCTGGATGTGTATACAACAAAACAGAATAATTTTTGTGGTTCTCCGTGTTTTGAGAAAATTACAAAGACTAAGCCCAACTCGTGCATATTTAGGATTTATAGGATTTATTTGATAAAACCAAGACTCAAAGAACCCAAATAAGGCAATGTTTGCATCATGTAGTTTCAATGCAAACATAAAGAGACTCTCCGTTCCAAACTAATGTGACCCTTTCAACTTCTGACTCATGCCAATTGAATGGGAGACGTGCCCCATGATACGCGGCTGCCTTGTTACACTTGTGATGTGGTGCGCTTCATTACCTGCGTGCTCCGACGCATGCATGCCTGGAGCAATGTGCACGTCCACCTGGCGACACAAAACAAAACACCCAACTCCACTGTTAGACTACATTTTATCACAACACAAAAATATTCCAATACATCTGGTGGAGCCAACACAGAAGGCATTTCTGTAAGTTTTAATGGGCAAGGATACCATGAAACAACCTGCCTTAAACAACACTAGATGGCACTCCTGTCATGCTGTATGTCGGGTGGTTTTCTGCACATCGGTCGTGAACTTTCAGAGATTGGCTAAACGAATCAAGTCAAAAATGTAAAAAATACATACCTTTTATAACTACAGTTAAGCGTCATTTGAGCCATTATTGCAATTATGCTGGTTTACATGAAACATGCAGGTAAACAAATACAAATAGGACTCTGACTGTAATTACAAAGAATGTTTTTTGTTCTATTAACTTACTGGCTTTCCAGACCAATAGTATTCCAGCAGCATGTGAACCTTATGGCAGGACCCCGGGGTCCCGAATAAACGGAAGTCAAAATCGTAAAAAAATGTTGGCGTCTCGTCCCACGGCGCACATAAACGCCGCGACCCACCTGGCGCGGATCATTCTGTTGTTATGTCGTCCAAGCACAGAGAGGACAAATGCGCAGAAGAGCTGAACACGCGAATGCACTCCATGCTCGGGCATGGGCAGGATCATAAGTCTTATCCAAAGCTGCTCAAACTGCCTACACGACCTTAAGTCCTTCATTCATCATAACGGTTTGCATAATACAGTGAAATTGCTCTCTTATCTTCATTATTATTTGTGACCTGTTTAACACGTAGGCTTTCACACAAGCCGGCGTGAGTAGGTTAAACGTTGAGTTTTATAAGGGCACCACGGGGTGACCAGCCCCTTCTCCACCCAGCCCCTTCCCCACCCAGCCCCTCCCCACCCAGCCCCTCCCTACCCAGCACCTCCCTCCCCACCCAGCCCCTCCCTGCACGACGGACGGACACAATAATCCCCTGTGGGCAGGTGTAACCAGAAGGTTCCTACCAGGATTATGCATTATGCGAGCCCTTTGAACTTGTCCTTCCTATCTATTGTGTATAAAAATAGCCGTACCAACGGTAATTTGTGACCTACCAATGTCTGCAGTCAGGATCAATCGATGACAATCCTATTACCTGCAGATATTTAACAGATGAGATGCGTTGCACTGTTAATTCCTCCTGTTTGATAATTCTTCTCTTGCCCATAAGCATCTGTGCAGTTTTTTTTTTGCGGTTAAGCCATAGTCCCCACATACTGCGCGTGTCAATGCGGATAACAGGAGCGGCGACCCACTACTCTGTAGAGTAACATTGTTATAAACTCTTGTTACAATATGAATGGCGCATTGAAAACGCGTACTATTTTATATACTGTTTACAAAGTGTGTTCACAAATCCACACTGAGAAACACAATGATTCATAGGGGGGTGTAAATACATTTTTAGATAGTGTATTTAAATAGAGGTACTGCAGGTAAGTAGTTTTCAGTTTAAAGG